CGGCCACAAGCACGGCGGCGATAGTATGAAAGCTAGTTCTGATACCTAGCATCACCAGTTGTCGCTTTACCATTGGTTATGTGTTTGTTATTGTTGTTGTTATGATGTTTGTTTTGGGTTATATTGATGTGTCTTTCTCTGACTTGCCTTTTAACTCCAGCCTTCTTGAAGTTATTTTGTAGTTTGGTGGTCAATCACATTTCAGTAGCTGTCTATGAATAACTTATGCCTATATATATCATTTTCCTAATATAAATTCTAAACTTTTGTGTTGACAGTTTGCCAAGCAATTGCCCACTTCCAGAAAAATAATAATTTTTTAAGTTGATTGATGATTAGAGAGGAAAGCTAATTATATATTCAAGACAAAATCATGAAGGCTTAATTTGAACTTGAGATTTAACTTTGAATACTTATTGTGCTTTGTTTGAAACATATACAAAGTAGGATTCTAATTTTTTGGAAAATTAAGTTACTAATTTGTTTTATATTTTTTCCAATATTATAATCTAGTGGAGAAAATGTTTGAAGGTGAGGCTGCATCTTCAAAGTTCAAACACACTTATATTTAAAATATTACATAATTGATTGGATTGTATACTCTTGTTGTAGTCAATATACAGTCATCATAATTCTGGAAAAGAAAAGGTTTTCTATAGTTTTCAGTACCTTGATGGAAAAGAAAACATTATTCTTGGGAAGAATTCAGTCCACCGTGTTAAGAAAGAAGAAACTATTGTCGTCAAAGGAGATGTAAATATGGAGGCCCAATCACTCTAATAAACATTAATTAACATGTTCTTGGGATAAGAAGACATTATCTCCATATATAATTTAACCAAAAAAACGAAAGAAATTATATCCATTGTGAATGCAATAGATTGAAGTTATTTCGCCAATAGACATGAAAATAAGGTCGTGTTCTAGGAAATAAAGTTAGGCCAAGACTCTATGAGACAGAATCGGACGCTGAGTCTAGAATCTGACCGTAATGATCTCTTGCTATATATTATAGGGGATTGTGTGTTTATATTTGTCTAGGACTTGCTTAGCAAATAATCGGTTTTTACAAAAAAAATTTGGGAGAACTTTTGTAGCCGTGAGTTTCATGTCACGACACGACTCAAGTGTTCTATTGGCTCCTAAGTTCGACCAGCGTTTTGTGATTAACCTATTGTCGTTTTCAGTTACGTCATGAATTGTATATATCAATATATGTATCGTTAACGAATTTCATAAATAGTTTTGGATATAACTTTTAATTTCTCGAAATAGAAGTAGTGGCCTAGTGGGTCAGACAAAACTAAGTTGGTAGTTCCGCATCTCCCTTGGTTTGCAAGTGAAGGCGACTATCGATTAAATTGGTGTTACCGAGAATACCCCTTCGCATTCTTCATAAAAGCATAATAGAAACTCTGAGAATGGTGTAGCCAAAAGGGTAACTATGGTATTTCCGTGCGACAGTTTGGATTTTCATAATCCAATAATATGGTTAGAGATGGTCAAATAATAGAATATGTAAACGTAAGGTTAAGTTGTTGGCGTTTCCACATTCATACTATTCGTTGTCTTCAAGATACCTCAAAATATTTGCGTCGCTTCGTATTTTTTGAAAATATATTTTCTTTCTTTCTGTCTTTCTATAAGTTTTTGCTTTAGTAGGGGCATAGAGGAACCCGGTGATAGAGAAAACTACTTAAACATTATGTTTCGCATAATATTATTCTATAAAATTATTATTGTAATGCTTTTGATATTTTTATCAATTAATTAAATAATAAACCATTAAATTCATTCTTATGACATGATACATGCATTTCTATTATAATTTCTGTATTTGATAGTTTATGTTTTAGTTTTTTAATTGTAGGAATATAATTCATCATTTTCTTATATTTCTCATGGTATATCTTCCGTCTATCTTATTAAGAACGTTGTTCAGAATCCAGAAAATGTTCAGTTTTATCAAGAAGTTTGTTGGATCAATCCTAATATATATTGGTAATCAAAAGTATTATCATCACCATCTATATTATTAGATGACAATGAGTAGGATTTGGTAATTGTGTTACTATATGATTTTTTTTTTTTGGTGAGAAATTGTGTTACTATATGAATTGGTAAGAACTTAAGTTTTTTTGTTAACGAATGGTATAACTGTATAAGATATTTTTACTAAAGCTTTCGTCCAAAACACATATTTTAGTCCATTTTATTGATGAATTTGGTTCATAATTGATCAAAATTAGATGCATATATCGGAGAAAATGTCTCTTATGGAATTCAGTCACTTGTCACCGTTCAAATGTCTTATTGGCTGATTTTTTCTTTAAAACGATTCTGTAATCTCTACGAGTATCACCCATTAATTTACATATGCAATTTTTTAAAATATATACACGAGACGTCGAGACCAGAGAGTTGAAGCAATTGAGAGTAACCTTAGTGAACTTGGTGAGAATTAACTTCCATAACGGTTCGATATGCTACACAATAATTGGCGCAAAACCAACATATACATTACTAATGTGATCTCTTTTCGACGACATCTAATAACATTGGAACGATATATGAATACTTAAACGCGATCTCTCTCCAAGAAGACATTCACGAATCACGTTATTAATGTGTCGTGTGAGGCGTAAAGGAAGAAAAGAAAATGCGTCGTGCATGCGTGTAACTCTTACTATTAGTTATTACACGTAGGCTGCGATTGCGATCATATAAATGACCGGGTCCAGTTGGGCATAGAGGCGAATGCTATAGGCCCATAATCAGTGGTTCGATTGTAATATATGAGCATTCACTATTAAAAAGCAAAAAAACCTTGGCTGGTGTTTAAAACCTTTTTTTTTTTGGTCACAAAACTAATTTCAAATTTTTGGTACGACTGTAAACTTTGGATCAAGTTACATTTTATGTGATTGTGTACGTCTGTATACGCTTTTGTGGATAATGTTTCTTGTACACAACTTAACGTTTGAGGAGCGATATTCTTTCAATTACTTAAGTACAAATGATAAATTGACCTTAACCCGAAATGACTTACACAAATTTTGGAAGATATTTTCCGGAAATTAGTTATTGGAAAAATTCTTAAACAATTCTTCAATACTACTGGTCTTCGACCTTCTAGATGATATTTACAACAGAAAATAAAAAGAATTATGAATTAAGTACAAATGATAAATTACCTTAACCCGATCCAAAACAGAATTAAGGCCGTATGCCGATATAGGTGGTTCGGGTTAGAAGCATCACATGAACCCTTTCTTCATATAAGAAGAAGCGATAAAGTACTAATCTGTTGCAACTTGTGAATTATATTCATACATTTATATTCGAATTTTCTTTTTATTTTCGTTATCTCAATTCTCCAACGAGCGGAAATTTGGGCAGAGGTCCAATCAAATTATAGGAAACAGTGGCGTGATGGATCGCAAAAGCCAAAAGCACATCACAATTATATTTATTTTTATTTTTTGAAGAATAAGAAAACTCATCAATTTGCAAATCACAATTAATATGTTTTGCCCAACTTGCAAAAAATTGCAGCTACCCCACTCCCACTTGCACCGCCAACTCTTTCCCATCCTTTTTTTTTTTTTTTTTTTTTAATTTTTACACCTTTCGTGGCCACATTAAGTATGTATCCTATGATTAGTAAGCTATGCTATATTTGTCGATATTTGACGACCACAAAAATTAGTAATTGAAAGTAACAACATTTTTGTGTGTTTAATGCTATTTTAATATCGACTGAAATTTTTGTAGTTCATGATGGTTACGTAACCATTGTGGTGAACTTCGATAATGATATTGCAAACATAAAAGTAGAAGTTTTTAGATCTAAGGAACAGAAAAACTTTCATTTCATTTGATTCATGTTTTGTCGATCAATCACGTATCTTTTTGTGGATAGAAATGTAGAAACCTCTCGAATATATAGAAAAAAATCACATTTATATATTTATATTCTAGGAGATCACTTGTAAACGAAACATATCGTGACTCTCGTGATGTAAAAGGACATGCAACTTGCGCTTCTCTCTATTCCATATTTCTTTATTATTATAAGAAATTTTATATTATATCTTTTGGCTTTGGAAGAACCATAAAGAAAGAAGTAAAAGATAAACAATTTGCAACTTGCATTTCCTTTTTCATTAAGCGGAGAAATAAAAATAAAGAACAGCTTGGCTTGTTGGGTTATCATTCAAAGCATCGTCCACTTGCAATTTCTTATTTCTTTAATTTCATCAACATGTTCGTTTTTTATATTTTATATTTTGACGGCCATGTTCATAATTTTGTATACATGTATGTTTTCTCCATTTTACGCATTACCTTTAAGCCTAAAATTTTCCAACTACTCTTTCTATTTATTTTCTATCAAATAGTATATGTCAAGTAAAAACTCCAAATCTTGATTTCTCTATCAATTGTTTTTTTTTTTTTTGTTAAAGTCTCTATCAATTGTTTGATCTTTAAATATAAACTTAAAGCTTAATCGGTTATTTTAATCATTATGAAATAATAAGAAAGTAAAAAGTTGGAGAAACTATTTAAATCCTAGAGGAAGGGAACACATTATATTATGCCCAAATTTAAAGTTGCCTTTAAGAAAAATCATCGAATTTTCTCAAAAGCTGTTATACATAATTTATTTACACACATTATATCTATAAATGAAGATGGCCAACAACTCAATGTAACCAGTTATTATACATCTGATCAGTTGAACATTACGCATACTGTAATCTTTAGTATATATATATTACGTACTGACCATTTCATTTACGCTTTTTATGCTGAAACTATAGAAAAACAAGATTAATTAAACTTGAAAATCATACTTTTAATTAACGGACAACATAACCACATTCTTCTAGTTGAATTTTATTATTTTTGTGAAAGCCGGAATAGGGCTAATCCGAATCGGTTCTTGATATAAAATACAAAAATTAAAAGAAGGATTATGATATGCATGAGAGATTAATTCACTAATGTAACTTTTTTTCACACATAAGCCGGGAAAACATAGATCACACGACGGCTAAAAATCTAGAAAACGTCGGATCTAACGAAACTACTCGACAACGACAAAGACTCATCACAGAGACATCTTCTTCTTGCTCTCCGCCGCAGTATTCTCGGCTATTTTCGCAAGAGATTGAAGATTGCATCGTACGATAACGTCAACAAAGTCACAAGTCTCTTCCTTTGTGTTCCCGGGAGGAACATCAACGACGTAAGACTCAACAACGACGGTCCCGGAGATCGGAGAAGGGTGAAGGGTCGTGACGGATCGGTAGTTAGAAAGCCGGTGGTCACCACCAACAACGCTGAAGCTGATGACGTGGCGTTCGTCGTCGAGGATATCGAGTCTCTCGGTGGAGCTCGCAGCGGGGAGGCCAGAGACGACGTGGACTTGACGGAGGCTACCAACGTTATCACCGTCTCCGCCGATGACGCTACAGCTTTTGAGAAAGTGTTTGTAAGCTTGTGGGTTATCAAAGCGGCGGACGACGGACCAAACGGTGGATATTGGAGCGGAGATCTCTTGTATAACGGCGGAGCAACACTGGTTAGGACCAACCTCGTGTGTGTGAAAACGAGCGGCCGTGGAGTCGCGTGAGAGAGAAGGAAAACGTTTTTGAAACGACGCGATCATCATCGGAATCTGGACGGAATCTCCGTCAGATACGGCGGAAGAAGGACGGTGAACGGCGAGCATGTTGATCTGAGTAATGGTGTCTTCTTGATTACAAATCTTGATCTCTTCTTAGAGATGGTTTTAGGGTTTACAAAAAAACTGAGGATTGAAGAGGAAGGTAGTGTATGGAGGAGAAGTATGTGTATATAAAAAGAAGCAAATCAAACTTTACAGCGACTTGCGAAAAGTTGGGCTGTGCCTTTCGATTTGAGAGAGATAGAGTTTTTAATGCAGAGTTCATGTGAGTGGTGTTAACGAAAAAACCGAGCAAGTTGCTTATTGTTAAATTACGTTTTTGCCCCTAGCTATAGTTGTTGACTTGACTGTTCTATACGATATTTTTTAATTGGGCAAGTGATCAATATAGTATAATTCTATATCAACACTAGAATTTTAAAATGGGTTTAGACTTTTAGTTGCTTGACCATAATTTTTTCTCTTCTTCTTGGGATGACCAAGATATAGCTAGGACGAAATTCGTTTGATTGAATACGCTTTAAAAGTTTGGATTTTTGGAACGATTGAAATGGAAGAACAAGTTCATCAAAACATACAAAAATAAGAATTCTTTCAACTTATAAGTTCTTCAACTAAATAAACTTCAAAACTTGGTAAAATCTGAAGGAAAGTTGAGTTGACAGTCTGGAAGAAGAGAAGCAAAATAAATAAGAGCTACAAACACCTAAATTAGTAAATACCCCTACTTACTAATCTCTAAGACATTGAATGATATCCTTAAAACAAACATCGGAGCCGGAACATTCACGGAATGATGGCAAAGGGACATGAAGCTCCTGATTAATCAATCAGAGCCTCTATGTCTTAACATGGTCTCATGAAATAGAAAGACACACAGAGATCTCCTTAACAGAACTTCCAGCGGTTGTCACAGTTAACACATGTAACATAAGTCGTCATTGGCTCATCAGTACTTCTTGTTTGCATCTGATAGTAGGTGCATTTGCGCTGACCACACCGCCCGCACTTGAACTGGTCGGTAGATGCTTTTGCTGCAAGACCACGCTCGCAATCAAACAGGGCTTTCTCTTTGATCTGATTGTTCTCTTGTTTTCTCCCCGGTGAGAACCCTCCTTCTTAAGTCCGGGTTGTTACCGTCCCTCAGGTTGAACATAATAGATCTGTACTTAAGCTTCTGAGCTCCAGTTGAGCGACCCAATTTCTCAAACATCAGTGATTCCACTGAGACAGCAACACGGAGTGGATCACTAGCATTTACTGACTTTCTCTCATAGTCATCAGCTTCTCCAGCAACCCTGCACAACGCATCTACAAGCAACTCACGGATTTTGTCACGCACAAGATCATTGCATTTGAGCATTGCAGTTAGTTTTGGAGGAGCATTAGGTGCCTTAGCTGGAGCTTTCATACTTGATTGGTTGTCCTTTGAGACCTTTTCATCCTTAACAGCCTGACCACGATAATCTATCTTGGTTCCATTAGTGACTTTGTTGTCTGGTTCTTTTCTCTCTATCTTGCCACCGGTAACGCCTTTATTGTCTGGTTCCTTTCTCTCAACCTTGATACTCTTAGCCGAATCACCCCTCTGAAGTTTCTGAACTTTAACAGGAGCGGGATTTGAAGGCTTATCAACATCCATCTTATCCACCTTAGCCTCTATGACAGTTTCAGCTTTACAACCGTTATTGCCTTCGGTTTTCTTAGCCTTGGCTGTCTCTTCAATGACAACTTTCTTCCATATCTCAAGTAGATCAGTAGCTACGCTTTTGATATCCTCAATAGGGTGTTTAGCAAGAGACCTCAGCTTCTTTCCTACCTGGAAGCAAGTAAAGAATATAACTTCCCCTAAAGCAATACACACATTATCAACATTCCAGAGGAAACACTTGAATACAATTTCCCAACCAAAAAAAAAAAAACGCATGACTTGATTCACTGATGACCCTCAAGTAAAACATATCATGTGCCAAATCGGGTTTGTTTCCCTTTACCCTAGCATGTCGAGCTGAGTTCAATGTTCAAATTGGGTTTGTTCCAATAATTTCAACGGGGTGTCTCATACAAATCAGTTAGCTCAAGCTTTTTAAAGTTAATCTTTTCAAATTTCTATGAACTTTTTCAGATGAAATCAAACAACCCTAATTAAGAATCTAAGGTAAACAACACAAGTCAATGCAACGAGATTAGGCAAGTAACACCCAGAAAACCCTCCAATCTAACAACGTATCAACAGAAAAAGAGACAGATATAAACTTTTTCCTAAATGCAAAATTAATCAAGAGAAATTGGAAACGAACCTGAGTCGCAACAGCGTATCGTATGTGACAGGAAACTTCTTGAGTAGTTTAAGGGCATCGAGACATTGAGAAACCTCAGGACCTGAGGAAGCAACACCCTCGCGAGCCGCCGCATCGGCTGCCTTCTTAGCTCCCTCGAACAATTCAATCAAATCACTTTCCAAAGGATTGTTATTTCTTCACAAACCTCATTTTGTATGTGAGCTTCATTCTCTGCTTTCAAATGCACAAGCCTTTCTTCTAACAATGCCTGTGAAACACCATATTATTTTGATTTTTCAACTTGCAGATGAAGAAGGAAACAGCAAAGTAATAAAAAAGGCTTTAATCTAGTCTTCACTAGCCTCTTTCTAAATGTGAGCTTCATTCTCGGTTTCCAAAAGCGTCTAACATTTCTTCAAAACCAGCCTATCAAGACAAGGCAATTCATTCTTTACTATTCCACTGTGGAAAGAAGTCATGACTAGGTGGAGAGATTATCTCTATGAGAAAAAAAAATGTTTGAGAAGAGAATATCACCTCTTTCTGAAGGTAGGAACCATTTTCCTCACGTAACTGTTTTGATTGTTTCTTCCAACAGCACCTACAACAGCATTACAAACTAGTCTTAAGATCCAAGTGAAAAGATAGAAAACAAAAAAAAAACAGACTCTTCATGGCAGTAAGGAAGAAAATTTGTCGATATTTCACTCAGGAAAGATGAAATATACTACTTTTAACTAAAAATTTATCAACCAATTTATATAGATAGAAATTGAAAGTTCTCTTTCTGCATACAACAACATAGTTTTGTTGTTGCTCTTTAACCTATCTCTTCAACATTAGCCAATCCAAAATTCCAAAGAACAATTATTTACTCTGCATACACCAAAAAAAAAAGAATGTACATACAAGACACAGTAGGAAATCTCACCTCACTTCCCTGAGACTTGTTCTCAACACCAGAATCATCTTCCTGCTTGAAACATGAAGATTTAAGAGTATCAGACAACGCCGGCTCATACACTATCCCATAATTTTTGTCAACCATCTCTACACAAACCAAATGAACTCTCTACACATGAGTTACAATAAAGTAAACACACACATAGTAATAGGATCCGTTCCAGCAGATGAATCGAAATTTCATTCAATCAATCATACAATGTAGCATAAATAGGTCGACATTATAAACTACGAAATGAATCAAATTTACCTCAATTTCCTATCATCAACCAAGAGAATCAATCTAATGTAGCAATGTTCCGATCAATCTTAGAGATATAATGAACTCACAGTTGCGACGACATTGATCTGATGAGATGATTGCGACTCATCGACATCTGGACCTCCGGTAATTTGAGGAACGTCACCATCTCCGATATGATTTTCATCGGCGGAAGCTAAAGCGTCGTCTTCCATACCTACCTGATCCAGCTTCCAAACGTATCAGTTTTTGGATTAAAAACAAAACCAAAAAAAATCCAAACTTTATCTCATCCAAACTAGCAAAATCGCTGACAACGAAGTCAGATCTGAATGATTTGAGGAATAACAAGAAATTAAATTGGAAGGCGAAAAAGAGAAATGCGTGATTGGTAAGCTCACTTTGCGATGGTGAAAGAGGTCGCCGAACGGGAAACGTTGAGTCCTTTCTTTTAGTCGGACGTCTTACCAGCGAACCATTTCACTAAAAGAGACTCCTTTTCTTTTTTTTGTTCTTTCTCTCAATATAATGAGACTTTAAGAAAAAAAAAACCATCTTTCCCTTGTCCACGTAGAGTTGAATTCGCCGGGTTCTTTAGATATGTGCAATTGCACACCTTTCCAGTGTTTTGCCGTCCTGGTGTCGAGAAAATGTCTCACAACTCCCCTTTTGTAAACCATAAACCTCTTATATCCCTTTTTTATCTACATATCCCTTTCTCAATTAATGAAATGTGATCTGACGATTTTACCCTTACTCTTTCTTTTTCATTTTAATTAATTATTTTCTGAAATAAAAACAAAAAAAATCGAAAACAGAAAAAAAAAAAAAAAAACGTTTCTCGCTCTCGAGCTCCAGCTCTCCTCGCCGGAAAAATCGATTTCAGTCGCCATTGCAGCCGTATCCTCTCCTCCGGCGAGCTGCGTCGAGATAGAGAGAAAAGGTATGTTGTTTGAGCTGCATAGAGCTTCAAATTGAAGTTTTGGATTTAGAAATATAGGAGATTGAATCCAATTAGATTTGAAATTAAGCAAATTGTGTTTGGGTATGCACATTGGAAGTTTATGCATAGTTTCTGGGTCGAATAGGTATATAAATGGGTAAGAAATGGATAACAAAAACTGAATCATAGTGAATTGTAGGTTTGAACCCGAAACCATTCGATTTGAGTTCTTGTCGCGAAAGTACAACTGGTACAACTGGTAGAACTGGGTAGAAATATACCTGAATCTATTGAAAAATATATACGTAGTATGACTAGTAACACTAGTATTACCCAGATGTATGTAGTATGACTAGTTACACTAGTGTTACCCATATATATGTAGTATCACCAATTACACTAGTATTACCCATTTACATGTAGTATGACTAGTTATACTAGTATTACCCAGAATTGTAGTACAACTAGTACAACTAGTATAACTGACAGAGTTTTTGTATTGTTTTTGCAGGATACAATGATGGAGAACGTGAACATATATTTTAAATGCAAAGGTCGCATGTATAGCTTGATGATGAATACATCAGGGGGAAAATAACTATCTCCATGTTAGAAAGTTGGATATGCACGAAGGTTGGATTAGATGAAAGTAAGGTCAAATTGCAAATGAGGTACAATGCAGTGCTGTTGGGACCAATTGAAGAGATTTACATTAGTGATGATGAGGATGTAGGTGTCTATATATCTTCAGGTGAAAATAACTGTAGATATGTTTTGAATGTGGACGTCATCACTCCACCAGAATTGCCTGAGCAACTGTCGAGAGCGGAACTCCTCAATAAAAGTTCTGTTGGTAAGAACAATGCTGAATTGGATTCAAATGAGGATGAAATGAGAGATAGTGCTACCATTGTTTTGTGCTAATGCGATGAACAAGGAACAGAACCAAATGAGGCAATAATGGAGGTTGATGATACTCAAGATCCTAAGATTGGATCACGTGATGTATTCTCTGGTTTTGTAAAACTTGGTAAAACGTGGTTTCGTAATGGTACAACTATGTATGTCTTTGATTTCGTGTTTTTATGTATTCTCTGGTTTTGTAAAACTTGGTTTCGTAATGGTACAACTATGTATGTCTTTGATTTTGTAAAACTTGGTTAAACTTGATTTGGTATAACTACGAAGAAATTAACAAATCTTCATAAATTCAAAATTATATCATAATGCTTGTTGTAATGAAATAGACAACTTAGTGTTACATAATCAAATTAGTGGTCTGTAATCACAATTTGGTAAATAAAATTTTCAAAAATCTTACACATTTGAACTTTCTACATGAAAGTTCTTATATTTTAAGGATGTCTTTCTTTTGAATATCCATGGTGAATGTCGAAAGTCTGAAAAATCAACATTTTACAAATATTATTGAATGAATATGTTTGGAATTTACCACATATACATAAAATTAGGTGTACAACTAATAAAAATTAATATTAATCCAAGAATAACTAATTATACAGAAAAACCCCAAAAGTCCAACTGTGTGTAAGCGAGTACAACTTGTAAACTTGGAAAAACTGTGTATATTTGACGGCGCCATGTGTACAAATGACGGCGCCACGTGTACAAATGACGGCGCACACGTGAATAAGATGGGCCCCACATGTCCCAAAATTGAAATTTTTCCATTTTTTGGGTTTTCTCCCAAATTTGACGGCGCACATGTGTAAATTTGACTCACACATGTGTAAATTTGACGGTGCACATAGTTTTACCTAGTAATACCAGTAGTATAAATAAAAAAAAAACAAAACCAACATAGGTTTACCTAGTATTACCAATTGTACAAATCTAAACAATAACTATAAGACAAAGATATAGTAAAGAAGGTATATTCTTCTTCACCTCCAGCTACCATGATACTATCAATTTCATGTGGGATGTAAACAATGAACACAGATTAGAAACATTACAACCCAAAATATTTCATATCATACAACGCTCTCAGAAAATATGACTCCATGGACGTAGCATCTTCTCCAGTCATTTCGAACATTCGATTTTGGGTAAGCTTCTAACATAGAGAGAGTTATATTCTTCCATGATGTCTTCATCATCAAGCTATACATGCGACCTTGGCATTTGAAATATATGATCACGTTCTCCCTCATTGTATCCTGCCAAAACAATACAAAAACTCTGTCAGTAATACTAGTTTTACTAGTTCTACTACATTTGTAGTAATACTAGTGTAACTAGTCATACTATATATATATATGGATAATACTAGTGTAACTAGTCATACTATATATATATATGGATAATACTAGTGTAACTAGGCATACTACATATATATGTTTCAATAGTTTCAGATTCATTTCTACCTAGTTCGACCAGTTCTACTATCCGACAAGAACTCAAATTGAATGGTTTCAGATTCAAAACTATAATTCACTACGATTTAGTTACTAAAATCCATTTGCTACCCATTTAAAGACCTAATCGACCCCCGAAAAGTCTGCATAAACTTACAATGTCCATACCAAACACAATAAGCCAAATCTAATTGGCTTGGACTTCTTTCTGAGTTGGTTCTTCCTTTCCTATCGCACCCAAACCACCATTACCATCCTTGGCAAGTGGATCCGAAGGACCAACTAGTGGGTCTGAAAGACCAGCTAGTGGGACAGCAGACTCATGCAATTGAACACAGTTATACAATAGTGTTACTCAGTATTACTGAATGACTGTTATACCGTAGTATTACCAGTTTTACCTAGACATAACAATAGTATTCTCTAGTTCTACTAGTGTTACCCAGATATCAAAATATTATTTCCCAATTCTACCAGTATTACTCAGAAATCACAATTGTATTATTCAACCATTATTACTTAAAATCCAAAATTCACATTTCGAACCCAACTACTTACCATCTCCACGCTATCTCATCCTCGATACTCTCATCGGAGGAGGTGTCCGACAAGGTTCTACTACTACCACTAGTCTCTCCTTCGTCTTCGTCATTCCCTTGACCTCCTTCGTTCTCTTCTTTCTCATTCTCAAACTCTTCTTCCTCATTCTCTTCTTCCTCTGCCTCGACAACTGGACTTAACGTCGGAATTTCTTCTTCAACTCCTTCTCCTCCCTCAATTGGCTTCTTTAACTCCGTCGGGGATGGCTGCAAACTCGTTGCTCCTCCATCTTCTTCCCCTACTTCTTTTCTTCGATCCGGAGTATCTGTTCCTCTCTTCCTCTTTCTCCCAGCCATAATCGACAACAAGGATTTCTCGAAGATAAAACGGAGATTTAAAGGGAGAGAATTGGCAACGAAATCGAGAGATATATGAAGTTGAAATCGAGAAATCGTGGAGATAACGGTTGTCTCTTTTGAATTTCTTAACTATTGAAGACGAATTGAATGAGAATCCATGTCGTGGAAAGAGGAGAGAAAACGAAAACGCAGAAAACGGAGAGGAGTTGGCTCGTTGAGAGGAGTTGGCTCGTTGAGAGGAGTTAGGGTTCGTGGGTTTTCGGGTTAGATCCGAAATCAGTTTGGTTGGGTGGATAAAACCCAGGTTTAATGTGTAGTTTTAGAATTTTGGCTAGGGTAATATTGTAACTTCCTGCATTTTCGATTTAAAATTAAATACAATTTATATTCTGTTTTTAGTGGGGAGATATGGGGTTAGAGTTTGTTAAAAGGGGACTTCCCAGACGATTTCTCCCTGGTGTCACTACTCTGTAACCTACCTAAACAAAAGATGAGAACTTAAATCTTCTAAAAGGTTGAGTACTTGAGTCTCAAAGCTTTCTTGGAAAAGAACAACAGGGCAGGTTCTTCAAAAAATCTCAAAGCTTTCTTCTTCCTCTCTAAGTTACCTTTACGTTTTTGTCATGGATTCAGTGACAGGTAATTACAAATTAACTGACCAGAACAGAACACTGGTGTTGCGTGGTTGGGTTACTCTGGCTATAGCGTGTAGTTAATTTCTTAATTACTTCCATTCTTGAAAACATCTCTGTACTAATACAACCAATTTTTGAAAATATATCAACTCTCTCGTCTTCCTCTCTCAGTTTCATGCTTAGTCCTTTTTTTCATCTTCTTTTCCGATAGACATTTCTTAATTCTTCTCCTTTTTGTCTTTCACATGGATTCCATTAGTCTTAATCATTCTGGAGCCACAGACCAGAACAAACTTTTGATGTTTGGTTTGGTTGTGTTGGTTATAGGATGTAGTTTAGTTATAGGTTGTCTATTTTTCTACATCTTCACCAGCATTATAAATTTCTTTCATACTCTTAATTACTTATATTCTTGAAAATGTGCAATATGCCTTGAAGATTTTATCGAGTCTAGGCTTCCATTGGCCAATTTGGAATGCGGTCACTGGTTCCATTTTAGCTGTATAACTAGATGGAATTCTAGTTGTCCATTGTGTAGAAGATGAAGTCTGTAGTTCCCTTTATGTTTATGTGATGAATAAAATTTGTGTTATCTTTTAATCATATTGACTTCATTTTGCACCAGAAAACAATTGAGAGCTCACAAAATATAGCTCTCTAATGCTCTCAAGTTCCCCATCCAACTAAAATTTTGGTCACAGTACAATAATATACATACAACATATTTACTACTCTGTTTACAAGCATTATGTCTTGTTTCTTTACATTCATGTATACAAAGTCAACTCTGGTTTTTCAAACCTTTAACAACTCGAGACATGGACAGAAACCCCTTCTTAATGATAAGTCATATTACAATGCTATTAATTCGTTATAATTACTGTAGATTTTGAATATAAAACAAATTGATAAAAATAGATTAAAAAATAAGCAAAACATAAGGACTATATGAGCAAAAATAAAGAAAAATAATATTGAAAGGCTCAAAAATGAAACTTTTAGACTTTTAGTATTAGGAGAACATATTAATTACAAAAAGTTTGACATTGTAAAAAGAAATTGTTTTTTACTACACTTAGGTATTCAACTTTTCTTGGTAGAAATATTACAAATATGAAAAGGAAAATACAATTATTGACAGATTTATATTATTCACATACTCACATATTTATTTCATATTTATAATCTCAACAATTGATGTCAACAAAAAAAGTTTTAACAATTTAGTTCTTGTATTTGACGTTTCTGGTAAGTTTTATAGGGTGTCGCAATACTATTATCATATATTGTACTGTCCGAAATTGAATATTTTAGCATTGTGTATTTATCTTCACACACATCTTAATATGAAGTTTTGTTTTCAAAGTTAATTCAGTTTTTGTTAAATTAAAATTATCACAAAAATCATAAACTCGCACAACAGACGGGTCCTAATGTAGTTCGTATATATGTTTTACATATTTTCTTACTAACATCTACTAATATATATACATAAAAGTACTAGAGAGAATTACCTGCTAGTGAGATTTGAGAATTGAGATATACTCAGATGAGTGTATAATATGGTCAGGATATGTAACTTTTGTTTGATTATGGGTTTGAAAATATGCAAATAGACAGACATTACTTCTACTAATTGAGAATAATGTTGGATCCGTATTTGTAGGAATAAAAAATAACTGTTAATTAGAGGTTGACTTCACAGTTCACAAGTCGGGTTCGGGTGTATAAAAGAATCTTGTCAGGTCACACCTAACTCTTATGATCGTCTCTTAGTTTTTTTTTTTTTTTTTTTTTTTTTTTTTCACAGGCTTAATGGACCCTTTTGTCTAATTTGATGTCATATCTCACAAACCATCCAGTTCCATGTTTTTATAAACTAATTAAATATATTCTTTTAAAACCTTTAAAATGAAGGACACAAAATAGGATCTCGGTGCAAGATTGCATGTGGACGTGTAGAAGCAGAAGAAAGATGGAAATTAAGTGTAAAGAAGAAAGGAGTGGTGACGAGAAGCTTGTGAAGGATCGATGGCAAGTCTCTTTACACGTGGGGGGAATGACAAAGTTCTTCTTTTTTCAACTTCATCAAAGCTTACAATTTCCTCTCCTCAACAACTTCTTTTGTTTGGCTAGCAGAACTTTTTTTTACTAACTGGAAAATCTGAACTAAAGCCTATAGATTAATCTCATGAACTCACAACCGCCATTTACTTCTGCAACGAAATTTTATCGGATGGTACGGTGTACCCGAATCAATAGTAGATATACAATTGGAAAATTAAACTAATATATTGTTTTTGTGATGTACCAAAAAGCTTACGGTTCCAAATTTTATAACTATATATATTATTATCCCGTATTTTGGGAGCTTTGGCAAAAAAAAAATCACATATTTTTGGAACGATTGATGTAGAAAACGGCTCAACTAACAACGCAATTGATCGCTTCACGGGGTCGGATGTGTAACGTAAACCAAGCAAGGACCACTTTAAACATAAACTAATTCTCTCATACGGATCTGCAAAATACATATAAAAGATATATATAAAATTTTGGGTAAGAGAGGAGCAATGCCCCGTGATTCTCGTCGAACAAAAAACAGAAAAGAAAGAAAGAAAGAGGTGTGTGTGATGATGTGGTCTACATCAAAGACAGCTGAGCAGTCACACGCCTTGTAATCGTAATTTATTCGTCTATCTACCACTCTCGCTCTTCCATTTTTTGCCTTTAGCATTAAATTCCATGCAAACCCTAAAACTCATAATCATCAACCAATTTTAAAGATAAATATATATCTTTACCCATTAATCCATATACTATTATTTAGTATTGTAATTCTTTACTTTCTAAATGCTAAAGAGTATCTTAGAAGATTAAAAGATTGATTTTAAAAAGAAATTTTCTAAAACTAATATTGGAACATGGAATGCCAGAATTTATCGCTATATGATTACACATCAATAGAAATGAGAAGATTTAAAAATCTTTTAATTACAAAACTTCTTTTCTTGTGTAGACAGTTCACTTTGATAAATTAATATTTTGTATAAATTTATTGATGTCCCGTAGTGATCCTTTTAAATCGTTGAGGATCAAAATAAATTTGCAACAAAAAGAAAACAGATATATATATATATATATATATATATATATATATATATATATATATATATATATAAACAGATGGCAAAGAAAGTTAAGTGAAAATTAGTTACTTTTAAATCGAAGGACTTAACAAAAAGACAATGATCTCGATCATCAATGAATGACCTTGAACATTAATTGACAAAAGTCTTTATTCAAGTTCTTGAAAGTTCAAATACTAATTCCGACAAAACTACTCTGATGTATATTAGTATAATTTTGTGGATTCGATTTAGTATTTAATTATTTTCCTGGAAACTGCATCACGATATAAAAAAAATTAAATTCTTCATGTTTTGTTTTCTTCTAAACGCAAATAACATCTCAACTATACTAATGTCTATCTTATTTTATTACTATTCTTACTAGGACTCAGGACCCCCGCGATGTCGCTGGGGAATATATTTCAAAAATCATTTTAAAAAATATCAAACGAAAAAATCATAATGAATTGTAATAATTTTGAATTTTTTTTAATAACAAATTAATATATATTTTACAAAAATTATGATAAAGAAAACTCTCACAAGCATTTATTAATTATATTAATATTAGAAAAACAATAATTTGTAACTAAAAAACTATTCCCAAGTGCAAAAAGCATAAACTAATAAACCAAATATTACAATGGTTTGATAAATAAGCCAAAACGTTCAACGTCAAATAAACTAAATGCTATTGTGTTAAATTAAACGGTAACAACAATTCATTTAAATATATCTTAGTATTTAAATATTTTTAAAAAATATGACGAACTTATCCGAGAAACGCAACCGTAGATATCAAATATTCCAAAAACTGCAACGGTTCGTCAATTATACCAAATGTTGCAATAGTTTATCAAATATACTAAAGATAACAATGATTCGTAACACAAAACCAAAAGTTGCAATAATTCGTTAAATAATCCAAATGTTGAAACAATTCAATTAAATAGTTACAATCTCATTTAAATACATTTTAGTAATTAAAAATTAAGAATTAAAATAATAATTTATGAAAAGTTACACCGAGAGACGCGGCGGTAGATAATTAAATGTTATAGCTATTTATAAAATAAACAAAAAAATTGCAATTGTTCGTGAAATAAACTAAATATATAAACCAAAGGTTGTGATTGTTCGTAAAATAAACTAAATATTGCAATGATTCGAATAAGCGGTTTCAACTGTTTATGAAGAGTTACAATAAAAAAAATGCAACCGTAGAAAACATTCAGAATGCAATTTATAAAAAAAAACATAACCGTAAAATATATATTTTAATTAATAAAAACATTAACGAAAAGTTACGATAAAAAGACGCAACCGTTCAGATGTGCAAATGATATTTATTAGATTGCTATTATATATAGATTTTATCTTTTGGTAAATGTGTTTACTTATACTAATTAATGTCATTCATAGACTGTTGGTCCCGATACATGAATTTTATTTATATCGATCTTTGTAATCGAAATGTTTCTTTGACGAATTAAGGCAATCTAAGACTATACTATAGGCTATATAGTAGAGCCTAATTTCTATCACATTCATCGTTTTTAGCCTTGGTGAACAATAATATAAAATAAGTGTTACTTGTAATTTGTTGGTATGTTAAGGGAATAAATAACTATTTATCTCGTTTATAATAATAGTAGTTTTCTCCCTCCATGGTTAATATTAATATGCATACATATATTAAAATATACAACTATTTATATATAGAGCTGTCTATAGAAGAAAAGAGCCAGAATCAATTAGCTGTGAACAGAAAAGAACACTTTTTAACATATGCAACAAGATTTAGGTGAGGGTTTGTCTACATGCTCCGGGAAGAGAGAGAGAATCATAAGTGTATCTTGATCTAGGGTTTCTCATCGACACAGACAAATCTCCATGCTTTGAACTAAGCAGAATTCATCTTGTCTTTTATCTCTTTCATGTCAAACCAAAGGATTTGATCTATCCACTTCTTCCAAAACCTCTATCAAGAACCTTCATATATCCCTTTACCATATACTTTCTATTTTTCTCCTGAAAATAAGAAGTAAAAATGATTCCAAGTATGGAGGGAGGCGGGAAGACTAACAGAGAAGAAGAGGAGGAGGCGGAGAAAGAAGAAGAAGAAGGTGAAGAGAGTAAGGTTTCAAGCAGTAGTACAGTGGAAGAGAACGACAAGAAGACGAAGGTTAGGCCTTATGTGAGATCTAAAGTCCCTCGACTACGGTGGACTCCTGATCTTCATCTTCGCTTTGTCCGCGCGGTTGAGAGACTTGGAGGTCAAGAAAGTACGTCCGTAACTACTAACTTCATCCTCCATCACCTCTTCCACACATATATAAAAGCTTAACCAATTCCTTAGTTATTCTTAGGTTAACTATTGGTCAAAATCTCCGTAGCTTTCCTTTTTTATTTAATTATGATCTTGTGTTTGGTTATGTATAGGAGCAACTCCAAAGTTGGTTCGTCAGATGATGAACATCAAAGGGCTTAGTATTGCTCATGTCAAGAGCCATCTACAGGTACTTGATCTATAAACACATCCTTATATTCTACATATATACATCTAAGATGTGCCTATGTCTTGTGTATTTTTTAATTTCGTATGAAAGAATCATTGAAATTAGAAAAAAAAATCTTACTAAATTGTGTATTGGAAAATTTTAGATGTACAGAAGCAAGAAGATAGATGATCAAGGTCAAGGTATTGATTCTTTCTATTTGAGTTCATTAGTTATCAAGCTTATACATGTATATGCCAATAAATTAAAGTAGGGTTTAAATTGTTGGCAGCTATAGCTGATCACAAACATCTCTTCGAGACTTCCACAGATCGAAATATTTATAAACTAAGTCAGCTACCGATGTTCCGAGGCTATAATCATAACCATGATTCTCCATTCAGGTTGATTTTTTTTTTTTTGCAAATAATTGATTTTTTGTGTTCCTTGATTTGATTGATATTCCATTTTAATTATCTAAATTAATAGTCTTTTTTTTTTGGTAGATATGGAAGTAAATTTTCAAATGCTTCTTTGTGGAACTCTAGCTCTCACGGAACAGACCGGAGTTTGATAGAACAAATTAGGCCCGGTTTAATCCGCAGCTCATCGGTTAGCAATAACATCCGTGGTAGTGAATATTGGACTAACAACAGGTCTTTCAAGAATATCTACTCTTCTTCAATTTCTAATCACTTACCGAAACTAAGACACGATCATCAAGAACGGACCAATTCAGTCACATTCAACAGCATGCAAGGACACTCAAGAACGTTTCAAAAGTTCCATATCGGTGTTGAAGAGAGCACTAATCATTCTTATTTTAGCAAGACAACAGGCAAAAGAAACGCAAGTACGAGCATCGATCTTGATCTTGATCTATCTCTTAAGCTACGACAACCCGAGAAGACAATTTTGGAAGAGACAGAAACAACAGCAACAACAACGGATCAAACGTTGTCCTTGTCGCTATGTCCAGGGTCGTCTTCGTGGAAAAAGAACCGACTGATCAAGAAAGATGAAGAGGATCGGACGGTTAAGATTGGTCAGGCAAGTACTCTCGATCTGACTCTATGAATTATATTTAAGAATGAGACAAATTCTAAGTGAGATCTTGAGGTACTTACTGATATCTTAATATTCAGTGTCGTTGTTGTTTATCATTAATTATGTATTTTCTTTATTATTAGAAAGGAAACAAAAATGTTTGATTATATAACGGTCTTGAGTTTGTTTGATACCGCCAACTTGTATCATCACATATATAAACAAATGTTATTAGCCACATCATAGTGATTCGATCTTTAATTTGTCTGTCTAGCTCCTTCTCATAGTCATAGCAATATACTCTATAAAATTTCATATATATATATACAACAAATTTACGTAAATTTGTATACATCGATTAGAGTATCTCTGCTGGTGTTCGTTCATCTGTAGATGAGATTTTTAATTACGTAAATAGTACACAAAATTTGGTTTCGTAAATTATCCAAACAGCACATGGATCCAATTTTGTAATTTCCAACAACATGTTACGATTGATAGTGTTTTTAATATTTTCCAAAATCCATCTTCACTCATTTCTCACCCTTCTTTAGAAAACATAGTGAAACATTTTTACATTTTGCAAATCTAAAGCCAAAATTTCTGAGGTTTTACTATGAACAGGATTAATATTTAAACAATGCGACACAACTCACTTTTTTTTGTAAATATATTTTAAAAGGGGTTATTTTCAAAGATCGCAGTACAAAAAACTATAGCAAAAGGTCACAAATCATCAAATCTTTGAGTTTATTATTCTATGTAAATTTATCTCGTGAAATGTTTATTGTATATGTTTAATAGTATTTGATAGGGAACTTAATTATTTCAACTGTGTAAAATTGGTTGACCCATGACCCGGTAATTATCTTCGTTCAATCAATCGATTCTAAGAACATGATCTTATTGAATCTCTAATAGTTTATTGTATAATATGGTGGCACCTATATATCAATATGATAATGACGTCGTTAATAGTAAGGCTGAGAGTTGAGACTGTGGTATAATTTTGATTCGACGTGCCAAATACAACGTTCGACCAAGTATCATATCAATTTTGATTTTCCAAAAAGAAAAACAAAAAACCTTAGGATCTCCGGATGTTTGATTGGATACACTGATACAGTATCAATATTTAGACAAACAATGGAATCTTTGCTTCTTAGACATTCGATGTGTACCTGGTCAACTTCTTCAGTATTAAACATGGCCGCACGATCAAATTTGACGAACGAAAGTACCCAAAATTTTGGCCGTATGTACAGATTTCTACTTCTACGTACCTAGTCAATTTTTTTTTTTGGTACGGGAAGATTAACTTCTCCAATTCAACATCCAAACTAACTAATTTCTGAAATATACAATTTTTTTTCTTTTGCCATAAGAGAAAATGCATGAAATGAAAGTCTCCTATTGGTAAAAAGGGGGTGTAAACATAACTTTTTATGTTGTAACCCTTTTTATTTACTTTTTATGATTTAAAAACAAAATATGAAGTAGGTAATCTTTTTGCCAAATTAGTCCTTGTAATACAAGGATCAATCTCCTTGTCACATGCAATTACGACGAGATAAAATTCCTCTTAACATATATATCCTAGAAATAATATGAATGATTTATTTTAACTCAATTCAAAAAATATTAAATTTGCAGTGACTTATAACTTATAAGATCAATATAAATCAAGGTCCACATCTTATCCCAATTTGTTTTTTTTTTTTGTATACCAAATTTGTCTTTTATATTGTCTTATAGTATGTTTTAATTCTCCTAGTAATTTACACAAAGAAATTAAGAAGCTTCATTGAAATAACAAGACTAGAATTGAAGAATGAGAAACATATCCATCAAACCTTCGAAGACTTTTCTCCATCAAAATGTACAAACAAAACACCAAACCCAACTTGTGTCTTGTCTATTTTACACACATTATTATAATTAAAGGTTTTCACACCTACACAAAAATTCGTACCATTGACTATAAACATCACAAATCCAACAAAAAGTTCATCAACTCCGGGAGATAAAGAAAGAGAATAAAAAAAAATGGCCGGAGCTTACGATCCAAGCTTGCCGGCGGTACCTGAATGGCTCAACAAAGGAGACAACGCGTGGCAGCTCACGGCGGCGACTCTGGTTGGTTTACAGAGTATGCCAGGTCTTGTTATCCTCTATGCCTCCATCGTCAAGAAGAAATGGGCTGTGAATTCAGCTTTTATGGCTCTTTACGCTTTCGCCGCCGTTCTTCTCTGTTGGGTTCTCCTCTGTTACAAAATGGCTTTCGGCGATGAGCTTTTGCCTTTCTGGGGCAAAGGTGGTCCAGCTTTCGACCAAGGATACCTCAAGGAACAAGCCAAGGTTTTGAATTTTGGCTATTTGCACACAAAGTGTTCGATAAAATGCCTGAATGAGAATTTGATTTGAAATTTCTTTTTCTTTACAGATCCCAAAAAGTAATGTGCCGGCGCCGTATTTTCCAATGGCGACGTTGGTGTATTTTCAGTTCACTTTCGCGGCGATAACAACGATATTAGTGGCGGGATCGGTGTTGGGGAGGATGAATATTAAAGCTTGGATGGCGTTTGTGCCATTGTGGCTGATCTTTAGCTATACAGTTGGAGCTTATAGTATTTGGGGAGGTGGGTTTCTGTATCAGTGGGGAGTTATTGATTACTCCGGCGGATATGTTATTCATCTCTCCTCCGGTGTTGCTGGATTCGTCGCCGCTTACTGGGTACGTTTATCTGAAATCTTCAAATTCAGAGTTTCTTTAGTTGTTAGAGGTTAGTTTATTTAGTTAGGGAAACTAAGCTGGGATTTAAATTCTCATGCTATTATTTGATATTTGGTTATTATTACTAGAAATAAAATAAGATTGAAGAATAAGATGGTTTTTATATATTGATGTTTGTTGAAAATATTGGAATTAAATTAATGTACGGTAGTCGGTAGATGACATAGTCTCGGAAAAAATTCTAAGTAACAATTCGATGTAGACTGGTCTTTAATTGCCAAGTATTGTTTTGCTTTCTCTTTCGATATGATTACGTATTTAAGGTCCATAGTTTATAGATAATAAGATAAGTAATAAGTTCGATGATTGATTGGTCCACTAACAAAAGGTAAAGAATTTCCAAGTATGTAGTAGATAAATTAAATCAAATCAATTGAGGATTTTTTTTTTTGGTCGACTACACGATCTTGGTGTATATTAGTATAAGAAACTCAGATAAAATTAATTAGAGAAGACAGAAGAGTAATCAATCATCTTTGAATAAGCATCTAGGTCTAGACTCTAGAGAATAAAATAACGCGGGAGAAACGCTTCAATATTGATCTCACTCAACTGAAAATATCAAATTTTGCCTAATAGTAAATTCACAAAATAATTGAGGTTGGTTCAATTTTTGCATTTTATATATCTTATAAATATAAACTAATTAATTTGTTTTTCTTGTATTCTGCGTTTTGTCGCACATAAGCAAAATGGTAAAAGTCAAGTCAATTCCACTGACGACGACATAATATTCCACATAATAAATATATAAAATCTTGCAAAAGAAAATGAAATTAAATGGTTAGTTAAAACTTAAAAAGCAAACACTAGCTAGTTGAAATTAAGAGTCGTACCATGTTGATATCGATTTGATTATTACTTAGATTAAATACGATTTGTGGACATGGTGTTATTATAGGTAGGACCAAGGCCTAAGGCTGACAGAGAAAGATTCCCACCGAACAATGTTCTATTAATGCTTGCCGGAGCTGGCCTTCTATGGATGGGATGGTCCGGTTTTAACGGCGGTGCTCCTTACGCCGCCAACTTAACCTCCTCGATCGCGGTGCTCAACACTAACCTCTCGGCCGCGACTAGCCTCCTCGTATGGACCACACTTGATGTCATCTTCTTTGGCAAACCTTCTGTCATCGGAGCAATTCAAGGCATGGTTACTGGCCTAGCCGGCGTCACTCCCGGAGCAGGTCTCAATCATCTTATTTTCAAGTTTTATGTTTACTCTTAAGTTTATTAATGATTAAAGTTAAATTATGTGGAAACTTATTAATATTGCATGGTTAATTTATTACACTGACAAATGAAATATATATATTGCAGGGTTGATCCAAACATGGGCTGCTATAATAGTTGGAGTAGTCTCAGGAACAGTTCCATGGGCTTCTATGATGATCCTTCACAAGAAATCTGCTCTCCTTCAAAAGGTAAATTAGATCATAAATCCCACTTAAATTTCATAACCAACAAAAAATAAATAAATTGAAGTTGATTATGTAACATTGATTCATGTAAGAATGATTTGAACTGTAATATTTTGATTGGCTTAAAATAAAATAGGTGGATGATACATTAGCGGTGTTTTACACACACGCCGTGGCCGGTTTACTTGGTGGAATAATGACAGGTTTGTTTGCACATCCTGATCTCTGCGTCTTGATACTTCCTCCCCCAGCGACCAAAGGAGCTTTCTACGGTGGCAATGGTGGCAAACAGCTTTTGAAACAGTTGGCAGGAGCTGCCTTCATTGCCGTCTGGAATGTGGTGTCGACGACTATCATACTACTCGCTATTAGGGTGTTCATACCATTGAGAATGGCTGAGGAAGAGCTCGGGATTGGAGACGACGCTGCACATGGGGAAGAAGCTTATGCTCTTTGGGGTGATGGAGAGAAATTTGATGCTACAAGGCATGTGCAACAGTTTGAGAGAGATCAAGAAGCTGCTCATCCTTCTTATGTTCATGGTGCTAGAGGTGTCACCATTGTTCTATGATTTTTCTTATTCTTCTTTTTGCTATTTTTTGTGTGTATTGTTTTCCTTGTGACATTAGAGATATGCATGAGTTATTTGTGTTTTGTATAGGTGGTAAAACTTCACTTTTCAGTTTTTTGGGGTGTATTTGGAGTTAACAACCATTTGTAATTTTGTTGAAATGATGCTTCACAATGAAAACATAGAGTTCGTGAACAAACTACCTTGTGAGTTGTGATCATTTTAAAATTCAGTTAAAGTAATTTCTTCAAGTCATTTGGCTAATAAGTAATAATAACCAATGTGAACACAATATGTAATCTGGGCTCAAGTTAATATTAAGACCTATACTTCTCTTGAGAATCTAATTCACCCTTAATGCCAAAGGCCCAAAAGGCCCAAAACCTAGTTTTCTTAAAATGATAAGTGTTGACCTTATTATTCTCTTAGAATTAGGGATTGTGATGTGTCAATGTTTTTTTTTTTTTTTGGTAAGAGCCTTGGTAAGTGTCAATGTTGAATATAGAAGAAACTTTGTTTCCGTTTAATATTTTGTACAATATTTATAAGTAAATGAAAACCTTTTTTTTAAAAAAAAACTCTAAAATATGAAGAGTTTCACGTATAAAAGCAAAACATAAATAAAATAAACTTTGGACAGATAAAAACAAAAATTGGTGTCTGAAATAATTGAACACTAACGAAGAAATTATTTGTTTATAATTATCACCACTTTTTAGTTTTTACTTTTTAGGCATAAAAGGTTTCAACTTTTCTCAAAGACCCAGCCTTTGCAAGTGGCGTGGTTTCACTCGGTGGGCCTATAAATATCAGCGATACCTTGACCTCCCACCATCGCCACTAAAACGAAATCGTGGTCTTACTCTCTCTTCTGACCTGAGCTCACACACAGATTTTGATTGTGTCTGTCATTCATGGAACCCAATATTTACCAACTTGCCCTCGCGGCTCTCTTTGGAGCTTCCTTTGTTGCTGTTTCTGGGTTTTTCATGCATTTCAAGGCCCTGAATCTAGTCCTTGAGCGTGGTAAGGAGCGTAAAGAGAACCCTGAAGGAGACGAGCCTCAAAATCCTACTTTGGTGAGGCGGCGGAGCCAGGTTAGAAGGAAGGGTATTGACCAATACGGTCGCAGCCCGGCTTCGCTTCCAGATGCCACTCCTTTTACCGATGGCGGCGGCGGCGGCGGTGGTGATACAGGTCGGAGCAACGGTCACGTTTATGTCGATGAAATCCCTCCTGGTCTCCCGAGGCTTCATACGCCATCTGAAGGTTCGAGAATCAAACCTGAATCGATCAGATTAGATTTTGGATTATAAAAATTGATCCTTTTACGGGTTTAGTGTTGTTTTAGTGCTATTTGATTCCAATTGCAATCCTTTGATGATGCTGATAGATAGTCTGTGATTGTTTTTTTCAGGGAGAGCTTCAGTACATGGAGCTAGTAGTATCAGGAAAACTGGAAGCTTTGTTAGACCAATCTCTCCGAAATCCCCTGTTGCTAGTGCTAGTGCTTTTGAGAGTGTGGAAGAATCAGATGATGATGATAATTTGACAAACAGTGAGGGTTTGGATGCTTCCTACTTGCAAGCTAATGGGGACATGGTGAGTTACTTAATTTAACAATTCAATCGCTGTTTTGTGATTGAATGAGCTAGTAAAAAGACTACTGATAGGTGGGCTTACATGTAAGATACTTTTTGGCAGCCTGCAGATGCCAATGGAGAGCAAATATCTATGGCTGCTTCGAGCATGATTCGGTCCCACAGTGTGTCTGGTGATCTACATGGAGTTCAGCCTGATCCTATTGCTGCTGACATTCTGCGTAAAGAGCCAGAGCAAGAAACCTTTGTCCGTCTTAATGTCCCTCTTGGTAAGAATGGTCACTAGTTTTTTCTTTCTGTCATCTTGCCTAACTTTTGGTTCCTCTATTCTTGGTGCTCTTGTCCTGTTATTACAAATAATGAAAAGTTTTTTAGTAAGCCCCACTAGTTTAAAAGGTTTTTTGGTAGTGGCAAGTAATTGAGTGGCACTACAGATAATTAGATATCTAGTCTTGAGAGAGACAAGCAAGGGTTAATAAGGCTTTACTATATGTGGGAGCTGATCCATTGGAATCCTTAAAGTATAGTTTAAGAATTATAGCTTGAAATAATTAGAGTTACAAGACATTTCTTATTCAGATTTTACACATGATCTTTTTAGAGGTGCCAACATCCGATGAAGTTGAAGCCTACAAATGTCTGCAAGAATGTCTTGAATTGCGGAAGAGGTATGTCTTCCAAGAAACAGTTGCGCCATGGGAAAAAGAAGTCATATCTGACCCTAGTACTCCGAAGCCTAATCTAGAGCCATTTGCACACTATCCTCAGGGAAAAACTGATGTGAGTCTGCAATCCTTATTTTTTTCTTTAACACCATGTACTGATAAATTTAACTTCCCTAATTTTGTTTTTACAGCATTATTTTGAGATGCAAGATGGGGTAGTCCATGTGTTTGCAAATAAAGATGGTAAGAGCCCTAGTATTAAAATTATGATGTTTCTTTTTCCTTATGCATAAAAGTTAGTTTGGTTACATTCCTTTGCTTTTCGAATAGCTGACCCTTGTTTTGTTTCATTGTTCCCAGCAAAAGAAGAGCTCTTCCCGGTAGCTGATGCCACAGCGTTTTTCACTGACTTGCATCATGTACTCAAAGTCATAGCTGCAGGAAACATCCGGACTTTGTGCCACCGTCGACTAGTGCTCCTAGAACAGGCAAGAGTTTTAGTTAGAGAAGAATGAATGTCAATAAGGAAGTTTCATCTGGTTAACAGTATGACTCTCTTTATTTCAGAAATTCAATCTCCATTTGATGCTTAATGCGGATAAAGAATTTCTTGCTCAAAAAAGTGCACCACATCGTGATTTCTATAACGTCAGGAAAGTCGACACTCATGTTCATCACTCAGCTTGCATGAACCAGAAACACCTTTTAAGGTTTATCAAGTCAAAGCTCCGGAAAGAACCCGATGAGGTAACATTTGGAACCATGTGTTTTAGGAAAGTATACAATTTGTTGATATGCAGATGTGATAAATTTTTTCTCCTCTATACAGGTTGTAATATTCCGAGATGGGACATATTTGACCTTGAAAGAAGTTTTTGAGAGCCTGGATCTGACTGGGTAAATACGTTTCCAACTCCTAAGAATAACCAACTTAAGTCAATCTGAATTAGATGGCTGCAAGACTATTAGATTACTCTCTTATGACCCCCCTGGTTGTTGCCTAGATTGTCTGTATTACATTTTTTACCATTTTTACCATGATGCTGAAGAAATTAACCTTCTTCCCCTTGTTTGAACTTTGCACAGATATGACCTGAACGTCGACCTTTTGGATGTTCATGCAGACAAGAGCACTTTTCATCGTTTTGATAAGTTTAACCTTAAGTATAATCCTTGTGGTCAAAGTAGGCTTAGGGAGATTTTCCTTAAACAGGATAATCTCATCCAAGGTAGTTGAATATCCTAGTCACTCTTACCACCATTTTTATTTCATTTGCTGCATCAGTTATGCACTCTCGTTTACCTGACATTTCTTTTCGTTTGGTTTTAGGTCGTTTTCTTGGTGAGATAACTAAGCAAGTCTTCTCTGATCTTGAAGCTAGTAAATATCAGGTAAACGCCACATGCATCTCTGCCATCTGCAGTACTTCTATTCTTGGTCAACCGCGGTATTCATATGCATTTAGAACAAACACTATAACAGAAGAACACTCTTACTAACAAATCTATAATAACTAAGCTTTTTCTATAAGGATTTGCTAGAAATACAAGAGACTTTGGAGTTCGGTAATGGATTTCCTCCTACTCCCCCTTACAAATGCAAAGCTTGCCATTTCTTGTTGCATATTCTATATAGAAAGAGAGGCCTTTATTTACTTTATTAAACTAGGAAAAGATGTAGACTATGTAGTAGTAAAAGCCTTGGATTTTTAGTCTCAGTTACCATATCAAACTCGCACTCTCTTTCATATGCCTAACTTGAACTTTCTTTGTGCTGATCTGAAGCACATGACTTGAGTTCCAAAACGCCATGGTCTTTTCAATTTTTGTATTTAAAAATCTTCTTGCCAAAGCAGATCCATTATTGCTCTGTTTTGTTTTTCTTAATGTCTACTTTGAATACTGCAGATGGCCGAATATAGAATATCTATATATGGCAGAAAAATGAGCGAGTGGGACCAACTGGCTAGTTGGATTGTGAACAATGATCTATACAGCGAGAATGTTGTCTGGTTAATTCAGGTCGGCCATCTCTCTTATACTTTTGTGCTCCATTTCCTTCCATGAGTGTGTGTTTTTCTCTTGTGTGTTAGTGACATGAATGCTAACTGAGCTATATTTTCCTTGTTTTCTGTTTGTCTGCTCACTAGCTCCCACGTCTGTACAACATTTACAAGGACATGGGTATTGTGACATCTTTCCAGAATATCCTTGACAATATATTCATTCCTCTGTTTGAAGCCACGATAGATCCCGATTCCCATCCCCAGCTCCATGTTTTTTTGAAGCAGGTTAGCATTCATATCTGCAGAGAACCTCTAATCTGCATGTCTTCGCACTATTAAAGAGTTGGTTTGACTGGTTCTGTCTTTTGTTTGTTTTGATTGTTTCTCTGGTTTTGTTGCTCGTTACTTGTTTGGTATTTCAGGTTGTTGGATTTGATTTGGTTGATGATGAAAGCAAACCTGAAAGACGGCCCACAAAACATATGCCCACTCCAGCTCAATGGACTAACGCGTTCAATCCTGCATTTTCATACTATGTCTACTATTGTTATGCTAACCTCTATGTGCTAAATAAGGTACCAGTCCTCCTAGTCTCTTCTGTAACTAACTTTGTGTTGTCAAAATTGCTTAATATGGAGTAATCATTTTTCTTCAGCTTCGGGAGTCAAAGGGCATGACTACCATCACGCTACGGCCACATTCTGGAGAGGTGTTTGATTTCATCCTTTGTGCTATATAATCAGTTTTCACTTACAGTATAGTAGAATTTTTACAAGTCTACAAATTTCAGGCTGGTGACATTGACCACTTGGCTGCTACGTTTCTCACATGCCATAGCATCGCACATGGAATCAATCTGCGGAAGTCTCCTGTGCTTCAGTATCTCTACTACCTCGCCCAGGTTTGCGGAGACTGCCTGATTGTATTAGATATGTATTTTGTTTCGTACCTTAGAATATCTGACTGGACATTTATTTTTATTTTGACAGATTGGTCTGGCCATGTCTCCACTGAGCAACAACTCTTTGTTTCTAGATTACCACCGAAACCCGTTTCCTGTGTTTTTCTTAAGAGGTCTCAATGTTTCCCTGTCTACGGATGATCCCCTTCAGATTCACTTAACTAAAGAACCTCTCGTGGAAGAGTATAGCATAGCTGCCTCAGTAAGTCATGATCTTTCCATTATGCAGTCTTGTCACACATCATAGGCCATGAAAGTTAATTATCTTTAGAAAAGTCTTATTACCTTTGAATGATTTATATAGATCTTCTGTAATTGCAAATACCAAGGAACCATGAAACTTCTCTCTATACATCCTTTTCTTCTAGGATTCAGTTATAGTGATGTATTAACTGAAAATGATAACTGGATTTTCAGGTTTGGAAGCTGAGTGCGTGTGACCTGTGCGAGATAGCTCGTAACTCAGTGTACCAGTCAGGTTTCTCACATGCCCTGAAGGTACTTGTTATATCAAACATAGCCTACAGTATTAATGAACAAGATATCTCTGGTCTGATCTGCTGACAACACTAACTCTTTTGCATGTTTTTAGTCGCACTGGATTGGAAAAGACTACTACAAAAGAGGACCTGATGGAAACGATATTCACAAAACAAATGTGCCTCACATAAGGGTGGAGTTCCGGGACACGGTAGGAAACAGAAATATATTATATTCTCTTTACACAGGTTAATTCCTCTCTGTAAGAAGACAGATTAAATTTATGATGTTGATGCAGATTTGGAAAGAGGAGATGCAACAGGTTTATCTGGGCAAGGCAGTTATCTCAGATGAAGTTGTTCCGTAAAAACCGCAATCAGAAATGTCGACGAGTAAGAATCCAACATCTATGTACAACATAATGATCTTACCATTGCTGTTGCAACATTTTCTTATTGATGTCAAAATGATTGAATTTGAGATTTCAGGGGAAGAGAGAGCATTTTCAGAAGTATACGAGCAGAAGAACCTAGTAGATAGGGTAATAATATGAGTGGGCTAAGTTGTGCCCTGAGAAAGCATTTTGGCTGTATCCTATTGTTTTATAAAAGCTTCCATAAATCCATCCCTTTTATTTATATAAATAGATACAAAGAGACTAGTTGAGAACCGGTTTTAATATAATGGATTTCAGTTTTTGGATTATAATGATCAAGTAAATCTATTCTAAACATAAATCGATTACATACTGTTTTAATTTCGATTCAGATTGGATTCAAACATATAAGTTTGAAATCCAATTTTTTTGGTTTCGGTTCTGATTAGGATTTTCAGATATATACATATAAAGATTTAAACCATGCACTGAGATCTCTCTCATCAATGATATGGTTTACGAATCTGATCTGTCTACCTTGTTAAACACCTATTTTTAGGTGACATTGGGAAGATTTGCTGATTTGGCTTTGATAATTAATGAAGGTGAACTTTTGGGTATGTAACTAAAAGCAGTCAGAGACAAAATGTTCCTTTAAAAAACATAAGTGGGTCCAACTTTCAAGCTAATACTGTGATGATGCTAGGACTGAAGTACATAAAGTTTTATATTCAGGATGCCAGGTATAGTCCAAGTTAACCATCTAATTGCTTTGTGTTTGCTTGTTCTACCACAAAGGTTTTTAGTAACTTACCACAAAGGTTTTAGTAACTTAAAGAGATAACTCTTAAATGAAACGTGGATACTTTGTTAATAACGTATCCACAAAGGTTCCACAAAGTATCCACACATTGTTAATAACGTGGATACTTTCTTAGTAGCTTACTTCTACTTACCACGTACACACACACACACACACTTGGACCTTAACAACTCCCTCTAGTCCATGCTTCTACACTAGCCTACTTCTACAAGTAAGGTTAACCAACTAATCCTTAAGACTACAACAACTCCACTCTACTTTAGCACTAAGCTAGATTAAGTGCTAATCTCACCTTAATTTGTTTCTTCGGTAAACAAATGAGTTACCTTCTTGCTTTGTGCTGAAAGAGTTTTCATGACAACATCGATAGAGTACTACATGGAGTGTTGAAAGAGAGAGACTTGCTTCTTTTGGGTTGTGGTATATAAGTTCATATGTTTTGGGGCAAATAAATCAAATCCAAAAATCTGGTGAAACCAATCAAAGTGAATAAGTGATCATAGAAATTTAAATCCATCGACTTCACTTTGTTTCGAAAGTACTCTCTCTAGTCGCCGAAAGTGTCACAAACCTCTTCAATACAAGAAAAAAAATTGTTTTTGTCGAACCATTAGATATCTATTTTAAGTGAACAATACCCAAATTCCTAAGCAAAAGAAAAGAAGGGACAGTGATATATCTAAAGTGCTTGCATTTTAGTATAGGTGCACTTCCAACGAGTCCAGCAGCTTGTTCAGCATGGTTGTAGCCTCCGCATTGTAAGATAGAACAAATGCAGACACAGCTAGAACTGCAGCAGCAACGGCTGTACCATTGAGGAAGCCACTTCCACGGGAAAGTCTTCCCAAGATCACTTTGCAGGACTTGTCAGCTTCCTCGTAAAGAGAACCACTGGCTCCTCCTTCAGTGATAGCTTTTTTGTTCTAAGAACATCACAGGTTAGGTCGGAGATGAAATTACAACTAAATGGAGTGTGAAATAAGTTAAGCTTAGAAGAGTAAGAGGCATTACTTTTAGCCTGAAGCTCTTCATAGTTCGCTTGAGAGTGAGAGCATCTCTAGGTGATGATGATAGTTTGAGGGAATGATCCTCCCATTCGTCTACAAGTTTTTTAAGAAGAGCAACACTACGTTTTAGATTCTCCTCATAGAGATTGTCCCAGAGCTTGCAGCAATCTACGTTTTCAGTCACTGACCAGATAGCGATTTCTGTAGCTTCCTTGGCTAAAACAGGATTTCCTGTAACAACGGCAACCCATTAGAACTCTATTTGGAGAAGAGGGAGGGAACCAGAAAGGACTCAAGGATTCTGAGTGTTACTAATACCTTCTTGAGCAAATTTCAAAGAAAAAGTGAACATATGTCGAGTGACTCGTTTCATTGTCTTGCTTCCTGGTGCACCGGCAAGAGCCACATCCTTCAAAAGAGAACCACTTCCAAAGGAAATTCTTCCCAAGATCACTTTGCAGGACTTGTCAGCTTCTTCGTAAAGAGAACCACTGGCTCCTCCTTCAGCGATACCTTTTTCGTTCTAAGAACATCACAGGTTAGGTCGGAGATGAAATTACAACCAAATGGAGGGTGAAATAAGTTAGCTTAGAAGAGTAAGAGGCATTACTTTTAGCCTGAAGCTCTTCATAGTTAGCCTGAGAATGAAAGCATCTCTCAGTGATAGTTTGAGGGAATGATCCTCCCATTCGTCTACAAGTTTTTTAAGAAGAGCAACACTAGCTTTTAGATTCTCCTCATACAGATTGTCCCAGAGCTTGCAGCAAAATACGTTTTTGGTCACAGACCAGATAGCGATTTCTGTAGCTTCCTTGGCTAAAACAGGATTTCCTGTAACAACGGCAACCCATTAGAACTCTATTTGGAGAAGAGGGAGGGAACCAGAAAGGACTCAAGGATTCTGAGTGTTACTAATACCTTCTTGAGCAAATTTCAAAGAAAAAGTGAACATCTGTCGAGTGACTCGTATCATTGTCTTGCTTCCTGGTGCACCGGCAAGAGCCACTTCCTTCAACAAGGGATAAATTGCCTCAAACCTCGCTGTAGCCTGTGTGCGTACAGAGACCATGCTTGTGATCAGAATCGACAAATGCAACAAGGTTTGTTTTACAAGTTCCAATACTTGTGCTTACCTTTACTCTTGCGGCTGGAGCAGGGAAGGTAAGCCGCAGCAAGTTCTCAAATGAAGAAGGTGGAATCGTCGATCCATGATCCATTCTGTCAGCTCCATCTGCAAGAAGTTTGGTCCGAGCATTTGGATCTGACAAAATTCTGATAAAGAAGATTGCATAAAAAAGATCAAGATGATTGTACGTACGTATATAGCAAAAGAGATTACAAGAAAACTTTGGACTCACTTCTCAACCAGCTGCAGGATGAGATCCCTCGAGTGAGGGTTGGTACCGACTTCCGGTAACAAGTTATGCCCCCATGTAGAAAGGCCTACAAGTAAATTACCTTGGGAGGCCTGTCCACATTTCACAGCTCAACAGCTTTCAGAACACAGATCACAGAGAGAAAAGAGTTGACAAAATATCACACAAACCTGAGCTATCATCCAAACTGTAACCGGAAGCGTGTATAGTCCTTGATGCCTACCCTCAGTCCTCATAACAGGCAATTGAATATACAAAGACCTCGGGTTGCTACGCAATACCATAGCTAACGTAACAAATATTCCCACCTAATCGTAAGAAACAAAAGAAAATTCATGATGGAGCTAGTCATACAACTACAAAGGTAGCAGCATACACAATTGAATCACAGACACATACACAAGTGAAAGGTATAAAAGTGCGAGTCCAAAGGTATTTCCAAAATGACCTGAGATATGCGAGGAGTACGTAGTGCTGTCACAAAGTCCATAGTCACACAAAACGCCCACCATACAAAGCCACGGAGTGCCCCTAGTGGCTGTTCGTTGATCCAGTCGCTTGATCTTTTGTAGATAAGTTGAGGAATATAAGAAAAAGGAACCTGCTTATAAAAAAAATAAAGACAATGAGAATTGGATTCGTAAATCTAAGAAAAATGTACGTAAAAGAGCTCTCACATCGATGACATCGATCAGCTTGAACAAACGAGGGTCCTTGAACATCTCCGGCCATGAAAATTGCACATCGGAAAGTGATATCCCAAACCATTCGACAAATCTCAATAGCCGGATCCACTCCGGCTTTCTCCGATGAGGTGCCTAATAATTAACAAATGAATTAAATCAGAATTGCAGTGATTAAACAAACGGAATGAGCCGAATTACAGATTCGCATGCACTCACCGATATATGGTTCAGAGTAATATTAAGACATTCAAAATCGATCTTTGCTGCACCTTCGGCCAAAGACTCTTTCTCCTTCACCTTCCACCATATCGTGTTCACCTGCTTCTGCTTCTTCTTCTTCTTCTTCTCCTTCTCCTTCTCCTCCTCCTTCTCCTTCTCCATCTCCCTCTCCATCTCCATCTCCCCCTTCTCCTTCTCCTTCTCCTTCTCCTTCTCCTTCTCCTTCTCCTTCTCCTTCTCCATCTCCATCTCCCTCTCCATCTCCCCCTTCTCCATCTCCTTCTCCTTCTCCTTCTCCTTCTCCTTCTCCTTCTCCTCCTCCTTCTCCTCCTCCTCCTCCTTCTCCTCCTTCTTCAGGTTCCCATCCCTGGCACCAGCACCATTCAGTTCATCCTCCAAATCCGGCAGGATCGATCGTTCATTCGGAAATATCATGCCGGAAACGCCGCTATTCGCCGCCCGCTTTTGCTTCCGATAGCGCTTCGAAGACGCGACTTGCGTCCATCCATTAGAGCTATCAAACCGAGAGTCCGCCACCGATTGGAACGTATCCATAAGCTTTCTAAAGTATCTCGCCCTTTATCTTCCCGGCGTGAACAAACTAGATGACAATATTTGGCCGGAGAGAGGAGAAGAAGGGTTATATAACTGGGATCTAGGGTTAATTTACAATGCTCTTGGCGTGTTTTTTTTCCTTTTTCACGTGTTGTAATATTATTGTACTACTAAACATTCGAAATAATATAGGGCCAAAATAAAACCTTCAGAGATTACAGAAAAAAACGAGAGCCCACTACATTAACGCCGACTGAAGAAGAATATGATCTTCACACAATCTGAGACCACGTGTCATCGAGTGGATAGAACCTCAACACGTATAAGAAAAATAATTTCCGACAACAACCTCCGCCATTAAACATCGATTCCGGTGAGAGAATCATCGTCAAAATCCAATCGAACTGTGGGAACCATCCATGGGTAGTTTCTGAGTTACTTAAACAAGCCAAAGCTGCTGGTCTGTTATCATTGTCTCCGAAGCCGTCATTTTCGATGGCCTACCCGAGTCTGAGCTCTCACGTGCTTTTTCGGTGGATAAGGACTAAGAAAAAATATAAAATTTGCTTCTTAAAAATTACCTATCATTTCATCATACAAGTTACACCAACTCACATAATCTTTTCCCTTCAGATGATTTACTATTGTCATGATTTCTTAGAAACACGAGTCGTTTGCTTCAATATAAAAATGGGCTATCCTCTATATATGGTAAATTTTATTTTATTTTTATCTTCATATTTCTAACTGGAAATAATATGATTTTGAAAGCAAAAAAAAAAACGAATTGATTTTTGCCAAACTGATTCTAATTGATCAGTTCTGGTAAACTCTTTAATTAGTGTTTTAGTTGATTTTTTTTTTGCCAACTCTTTTAACTCTTTAATGATTCTTAGTCGATTGATGTTGAAAGACTATGCATGATATGTGCAACACATGTTTTCTTTCCCTTGTGAAGCATACAGATTAGTATTACAATGATGAATGATTTTGAAGCAATCTCCATCACTATCTTACCCGATTTTCAGGTTTTAAATGGTGATTTTTCAGGTTTTAAATGGTGATAACGAAACACTCTAAACGTTGTATGGATGTTTTGACAACACACATCTTTCTCTAGATTCTCAAAGACTCGGCTAGATTCAACTTGTATTAGCCGGTGTCACATGAAAAAGTAACTCAAACATATATAACCAACAAATGGTTTGCTTTTTTTTTTTTTTTTTTTTTTTTTGTGCTAAACAAATGGTTTGCTATGAAACAGTATAACCAACAAATGGTTTGCTATGAAACAAGTTTCTAATGAAATAAGTTCGAAATAGTACTATGTAGCGTCTATAGTTCCTAGAGTGCTCCACCAAATCTGAGTATATTTTGGTATCACGATGACTCGGCTTAGTCCATTGAGTTTGTTGGAGAGCATTGATTGTTACCCTCAGATACTTCGAAACGATATGTCTTGTGTTCTACAAAAAGAAACTTACATTAGTGTGAGAAATTTTAAGAAGAAAAGCTTATTTGGTTAAAGGAATGGGATATGTACCATGTGTCTCAAGGCCATGTCGAGAGACGACCTAGAGAGAGTTCTCCCAATGCCCAAGCTCGTGTTATCGTCATGTTTTGGAGGTGTCAGTTTTCTCATGTTCACAACTCTTTCCACCATTTGAGTCCCCATCAAGACATTATTCACATCATTGCTAATCTTGGATTGTCTTGTCGATTTGTCACCTGAACTGTAGACTCTGCTTCTTGAGGGTGAGACAGGTCTAGCACGTGTTTCAGGGGTTGTTAAAGTTGTAGATTTGGCACTAGAAACTGACTTTCTCACCAAGGATGAACGGGTAAAAGAAGATGCTTGTGGAGTAGATTCGATTGAAGAGGTTCTACTGCATGGATTTTATTTATGAGCAGAATTGGTTAGTCTTGTGGAAAGTAATCTGGTTCGCGAAATGGGTGTGGCTTGTCTTGAAGGTTTACTATTGGTTTTAGTTCTGCAGCCGTGTTGGCTTGTTTCCTAAAAGCAGTTCTTGGGATTGGTGTGGAAGCCTTGATGCTCTGTGTCACAGGTTCTTGAGGGATGTTTTCGACCTTAAAACAAAAGCTTAACATGAATGAGCACCAGTAATCATTAATTGTACGCAAATATTTTTTTTAACATCATTTTTTACACAAATATCTAAACATGGAGAATGATGAAACTAGCTAGTGCTGAAAACATGGACCACAATACCAAAATTGTATGAACATCATACTTAACACTAGGAAAGTATTAGGAAAGAGTGGCAAAAAATCTTGAACAACATGACATAAATCAATCTTTTATCATGTGGTTTTAGAGGAGTGGACCTAGCTTTAGGCTCCTTGAGTTTAACCTGGATTTTCTTGCCCTCCTAGCATCTTATGAGCCGCAAGTAACATGGAATCATATAATCTCTTGATGAATATTTCAATGAAAGGGAGTACTCAAATCAAACATTAATTATAATAACAACAAATAGTAACCAGAACGAGATCACTTTTATCTGATCATTGTTGAACGGTTGTTGCACCAAAAAGTAAAATGAAACAGAAGGTTAACGATGGAGAACACAAATCATATGAAACAAAGATGAAGAAGAATGATGATGGCGAATAAGGAGAAAGAAGATTTAACTTTGACATGATATATATGAGTTGACTTGATATATGTGAGTTGAATTTGATTTATCTTTTTAATTCATTGGCAGTAAAGAGAACTTTTTTTCTAAACTAAACCTCACTAATCCAAATGTTTTTTTTTGTTTCTATGACGAATGAAACTAATGTTCACATTAACACATCCTCGTTGAATACTCACATTTGTTGATCACTAGAAAACAGGCTAATAAACCAAAAGCGTATCACCTATTGGTTTGTTCAGGTGAGTTAAGTACTCATAGTTTGAGAATTGAGACCATGGATAAGTTCCACCATCTACATTGGTTCTCTTTTGGACATGTTACATGTAGACGCTTTGGTTTGGGTGGTATTTATACTCGGTCTTCTACATGTCTCGAGAATGAGTTTGAGTTTTTACTTCTAATATTTAAAATAGAGAAAAATTTAATGATCCATCTATTCGTAATTTTATATTGACTACTCAGGAATAATGATTAATCAGAAAAAAAATTGATAGAACAACAACAAATAAAGATAAAACATTCATAAACAATGCATTAAAACCCTAGAAGAGGACTTTAGAAACTTGTCAAAAGTAATTATCTTCATCAAGACACCCAACAATAGGAAAATGTGCAATACTCTTTCAATCTCAGGAATCTCTCTCACAAATTTTTCAATAAATGAATCAAGAAAATTGAGTATTTTTCCATTTTCCATTGTCTTGCTTTGGAAATTTTGTTTCAACACATTGGTACTTGTTTTAATTTATGATGAGAAAACTCCTCCTGTTGCAGTGACAACATTGTTCATATGTTGAAGTCCATTTGGTTGTTCTGAAATATACAATTATCACAATTTGGTGTTATCTAACTATGATAGTAAATCTAGTAACATGTATAGAAAGAAATGTGGAATTTAACTCACTCTGAGGAAGTTTGTCTACGAAGAAACATATGGCAATAATGAAGTAGCAAAGCAAGAGGACTAGTCCCTTCATGTAGTGAGAAGTCCCATCCTAAAGAACCACATAACATAACATGTATTTAATAATTGAACTTTTGGATCATCCATTGATTCGTCTTAAGGATTAATATTTTTGTAAGATGTTGAAAAATACTTTACCTGTAATGTGAAAGCTGTGATGATAATGGAAAGAGCAAGAGAACCGGTTTCAAGGAGATTGAAATTGAGATCCATGTGAATTCCTAGAATCCATGCCACGATAATGGTCAATGGGACGACGAATAAGCCAATCTGAGTAGCAGAGCCCAATGCAACTCCCAAAGATATGTCCTGTAAATCATTTTCAGTTTATGCATTTTATCATTGTAATCAACAAGTTTTATATATAATAAGATGTTGGCTTGATTGATTAAAAACGATAAGTGTAAGGAAATTAAAGAAAGAGAACTCACAAGCTTGTTCTTAAAAGCGAAAATAACGGCTCCAGCGTGTTCAGCTGCGTTTCCAACAATAGGAAGCAATATGATGCTTATGAAACTCACTGATAAGTTCCATGTTTCCGATGCATCCTAACACAATAAAAAAACATATTAACATGTTCCAAATCCCATTAACAAAAAAAAAACACACACACATATTATCAATTGAAAACCAATTGACGATACATATTTTTAATACATTAATGTTAGGTGTCAGTTCCGATGCGGGATTCCGAACACATAACAAAAAAGTTACCTCAATTGTGGCCACAACATACTCCGATAGCAATGCGATGACGAGTGTCATCCCAACCAACCAGGAAAAACCACTCCAAAAACTAATCACAGGGGTTTCTTCCTCCACATTGTCATCATACTCATCTTCCTGTAACAAATTTCGTTTCAATGATCCATTAGAACAAAATAATATATATATCGGTAATGTTTTAACCAGGGGCGGAGGCACTAGGTGAGTAGTGGGGTCAGCTGACCCCTACTAATTTTAAAAATTCTATTATATGTCTTTATATTAAATCTAATGAACCCAACTAAAAATATTTTTTGACCCCATTGACCCAAGTAAAAACTAATTTATATGTACAAAAAGCCCATTACTATTATAAGTTGAACCCACGTTTAAGTCAAACCCAAAAAATTAATACAACTTTCAATGATTTACATAGATTAATACAAAAACACACCTAAATTATATTTCTAATAATAAACAAAACAATAGACAAAGTTCTTTGTCTCTTCCTCTTCTCATTGACGAAGAAAAAAAAAAAAAACCTAAATCATGGCTTCTAATCAAGCTCAAGGTAATCAATTATTTCCTTTGCTATTTCATTGAAAAAACTTTTCTTATTCGTGATGTGATTCGTTTGTTTGCAACGACTTGTGATTCAATTTTTTTATACAGTTAGTTTATGGCTTCTTCATCAATCGTTACTGTGTAGTTTCATAATTTATTTATTTTCACTGCTTAGATAATTTTATTATATCTAATTTATGTTTACTTTAACTTTTTAGTTTATTATTTGTAAATTGTAATTACCTAATTTACTTTGATTTACAGTTAAACTCATGGAACGATTTTGCAAAAGAAAAGCTCCATCAACAGATGATATTGATTTAGATGACTTGCCGTATGATCCCGGTGAAAGAAAAAGAATAACGGAATATCATCCTAATCAAAGAGACGAGGTAAGACGCAAGTATTTAACTAGAGGACCTTGTCAACCTCGTGGCCATAATTTTGAACAGCGAGTTATAGGAGGTGCACTAAGGCGATTTAATCCTCGTTGGTTTGATCAGTTTGGTGAATGGTTAGAATATAGTGTGAAGAAAGAAAGAGCATTTTGTTTGTGTTGTTACTTATTCAGAGATAACAACGAAAAGAAAGGTGGCAATGATGCATTTGTGACTGAAGGATTTGATGGTTGGAATAAGTTTGATAGAGTGTCTGGTCATGAAGGTAAATCAGTAAACAGTTTTCATCGCAGAGCTAAGAAGATGTGTGAAGACTTGATGAGACAAGGTCAATCAATTGCACATGCTCTTCAAAAACAGTCCGATGTTGTGAAAAATGAGTATCGTGTTAGATTAAATGCTTCAGTTGATGCTTCTAGATACTTATTGAGGCAAGGATTGCCGTTTCGAGGTCATGATGAGTCAAGAGATTCCAGTAACAAAGGAAATTTTTTGGAGTTAGTGAAGTATACCGCAGAACAAAATGAAGTTGTGAGTAAAGTTGTGCTGAAGAATGCTCCTGGAAATAATCAAATGGTGTCTCCTCCAATTCAAAAAGATATTGTTCATTGCTTTTCAGAAGAAGTAGTCAATTCCATACTTCAAGAGATTGATCATGATGTCTTTAGTTTGCTGGTGGATGAATCGGCAGATGTTTCTGATAAAGAGCAGATGGCTATAGTTTTTCGTTTTGTTGATAAACATGGAATCATTAAAGAGAGATTTGTTGGCCTTATCCATGTGAAGGAGACATGTTCTTTATCTCTGAAATCTGGTATTGATTCATTGTTTGCTAAGTACAGTTTGAGTTTGAAAAAGGTAAGAGGACAAGGATATGATGGAGCAGGGAACATGAGAGGTGAACTCAATGGATTGAGAACATTGATTTCAAGAGAAAGTAGCTCTGCATATTATGTTCATTGTTTCGCTCACCAGCTTCAGTTAGTTGTTGTTGGAGTTGCAAAAAAGCATTTTGAAGTTGGAGATTTCTACGATATGATCTCTTTGTTGGTAAACGTGGCAGGAGCTTCTTGTAAGAGAAAAGATATGATTCGAGATAGTCAACGAAAAATGGTTGAGGAAGGAATAAGTAGTGGCGAAATCAAGACTGGAACAGGTCTAAATCAAGAGTGTTCACTTCAAAGACCAGGAAATACACGTTGGGGTTCTCATTATAGAACATTGTTGCAATTAGTTAAGATGTTTCCTTCTGTGATTGAAGTACTTGAGTATGTCCAGAATGAAGGCGTAGATAACACCAAAAGACGCCAAGCCAATGGTCTTCTCAAATACATTCATACTTTTGATTTTGTGTTCTATCTACAATTGATGATGCTTCTTTTAGGACTCACGGAGAGTTTATCGATGGCATTACAAAGAAAAGATCAAGACATCATAAATGCTGTTTCGTTAGTGGAATCCACTAAGCGACAATTGCAAAAGCTAAGAGATGATGAATGGGATTCTTTTGTGAAAAAGGTTTCTGATTTTTGTGAGAAACACAACATTGAAATGATCAACATGGAAGACGATTTCATTGATTCGAGGAGGCCACGGAAAAAGACCAACATAAGCAACTTGCATCATTACAAAGTCAATTGTTTTTATACTGTTTTGGATATGCAGCTTCAGGAGTTTAATGACCGCTTTAACGAGGTAAACTCTAAATTACTCATATGCACGGCGGCTTTAAATCCTGTTGATTCATTCCGCGAGTTTGACAAAGAGAAACTGTTGAGATTGGCTGAATTTTATCCTGAAGATTTTAGTTCCGTGGAGTGCATATCTCTAGAGCATCAACTTGACATTTATATTGATAATGTACGAGAAGATGAAAGGTTTAGTGTTTTGAAAAATCTTGGAGATCTAGCACGGATGATGGTGGAAACTAAGAAGCATCTTTCACATCCTTTAGTTTATAGGCTTTTGAAGCTGGCTTTGATTTTGCCTGTTGCTACTGCAACCGTCGAGAGATGTTTTTCCGGGATGAAGATTGTGAAAACTGCTCTACGAAATCGCATTGGTGATCAGTTTTTAAGTGACTGTCTAATTTGTTTCATCGAAAGAGAATTATTCGAAAATGTAACAAATGAAACAGTGATAAAAAAGTTTCAGGGTATGAGTGAACGTAGAGTACAGTTGTAATTTTTTTTTTGGATAGTTTATAAACTTTTGTTTTCAATTTTTTTTTGACCCCAGTTAAAAACAATCCTGGCTCCGCCACTGGTTTTAACATTTGATGTTATCTTGTGTATATCTATTTCAGTTACCTGATCTTGTGCGTCGAACAATTGGCGGTGAGTCCAAAGCTGGAAAACGAGATATGCAATGTAACCGATCAACATAACAATACTGCTTGCTCGAGATAGAGTCAGTGACATGTCGGAGATAACAGCAGCCGAAGTGTCTCCATGTTCCACGTACGTATCCAAACAACATTGGTAGCAAGTGACACAACAAACCCATTAGGAGTAAGAAGAAGTTCACATCGGCTTGTTTCTGCAACAGCGACCACAAAATATGATTTGGTTTAGCAAATCCACTACTTAACTTTTGTTCAAACTACTTAATTTAACAAAGTAATTAACCTATCATTGACCGACTACCACTTGCTTGTTTATCAAGCTAAACTTTAAAATAAATTCCTGGTTAACACTAGCCGTACAAATTCCATTCCCGGTCGAACCGTTGCTCCCAACGGAGATTAGCGATTCCACCACAAAAGAGTGAAGTCCCGAGAACTAATAAAAGAATCGAACCTAGCAACGAATATTTCACAACTGCGAGCTTGTTATTGGTCAAAGCCAGAATAGCGATTATCAATTCAGTCGCGTTTCCACATGTGGCGTTCAATAGACCACCCACTGTGGTTCAAAAACACAAACATAAATGAGTTTCTACTGATAAAATAAGAGTAGATAATGTTTGTAAATTGAAATTGAGAATGAAAAAAAAATAGTTGGTTAAGAAGAGCGTTACATGTAGGACCCGTGTAGAAAGCTAGTTGCCTGCACGAGATGCACGAGAGAATGTGAATATAAAGTTACCACAACCTAAAAGGTTTTGAACTTTTTATGGCGTCATGCCAAAGTTGTCAGTCCTAGCAAGCTAAGTCGAAATATCCACGGCTATAATAATATTCACGATTTAACATTATATTAAATATGTACAATATATGGTGGTTAAACATTCATATTAAGTGCACAATTACGTGGCAAAACTCACCAAAAATTTAACTTCAAAACATCAATGATTGCAAATCCAATCTAATGGTGAGTAGTAATGCCAAAATATCATCAAAATTAATAACAGTTGTATAATTTTATGGGAAGAAATCAAGATTTATTGTGTGATGATTTTTAGCCTTCTATAGAATGATAATTCTTTGGCAGTATTTTGAATGTTTTTAAAATAATTATGAAACAAACTATAGAAATTACATTTATGAAGCAGAGGAAATATGTATACAAATCTATAGATCACAAACCTGACTGAAGCCACAATAGGTGCAGTTGATGGCTGCAGATATGGCCGGAAAAAGAATGGTAAGCTTCGTACCGAGAATGACTTCTTGAAGATTAGAGAGAAAATCTTTGAGACCTTTGTATAGAACCTTCTGGATCATTCGGAGGTCTGATTTCTTCCTCAACGAAGAGGGTGACATATGTTGTGAGCTGTTCTTCCATGTCTCAGTTCTCTGCTCGAACCTTTGGCCGTCACGCTTGCGTTTCCGTTGTCCGCTGATGACCACGGCTCTGTCACGATTCCAGCCATTATTTCACCACTGACTCAAAATTATGTTTATTCTTCTGAGTAACAAATGTTTTTTGTTGTTGATGTTGTTGTGTCTCCGAAATTTACTTTGCTGATTCTTATGTGTGTTTATAAAAGAACTAGTATGTACTACGTACGGGTGAAAATTATATATTACGTATCCATGTTGTCGTTTTTAACTCAAATCTTTACATTCATAATTCTCATAATATGTAATTTATTTCCTGAAAAAAAAAAAAATAAAAAAAAAAAAAATTTATTTCCTGAAAAAATTGTTTACATTTCAATAGATTCTGAAATTAAATATTATTTCAATTGATCAATGCTTTTCAGTACACAAACGATTCATTAACACAAGTTATTTGGGCTGTTTTATTTATTTTTTACGTATTATCTTTGATTGTGTTTTATGTGGTTGTTTGAATGCTTTATCATTTAAAACTTTGCTTTTTTTTTTTATCATTTAAAACTTAAATACCTTTAGATACATGTTCAGACCACCACTTGTCTATTAAACTATTATTACTTGTGGGGACATGCACGTTCCACTTTTATTTGCATGTGATCCACTTGTCACTTGTCAGTTATAAACTCTATATACATATAATTTTTTTTTGTTTTTGTAAAAGAAGAGAATATATTGCTTTGTGTAAAAAAAAAAAACAGAGAAGATTACTTTTGAATAAAAAGGGAAGAATATTTTATAATAGGTGTTACCAAAAATTTTTATATTTTACCTAAAGCAATGTTTAATAATAGTAAAATATTAGCAACAAAGAAAATAATTTAAAAGTAAAATATCAAATACAGACGTCTAGCGGTCTAGGTAAAGATTTTCACGCGTGTTTAAAAATCCGTGAACCTAATTTATTTTTAATTGCGTATTGACCTAATCGTTCCTCACCCGTCATCTTTCCTAGTGGATCTACATCTATCCTCTTCCTCATAACTTTTATCTTATAAGTTCTCCTTCTCTTAGTGTTTGTTTTTTTATTTATTTTATCTTCTCTCGTTCTTATGTCTTATCAAGTCCTTTCTTCTTTATTTTTGTTGTTATCTCGTTGTAATGGTTTATTTTTTGGTTTTCAATCTCTAGGTAGTTTTGATGGCCAATCCCAGATCTGGTGATCGAGAGATTTGTTGGTTGAAGTTGATGGAGAATTCCAGATCTGGTGATCCTGATTAGTTTACGCTTAGCCTGACCCTGCCATCAAAGGGTTTATGGCTAAGAATTTTATGGTCATGAAGTTTTTGTGTTTTGAAACCCTTTTGCTTGAATATTTCGTAGCTTGAAACTTTTTTTTGGGTCCAGCGAGGATCCAGACGAAGAAGAAGACAGAGACCTCGTAAGAGTATTCTCCACCGTCATAGTCGCCGGCCATGGAGAAAACAAGGTGAAGGAGAGATTAATTCGTCCCCAAAATCAAACGGAAGATGAAGAAAATGTTGTTCTCTTTTCGTGAGGTAAAAACATGTCCTCTCTTTCGGTTTACGAAGCTGAGTGCAATTGTTTTATTTTATCAAGCAAAACCAAAGTAAACCGAGAAATAAACCAAAAGTGCACTTAATTGTAACACCGGTTGGCATTTGACCCGTTTATGCTCTCGGGTAAATCTTGCGCAGGTTTCTATATTTCGTCTCCTAACATTAAACCCCTTTGTCCAAAAAAAAAGAAAAAAAAAAAACATTAAACCCTATATCGGAAAGGAAAAGACGATCACTTGCCTCGAATTCTTCCTAATGTTTCATCCAGAAGATGAAATCATCACCGAGAAAACCAGCTACATCGATGAGGATGGTAATGTGGCACCAATGACGGAAGAGAAGGTTTGTGAAAAGTCCAATTCTTTAACCCTCTAAAATAGGGCATATCTGTATGAATCTGTGATTTATCTTTGGGTTATCATGATGCTTAGCCCACTCAATTTCTTTGATGTTCCCAGGCACTGTATTTCAGAACCTATGAAGCTGAAAAGGTTCCAGCAGGTGAAGAACTGGAAAAATGTGTACTCCCGGAGGATGACCTTATTTTACTAGCTATTGTAGGCATAAAGGTGAGGATTGATTTGGTTTGTTTATGTACGTTTTACTTCAATTTGGTTCTTAATGTACAATGTGGTTTATCCGGGGATTAGTCAAATATATACTTTGTGGTAGTGTGGCTCTTGTCCTTTGAGATCGCTTTCAATTTTTCACTTCACATTGCATAGTACTCCATATATGCATTTGTAGGCACATTTTTGTTATATATCAGACAACCACCCGCATGTCATGTCCTGCAATATACTTGGTAATGTTTCTTATCGAAATGTTGAAATGTGCACAGGATCCCTGTAGACCAGGAGTCAAAGATTCAGTTCAGTTGTGTCAAAATGCTGGTGTCAAGGTACTTCTTTTGTTCTATCATATTTTAAAGAGCCAGAAATGCCCATGGCAATATTTTATTTGTTAGCCTGTTAATAACGCTGCATGATTACTTAATGATATTTGTTTATGTTCAGGTCCGTATGGTTACTGGTGACAACGTCCAAACTACTAGGGCTATTGCTTTGGAGTGTGGAATATTAACTTCAGATGCGGATGCCTCCGAACCCACTCTCATTGAAGGAAAATCATTCCGCGCAATGACCGATGCAGAAAGGGACAAGATTAGTGACAAAATATCGGTACTTTTCACAGCATTACTTCCCAATTCCTTAGTTTGAATGCGTTGGTATGTAATTGGAATGTCCTAGTCTTATTCCATGTAGAGGTGGGGCCTGTCTTCAGGCTTTTAATACACATATTCTCCCTGAACATCAGATGCATCAGTTATTGTAAATATGATATAGTAGTAACAGCCTAAATGGAAATTGACTTGTTTACTTTACTTGTGAAGGTTATGGGCCGATTATCGCCCAATGACAAGCTTCTGCTGGTACAATCTCTGAGAAGACAAGGGCATGTTGTTGCTGTTACCGGAGATGGGACAAATGATGCTCCTGCATTGCACGAGGTATAGAAATTCTCAAAACAATTGGTTATGTGACTCTGTCAAAATATACTTTTGTTCATTTTCTCATTGGTGTTGGACTCTCTGAGTGAATTTGCAGGCAGATATTGGTCTTGCTATGGGAATAGCTGGTACAGAAGTGGCTAAGGAGAGTTCGGACATCATCATCTTGGATGACAACTTCGCCTCAGTTGTCAAGGTTTGTTAAGATCACTTTTTTCTTCGAGTGCAGAGAATGCTATGGACTGGTTCAGGTTCATCGACTGATTCAGGTTCATCGAGTGGTTCAGATTCCTCGACTGGTTCAGATTCATCGACTGGTTCAGATTCCTCGACTGGTTCATATTCATCGTCTGATTCAGATTCATCGACTGGTTCAGATTCATCGACTGGTTCAGATTCATCGACCGGTTCAGAACGAAATTTGTTTCTCAACCAGTCGAGGAATCTGAACCAGTTGATGAATCTGAATCAGACGATGAATATGAATCAGTCGATGAATATGAATCAGTCGATGAACCTGAACCAGTCGATGAACGAAACGAGGATGGAGATAATGGTAGACAGACCACGTCAGTTGTTCTTCAAAAACTTGTGTCCATTGTGGACGAGGATGAAAAACCAGGAAATGCAGAAGATCCCGGAAATGAGACAGTTGCAGATGCATCTAAACAAGTCAGTATAATTTTCTTTTTTTTTTGTTATAAAATTATATTTACACATTGCAGATTTTGGAGATGCCAATTGGCGAGCACCGGAGCAGTTGAAGAATAGTAAGGAATCTGATTCTACTGACTTGTTTTAGCTGGGATGCATATTATTCTATGCGTTTACTGGGCATCATCCGTATGGAGATGAGAAGGTCCGTGGAAACAATATTCGACAAAGCTCGAGAGTGAAAGTGATTACCTCTCTCTTAAAGAATTGTGAAGCTGCATGTCTCATCGCCAATCTGCTGGAGCGGAATCAAGGGTAATTTATTTGATTTAGATTCTAATTTAGATTTACTTGACAAATGTTGTTTCTAATTTATTGGTTTTGTGGGTTTGTATTTGCAGTAGTTGCAGTATTACTGCTTCCGACGCGGTTCAACATCCCCTTTTCTGGGATTCTGACAGGAGACGCAACTTCTTGAGAGACTCCATTGAGTACATAATGAATCTGGATGCTTCTGCTCAAGTCATAAAGGACCTGCATGCAAGAGTAGGGTGGAATTATGCTCTGGTTGGAATAAACTCCTGGATGCGGATCTTGTCAGTCACATGGTGGCCATGGGCGGTAATTACAATTACAACTACGTAAAAGACTTGCTAAGGTTCATTAGAAACGTGATTTCTCACTACAGAGAGTTTCCATCTGAAATCCAGGTTTCTTTCTCCTTATCTCATTTTGACATTGTCAGAAACACAAACTAAGTTTAGAAACTTTATCAGGCTATCGTGAGTGATGGTGTTGAGCAATACTTTGCTCTGAAGCTTGAGAGGCTCTTGATGGATGTCTACACGGCAATCTCTAAGAACTGCAAGGGAAACGCTACATTCAGAGCCTACTTCTTACCTTGAACATTCATTTACTTTTTTTTGTTAGTAGGATAATATTGTAAGGCAGGCGCCAAAATAACTAATGGTTTCTATCAAAATTTTGGTTGATTTTCATTCCAGTTTTAAATCTTCTTAACCCAATGTTTAAATATGTTGAGTTAAGCGACACAGCTTTGGTGTTTGCCATTACAAATGTTGCTTATTTCTCCGTGTGTTCTTTAAAAGAATTATATTTTGTTAAATCCAGAGGGATATCGATCAGTATACTCAGCTTGTGCAATAAATGTCCATCGATGTTTGATGTTGTGGCACATCAAGAGATGTGTCTTTTCCCTCATCTGACAATCGTCTCTTTTTCTTTTTCTAAATTTGTTGTTGCTTGCTAAGACATGTTTATTTCTCATTTGCTTTGCAGACACACTTAAAAATTCTATCGTGCTCTGTTACTTACTTAGATGAAGTTCACCATCAACGGCTTCTTTCTCTTGCAAGTTTTTTTTTCTCTTTTTTTGTTCTTTAGTATTACAGTTGAATTCACACATACCTTATTTACCTTCCTCTAAGATTCATCACATTTATTGTCTTTGGAATGAGAATTTGGGATCACAAACCAAATGTAATATATGCATTGCTGGACCTAATTATATCACTGGTACACAGCTCAGCAACTACCCCTCATGTCAACCAGATATATTATCTGCTTAAGGAGCTTTTAACAGTTTGTGATTTTCTCCTTTTCCATCTTTAGGCCACTACTAGCGGAAACTATCCCAACTCTTGATTGGAGATGCTCATATTTACTTTTACTGCAGACTCAACAATAAGATGCCGGAAGTTCTTTCCCGGGTGCACGCAGCTCTCCACAAGATTTCGTATTTAGTTTCCCTTTCTCCCTCAAAATTACTGTCCATACTCGTAAATACACAACAAAGACCATGTAAGTTTTTAGTTCTGTTCAAGTTTAGACAAATGTAACAGCAAGCTTATTGTCTTGCAGGTTTTGGTGACATGTGGATAACTTGTTGAGGTTGGAGAACAGCTCAATAGGAAAAATTATTGGCAACGTGCTTCTTATGGTGGTAATGGAGAGGTTGTGAGATCTCGATGTAAGTGGACGGAATTTGATTCATAAACAACTGTATTTTCCATACAAGTATAGAGTATAGCCACTAAGTAAAGTGGTAAGTAAATGAAATGATATTCTCCAAGATAACTCCAGTATAGGCATGTTTGATATGGAACTTGAAGTTGCAGTTGAAGGCACCATGAATGAAGGAGAGGAGGTAGGTTAGTGTGTGTGTTTGTTTGCTGTTTATGCAAAATCCACAAAACTTAACTTGATGGTTGAAAGTTTCAGGATTACAAGGTGCTAGGCTCCTTCATTGTCGGCATGGGATGTCTTGGCTTAGATTCATCTAGATAATTCGTCATTCTAGACTCCTGACACTTTACTTCATTGTTGGCATGAGATATCTTTGGCTTAGACTCATTTTGATTTCGTCTGCAGTTCCTGATGTTCACTAGATCCTGAAAATTGTGATCTTGAAACTTTCGTGGCCTTTGACTTCCCTTACTGTTACTAAGCAATACTCTTTCTAAGTTTATGACCAAAAAATCATATAACCATGTACTAGTTACTATGGTTTTAAATTGAATACCCTTCGTAAAAAAAAACAAGGAAACAACTTGTGGCTTTTGCTTTGCAACCAAATTGAATACCCTATCAAACTCTTTTGTCTCTTCAACGCTCCACTGAGGAAACCTATCCCCAACCGCTACCGGAGACGTTATTTCCGGCGTTTGCGATTGAGGATGATGAAGATGATGCTTGTTGAGATATTGAAGCTGGTGAAGGTGATGATGCTGATGTCCATCCATATGAAAGAATCAAGAAGAACTAGTAAAAAAAAAACAAAAAACAAAATCAACTTGCCCTCGCGGCTCTCTTTGGAGCTTCCTTCGTTGCTGTTTCTGGGTTTTTCATGCATTTCAAGGCCCTGAATCTAGTCCTTGAGCGTGGTAAGGAGCGTAAAGAGAACCCTGAAGGAGACGAGCCTCAAAATCCTACCTTGGTGAGGCGGCGGAGCCAGGTTAGAAGGAAGGGTATTGACCAATACGGTCGCAGCCCGGCTTCGCTTCCAGATGCCACTCCTTTTACCGATGGCGGCGGCGGCGGCGGTGGTGATACAGGTCGGAGCAACGGTCACGTTTATGTCGATGAAATCCCTCCTGGTCTCCCGAGGCTTCATACGCCATCTGAAGGTTCGAGAATCAAACCTGAATCGATCAGATTAGATTTTGGATTATAAAAATTGATCCTTTTACGGGTTTAGTGTTGTTTTAGTGCTATTTGATTCCAATTGCAATCCTTTGATGATGCTGATAGATAGTCTGTGATTGTTTTTTTCAGGGAGAGCTTCAGTACATGGAGCTAGTAGTATCAGGAAAACTGGAAGCTTTGTTAGACCAATCTCTCCGAAATCCCCTGTTGCTAGTGCTAGTGCTTTTGAGAGTGTGGAAGAATCTGATGATGATGATAATTTGACTAATACTGAGGGTTTAGATGCTTCCTACTTGCAAGCTAATGGTGACAATGAATTGGTGAGTTTCTTGATTTTATCATATTTCAAATCCATGTTTTGTGATTGAATGGGGTGGAGTTACAAGTAAGACGTTTTTTTGCAGCCTGTAGATGCCAATGAAGAGCAAATATCTATGGCTGCTTCAAGTATGATTCGATCACACAGTGTGTCTGGTGACTTACATGGAGTTCAGCCTGATCCTATTGCCGCTGATATTCTTCGTAAGGAGCCAGAGCAAGAGACCTTTGTCCGTCTTAATGTTCCTCTTGGTAAGAATGCTCACTTTTTTTTTTCCTTCTGTCATCTTGCCTAACTTCTGGTTTCTGTTTTCTTAGTGCTCTTTTCATGTTGTTACAAATCATGACATGTTTGTTTCGTAAGTCCCACTAGTTTTTCTAGTGGCAAGTAATTAAGTGGAGTTACAGATAATTATATAACTAGTCTTAAGTGAGACAAGCAAGGGTCAATTAAGGCTTTACTCTATGTGGGAGCTGAGCCATTGGAATCCTTAAAGTATAGTTTATGAATTATAGCTTGAAACAATTAGAGTTCAACACATTTCTTATTCAGATTTTACATATGTTCTGTTTAGAGGTGCCAACATCCGATGAAGTTGAAGCCTATAAATGTCTGCAAGAATGTCTTGAACTGCGGAAGAGGTATGTCTTCCAAGAAACAGTTGCACCATGGGAAAAAGAAGTCATATCTGATCCTAGTACTCCAAAGCCTAATACAGAGCCATTTGCACACTATCCTCAGGGAAAATCTGATGTGAGTCATTACTCCTTATATATGTCATCAAACACCATGCATTGATGAACTTAACTTCCCAATCTTTGTTTTTACAGCATTATTTTGAGATGCAAGATGGGGTAGTCCACGTGTTTGCAAATAAAGATGGTAAGAGCCCTAGTATTGAAATTCTAATGCTTCTTTCTCCTGTAACCATAAAAGTTGATTTGGTTGCATTCTTTTACTTTTCGAAAAACTGACCCTTGTTCTGTTTCATACTTCCCAGCAAAAGAAGAGCTCTTCCCGGTAGCTGATGCCACAGCGTTTTTCACTGACTTGCATCACGTACTCAAAGTCATAGCTGCAGGAAACATCCGGACTTTGTGCCATCGTCGACTAGTGCTCCTAGAACAGGCAAGAGTTTTATTTAGAGAAGAAAAAATGTCAAGAAGCAAGTTTGGTCTGGTTAACAGTATGACTCTTTTTTTCTTGTTTCAGAAATTTAATCTCCATTTGATGCTTAATGCGGATAAAGAATTTCTTGCTCAAAAAAGTGCAACACATCGTGATTTTTATAACGTTAGGAAAGTCGACACTCATGTGCATCATTCAGCTTGCATGAACCAGAAACACCTTTTAAGGTTTATCAAGTCAAAGCTCCGGAAAGAACCCGATGAGGTAACAATTGCAAACCATATGTTTTAGGATAGTATATAATTTGTTGATATGCAGATATGATAATTTCTTGCTCCTCTATACAGGTTGTAATATTCCGAGATGGAACATATTTGACCTTAAGAGAAGTTTTTGAGAGCCTGGATCTGACTGGGTAATTACGTTACCAACTTCTAAGAATTCCCAACTTAATTCAATCTGAATTTGATTTCTGCAAGACTATTAGATTACTCTCTTAGGAGCCTCCTAGTTGTTGCTCACTGCAGATTGCCTGTATTACATTTTTACCATGACGCTGAACAAATAATCTTCTTCCCTTTGTTTGAACTTTGCACAGATATGACCTGAACGTCGACCTTTTGGATGTTCATGCAGACAAAAGTACCTTTCATCGTTTTGATAAGTTCAACCTAAAGTATAATCCTTGTGGTCAAAGTAGGCTTAGGGAGATTTTCCTTAAACAGGATAATCTCATCCAAGGTAATTGAATACTCTAGTCAGTAGTCACTCTTAATACCTTTTTAGTTCACATGTTGCATCAGTTATGCACACTCGGTTGCCTGACATTTCTTTTCGTTTGGTTTTAGGTCGATTTCTTGGTGAGATAACAAAGCAAGTCTTCTCTGACCTTGAAGCTAGTAAATATCAGGTAAACGCCACATGCATCTTCAGTAATTTTATTCTTGGTCAACTGCAGTAGTCTTATGCATTTAGAACGAACATTATAACAGAGGAACACTGTTACAATCAAATCTATTATAACTAAGCTTTTAATATAATGATTTGCTGGGAATATAAAGAGACTTAGGATTTGGTAATGGACTCCTTCTATTCCCCCTTACAAATGCAAAGCTTGCTATTTCTTGTTGCATATACTAGGAAAAGATATAGTAGTAAAAGCCTTGGATTTTTAGTCTCAGTAACCATATCAAACTCACACTTCCTCACATATGCACATTATCATGGAATTGCTTAAATTCTGTGTTAAGAAATCTTCTTGCCAAAGCAGATCCATTATTACTCTGTTTTGTTTTTCCTGATGTCTACTTCGAATACCGCAGATGGCCGAATACAGAATATCTATATATGGCAGAAAAATGAGTGAGTGGGACCAACTCGCTAGTTGGATTGTGAACAATGATCTATACAGTGAGAATGTTGTCTGGTTAATTCAGGTTAGCCATCTCTTTGATACTTGTGTGCTCCATGTCCTTCCATGAGTGTATGTGTTTTTTTCTCTCCGTGTGTTTGTGACATGACTGCTAATGAGCTATATTTTCCTTGTTTTCTGTTTTTCTGCTCACTAGCTCCCACGCTTGTACAACATTTATAAGGACATGGGTATCGTGACATCTTTCCAGAATATCCTGGACAATATTTTCATTCCTCTGTTTGAAGCCACGGTAGATCCTGATTCCCATCCCCAGCTCCATGTTTTCTTGAAGCAGGTTAGCATTCATATCTGCAAATAACCTCTAATCCGCATGTCTTTGCACAAGAAAGAGTTGGTTTGACTGGTTGCTGTCTCTTGCTTGTTTTGATTGTTTATTTGTTTTTGTTGCTCGTTTCTTCTTTGCTATTTCAGGTTGTTGGATTTGATTTGGTTGATGATGAAAGCAAACCTGAAAGACGTCCCACAAAACACATGCCCACTCCAGCTCAATGGACTAACGCATTCAATCCTGCATTTTCTTACTATGTCTACTATTGTTATGCTAACCTCTATGTGTTAAATAAGGTACCATTCCCCCTAGTCGCTTCTGTAACTAACTTGGTGCTGTCAAAACTGTGTAATATGAAGTAACTATTTTTCTTCAGCTTCGAGAGTCAAAGGGCATGACTACCATCACGCTGCGACCACATTCTGGAGAGGTGTGTTATTTCTTCCTTTGTGCTATATAAACAGTTTTTAAGTTACAGTTCAGTGGAATTTTAACATGTCTACAATTTTCAGGCTGGTGACATTGACCACTTGGCTGCTACGTTTCTAACATGCCATAGCATTGCACATGGAATCAATCTGCGAAAGTCTCCTGTGCTTCAGTATCTATACTACCTCGCCCAGGTTTGTAGAGACTGCCTGCTTGTATTACATATATTATTGATTCTGCTCTAAGAATTTACTGGACATTTATTCCATTTCTTTTGACAGATTGGTCTGGCCATGTCTCCACTGAGCAACAACTCTTTGTTTCTAGATTACCACCGAAACCCGTTTCCTGTGTTTTTCTTAAGAGGTCTCAATGTGTCTCTGTCTACTGATGACCCCCTTCAGATTCACTTAACTAAAGAGCCGCTCGTGGAAGAGTATAGCATAGCTGCCTCAGTAAGTGATGATGTTTCAATTATACATTCATGTCAAACATCATAGACCATGAAAGTTAATTATCTTTGGTTATTATTACCTTTGGATGATTTTTATGGATCTTCTGCAATTGCAAATACCAATGAACAATGAAACTTCTCTCTAGACATCCTTTTCTTCTAGTATTCAGTTATATTGATGTATTAACTGAATATGATAACTGGATTTTCAGGTTTGGAAGCTGAGTGCGTGTGACCTGTGCGAGATAGCTCGTAACTCAGTGTACCAGTCAGGTTTCTCACATGCCCTGAAGGTACTTATTATATCAAAACATAGCCTGTAGTTATTAATCAACAGGATATCTCTGTTCCGATCTACTAATAATACTAACTCTGTGACATGTTTTAGTCGCACTGGATTGGAAAAGACTACTACAAAAGAGGACCCGATGGAAACGACATTCACAAAACAAACGTGCCACACATAAGGGTGGAGTTCCGTGACACGGTATGGAATGAAATATTTATTCTTCACACAGGTTAAGTCCTCTTTGTAGGAAAACAAATTAAATTTATGAAGTTGATGCAGATCTGGAAAGAGGAGATGCAACAGGTTTATCTAGGCAAGGCTATTATCTCAGATGAAGTTGTTCCGTAAACACCGCAATCAGAAATGGCAACGTTTAAGAATCCAACATGTATGTAACACAACTCAATGATCTCACCACTTCTATTACAATACATTGTCATGATGTCAATGGTTAAAATTTCAGATTTCAGGAGAACAAAGAGAGCAAGCAGCTAGAGAAGTATACGAAGCAGGAACCTAGTAGATAGGGTAATAATATGAGTGGCTCTGTGCCCTGAGAAAGCGATTTGGCTGTCAAATCCGATTTGTCTTATAAACCTTTTTAGATAAAGAGATACAAAGTGACCAGTTGAGAACCGGTTTTAATATAATAATGGATTTCAGTTTTCTGGATTATAATGATCAAGTAAATCTTTTCTCATATAAATTGGTTACATACTGTTTTAATTTGGATTCAGATTCAATTTTAATCCAAAAAAAAAGATCATGTTCGAAATCCATTTTGTTGTTAACCATACTGTTATCTGTTTACCGAATTAAACACCTGTTTTTGGGTCACACATTTGGTAGATTTGGCTTGATAATGAAGGGAACTTTTGGGTTTGTCAGATAGACAAAGGCCACCTTTCCTGATATGGTATTTTAATCCTGAGTATCATAAGGCCTTAAAAACAGCCCAATTCAGGCCCAATAAGTAAAATCCTATGTCAAATAAATGAGCTCATCATTTCCACCGATAACTCTTTCTCAGCTCCGACAAAAATGGCTGCAATCACCTTTTCCTCCTCCTTGCACGCCTCAGCCTCTCCGCGTGTTTTTCGTCCACCTGTTTCCCGAAATACCCCTGTGATCACTCTCTATTCACGTTTCACACCATCCTTCTCTTTTCCCTCTCTCTCCTTCACACTCCGTGACACAATCCGGTCTCGTCGTCGTCCCTTCTTAATCGCCTCCGCCGTCAAGTCTCTAACGGAGACGGAGCTGCTTCCAATTACAGAGGCTGATTCAATCCCGTCCGCTTCCGGCGTTTACGCTGTTTACGATAAAAGCGACGAGCTTCAGTTCGTCGGAATATCTCGAAACATCGCCGCAAGTGTCTCTACACATCTCAAATCTGTGCCGGAGCTTTGTGGCTCCGTCAAGGTAAACCTCATGTCTCTATCGCTGTTGTCTTGATCCAGATAGAGTTTAGCATGTGTGTTACTAACGAGGATTCTCTGTTTTGTTGTGGTTGACTTTTGTTTATTACTGTTCCTATACTTGGGAAGTGTCTTGGTGAATGAATTCTATAAAAAAATTTCACTTTAGTTCCAGAATTGTATTTCATATCATTAGGATCACTAACTTGTTTGCATAATTTGAACTAGTGAAGTTCTTGGATCTGTTGTTGATAAGAGTTCTGTAACAACACTTACCACATTTTGATTAGGAGATGCATCAAGTGTTCTTTTTGTATATGTTACTGTGAGAAATAAAAGGAGACCCATTAGAAGAGCGTCACCGTGTTATATTACTTACGATAGCTCTAGAGAAATTTAGCTGACATTACTGTTTTTAGTGTTTATTTGCTCCAATGACTCGATGACCAACAATGAATTTGAGGACCTTGTTTTATCGTTTTGATCATGTGATGAATATTGGAAAGTTTTGGTATTGTTGATATGAAACTGATTACATCATTGGTTTGGCTAGGTTGGTATAGTAGAAGAACCGGATAAAGCGGTTCTAACACAAGCATGGAAATTATGGATAGAAGAACATATAAAAGTAACCGGAAAAGTTCCCCCAGGGAATAAGTCAGGGAACAACACATTTGTCAAACAGACTCCGAGGAAGAAATCTGATATCCGTCTCACTCCAGGTCGCCATGTAGAGCTCACGGTTCCTTTGGAGGAACTGATTGACCGTTTAGTGAAAGAGAGCAAAGTGGTAGCTTTCATAAAAGGATCAAGAAGTGCTCCTCAATGTGGATTCTCACAGAGAGTGGTTGGGATTCTTGAAAGCCAAGGAGTTGATTATGAAACTGTTGATGTTCTTGACGATGAGTATAATCCCGGGCTAAGGGAGACGCTTAAGAACTACAGCAATTGGCCAACGTTTCCGCAGATATTTGTGAAAGGAGAACTTGTAGGAGGTTGTGATATTTTGACCTCAATGTATGAAAATGGTGAACTTGGCAATATCTTGAACTAGTTTCATCCGATTTTCTTCTCTATTTCTAGTTGTGTATAACTCCAAACATTCATAATTGAGAATCCTAATAAACACAGCTTGGATTCTCTTCCATAGTTTCAGATTCGTTTTCTGTTTTTCGCATTTATAAAGCTTACAGGTTCTATACAAATCTAAGATTAGGTTTAAAACGCATATCCATCCACTAAATTCATCTATTTTGTGGTGGTTTTTTTTTTTGTTATTTACACTAATTGTCCCTTTACAATATATATTTTGAAATGAAGCATAATCGGAAATGGAGTTAAGAAGCTATTCTTACGAAAAAATGATTTAATTGATTAATTTAATAGCCTTCTTATGCTTGTAGTACGTTTATTAGAGAATTATTGTTCTTCTTTAATTTGGCATAATAGTTTGGGTGAACTAGCCCAAAATATTCATTTTAGGTAGTAAACTATCATTTTTAGGATGAATATCTCAAAAATAACACAAATATTCTATGTTATTTGTTTGTTACAACTTATATGAGCAGCAAACAATTTCATGAAAAGTATGATAATGAAGAAGTTAAGTTTATGGGTTGTATTTTCTTAAGAATTTACATTTTTTTCTTTCTATTATTTATTTGTTACTTATTGCTTACATTTTGCTTATGATTTACTTATGTTTTGATTATTTTTTGTTTATTATTTTGTAAATTTGTTTTCTTTACTCCAATTTCAGTTTTCTAGTAATAATTACATCTAGTTGCTCAACCTCGGTCCCAAGATCTAGATGAGGTAATTTCTCGATTTTTTAACTATGCGGTTTCTTCTCTATTACTTATTGCAGAAATGCTGCCCAAACGTCTAAGTTTTGATCTTTAAAATGAAGTCCACATTGATGAAGAGAAATTATATTGAAGATCGGAGAAGGAAAGAGATATTAAGAAGAAGGGTAGAACTACGTATTACAACTAAGAATAAAAATCTACAATCACAATCTAAAATTACGTATTAGCACATTTTTTCGTTTCTTGCTAACCTTCTTTTTACGCTAATTTTCTACTAATGGAGAAATTTGTAATTCGTCCTCACCTAATGATCAATTATCAAAAATTTTCTGTAATTCTTCTGATCTTTCTTCTTAACTACACCTCCGATTGGGCCTGTTTGGCAACCATCGCCAGCGATACCTTTATTTGGGAGTTGAGCATCAAAATCCAGCGACAGTTTCGATCCTCAGTCTCTTTCTTCCGAATTTGTGCGTGTCTTCTCAAGTGCAGCTCTTTCCTCATTCAGTTTCTTCTTCAACTGCTCAACAGATTCGCGTATACTTGCAATCTTGCACAAATTCATCTTCGCTTGGTTTAAATCCTTCAATACAACACCCGCTGGCTTGATCTGACTGTGAACTTCTTCTCTCAACGTCAATCAATCCTCCGATTGCCAGCGACTGTAATTCAATCAATCCTCCGATTGCCAACGACTGTAATTCAATCAATCCTCCGATTGCCAGCTATCCTCAGTCTCTTTCTTACTATCTTTTTATCTCCTTCTTTTGATCATGCAGTCTTTGCTTCAATATTCAATCAAAAATTCATTGTATCATTACTGCCGTTTTTCTGTGTCTTTGTCGCCTTAGTTGTTGTAGGATTTCTTTTTTTTGTTTTTTAAAATATATTTTTGTAGCGATGAACAACAAGATATTGCTCCCGGTCTTATGGCCGTTCCAATCGATCAATTTATATTTAGGTATCCAGAACGTAAATGTAGTATATGTCTAGGTAAATTTGAGTCGAATGTTCCATTGGCTAACACAGTTTGTGGACACGCGTTCCACTTCCACTGTTTAAGTCAATGGAACAACACTTGTCATGTCTGTAGGGCAATTTTATTCTAGTATAGTATTAGTATTTAGAAAATTGTACTCCCTCCGTTTCAAAATGTAAGACGTTTTGAGGTATTATTTTTGTTTCAAAATGTAAGACGTTTTCAAGTTTCTATGCAAATTATATATTAATTTAAAATTTTATTATTATTTCTAGGACGATATTTCAAAATATTATTTTTTATAATTTAATATTTGAACAAAAAAAAAAAAGTTGTATAATGGTTTAAATAGTAATTCGTAGGACGATATTGCATGTGTAGTATTTTAGATTAAATGATATGCTATAAGAATTTGGCTCACCAAAATATAAACCAGGAAGAATAATGTGGGGTTGATATATACTACTAAAGCCTCACTAAAACTCAAATATGTTATCATATCAATCAATATATGAGTGTTGAGCTTTGCCATAGATATTCTCTTCCCCTACCAAATAATTGTACCTACACTACATCCCAAACAAGCATATAAGAACAAGTTAATTTAGGTTAAGAAAAGCTGATAAAAGATTAGAGGGAACCATCTCTAGTAAGCTTAGCAAGCAATGCATTGATAAGTGAATCCCTCTTCTCTGCTCTCATCTCCTCCCTCGACCGCCGTTGCTCCTCTCTATCCCGCCACATCCTCTCCATTGCCAACCTCTCCTTCTCAAGCTCCTCCATCTTCCTTCTCCATTCTTCTTCTTTCTCTGCTCTTTCCTTCTCCCTCGCTTCCCATACTTCTCTCCACTTGCTCTCCATTCTCACTTGATGTCTCATAAACTCTTCCAACACTTCTCTTACACCAATATTGATACTACTACTATTACTACCGCCTTTTCGCTTCTTTGCAATGTTCTTTTTCGGGTTTAGGATTTTCGGGTCGTTGCTAACATCTACTAGCTCTTCATTCACATTCTCTTCTTGATCCTCTTCTGAAGAATACTCTCTCTTTCTCGCTGTCCCGCTTGTTCCCCCTCCTCCTCCCTCGGATTCAGCCCATAGCATTCTCTGCATTCTAGTGGTAAATATAATTTGCATATCATCATAAAAAGGGAACTGTTGTCTCGCTGTCTCTGCCTCCATTGTCTCACATCCCTAGAAACATCAACCAATACATCACCAATGAGATTATATATGCCTATAAAACTAAACTACTCAGAATATTATGGACAACAAGATTCAGAATTTACAATGGTTTTGTCTTTGTCCCGGAAAGATTATGGACTATATAAGATTCAATATTTCTTGGTTACAATAAAAAAATTATTTATTTGTTCCATGCAAGAGCTCCAAGATTATAACACATCCACAAAATGAAAGAAGAGGGAGAGAGAAGAGACCTTAAAACGAGTGACGAGGTTCTTCCACTTGCATTTGCACTGTTCAGGGCTACGAGGAAAGCTTTTGTCTCTCATCTTATTAGAGATAACTTCCCAAAGAAGCTTGTTCCGTTTTGTCTCCATGAAAGTCTGATCTAGCTCTCCTCTTATCCCTATCAACTCTTTTGTCTCTTCAACGCTCCACTGAGGAAACCTATCCCCAACCGCTACCGGAGACGTTATTTCCGGCGTTTGCGATTGAGGATGATGAAGATGATGCTTGTTGAGATATTGAAGCTGGTGAAGGTGATGATGCTGATGTCCATCCATATGAAAGAATCAAGAAGAACTAGTAAAAAAAATCACCAAACGATCTTTAAAGCAAAAGATTTTGTTTTTGTGATTTTAGAAGAAGCTTTCACTTTTTCAGATCGAAGAAAAAAATATTTCTTGTTTTCTTTATCTTTTGGTTTGTGTTTTGTAATGTGAAAACGTTGAAAGAAAGATGTCTAATTTTCTTTGATCGCAATTCTTTTCTTCTTCTCCACTCTCTCTTTCTCCTGTCGCCATCTGTCTACGCGTTTACCTTTTTTTTTTCTTTCTATGTCTTGGATTTTTTCTAATATAATTTACTTTTTTTTGTGTGTGTCTTCTTTTGACAAAATATTAAAAAGAAAAAAACTTTCGGTAGATGTCATATTAATAATTAGTACTAGTATATGTTAAATTATTAATTTAAATGATTTATAGAGGAAGGGATTAGCGTATTAAATTATTAGTCAATTCGTTAATAAAATATATGTTGACTGGTGATTAGGAGGGATGTGGATATTTCCATCGTTATCTCATAATGTAATCACTTTCATTTGACAAATAGTATTCTAGATTCTGACAGTCTGACATATGGTCAAATAATGTGTATGAAATGAATTTATTACGGAGTTAGTTCGGTAAAAATAATAAATTTAATTGAAATGATTATAATTTGTTAAAATTTGTATTAGCCAATGCGAAAGAAAAAAACAGTAAATTTTTAACAGAAAGTCAAGTCCTAAAATAATATAATAATAAATTTCTTTGTCCAAAAAAACTATAGGGTGAAAAGTGTAAGAAAAACATAGGTAAGTATTAATATTTTCTTATTTTTTAAAATAAAAATAAGTATTTTCTGTTTAATCTGCCTTTTGATTCATATTATAATGAGGTATTAAATTGATGTGACGATAACATTACGTTGAGGTTTCATCATCACTGCCAGAAGTTTCGGTTTGTATACTTTTTGCAATAAACTGTGTGGTTATTAATTCTAGGCGACCAGTCATGTCCTTAGCTTCATGCCCAAGTTTCTATTTTCTACTTTTATCTTTGTTTATTTTTCCTTTTTCCAGAAAACTCGATCTTTTTCTCATTTTAAGCACTTTAAAAAAAAATACAAAACTATGATTACTTCTCTAGAATCTCTCGTTTCCTAAATTCCTTCACGTGTTAAATAGTTACAAAATAACAAAAGTGGTGGAATGATTTCTTCATTCACGAAAACATGAATTATAGTGTGACACGTGCGTAGAATTAGCCAGCATTCTAGAGCAATTTTGAATACTTAAAGCAAACTGATTTCATTTTCAACCAAGGTTTACTATGGGTTGTCAGCCCAAACCCATTCTACACATTTTGGGCCCAATTTGTCTTCGAGTGATGTACAATTTGGCAATTGGACTCACATAAGAACAATTTGTGTAACCCTACCAATAAATAAAAACTGCAACTCTCTAAAGAAAAGGACTAAAGTCGATCTAGTCTCTTAAATGAAGTTTGGAAAAATCTTTGTCTGCTTCGTTCACTTTTATTTTGCCTCGTTTGTCAATCTGTTCAAAGGAACCACTTGTTTGATTATGTTATTTGGACTTTCACCAAATTTATGTCGATATAAAAAGATCAGAACAAATTTATGATGAATTTTGTTTTTCAAAGCTACATTTCCTAAGGTTTGTGACCAGACTATAGTTCCTAGCTAATTTTTTATTCTATTTTTTAGTCAAGAAAAGGATATACTTTAGAAACAACATATTTTTAATAATATAAATAGGAAGCTTCAAATACAGCATTGAAAAGACTTTAACGTAGAATTTTTATTTTCGATTACATTTAAATTTATATAGTGATAAACACTATATAAATACAGCATTAAATTTCGCCGGCAAGGTGGTGGGCTAGTGGTAGGGCGAGTCTGGAGTTGAGGGTGAAATCCCCGAACCCAGATTCGATCTTCCTCCTTCGCTGTTATCAACACTTTGTGGGAAGTCTGGGCTTGGGCTTCGGCCCTGGCAGTTTACCTGGTAGTCTGGTAACATGCTACCCCGGGCATTAGTCGGAAAGCATTCCAAACTTGGGTTAGGCAGTGTGGTAGCCCATCCTTCGGGGTGGTAGTGAGTCCACATGGTAGCACTTCGGTGCGTTCCCCCAGGGCTGACCGGATCAGCCGATCGGGTATATAAAAAAAAAAATATATATAGTGTTTATCAAAAATAAAAAAAAAATATATCAAAAATAAAAATACTTTTGTTCACGTGTGCGTTTGGTAGCTGTAAATGAATGCATCCTACACAGTAGCCCACATGTCGATTTTGGTTTTTCTTCATTTTTTCTTGGCCACATAGCTGTTGTCTTCAAAACAATCAACGAGTTAGATGTTATTTTTTTTTTGGATTATTATTGATTTTGCCATTTTAGATTTGTCACTTTATCTAAAATATTTTAAATTTTCCATTTTCTGCCACTTAAAAGCTAAATATTATAGAATCTTTTTAAATAAAATACATATTTGAGAATATTTTTTCTCTTATGTTTCCATTTTTTATATAATACATACTTAATAACAAATATTATATCCTTAAGAAAAAATTATACCTTAAAAAAAGTAGAACCAAATAAACCCAATGTGTTAAATTGTATTTTTAGATATAAAAATTGGCAAATCTAATATACTTTAAGCAAAGTGGCAAATCTATATGAATGCCACTAAAAATCCTTATTTGGTAATTGATTCATTCATTTATTTATTTATCACCTCATTTACGTTCACAATATTCAACATTTTAGGCGGACAATTTCTTTGTCAACATCACGGATCTAGAATTTATTTTTGACATATCTCGATCTAGAAGATAAAAGAAATAGATATATATGATGAAATGGTTTTTAATACCATATAAAAAGAACGTTATTATATATGCTAATTTATAGCATCAAATACCATTTGTAGAATAAAAAATATAAAATTTAACAGAGTTAGATTGACAAACGGTATATCTTTAGTAGTCACGTTTTGAAAACGTGATTCTATTCTCATGTTTAAACATTTGTCTTAAACGTTTTGTTATATATCATAGACATGTTAGAAATATAATTGAAAAAATATCATTTAAATAAGTTTTTGAGTATTTTATAATTATTATTTTTGGGAGTTTCATTCATTCATCCAAAACATTCAACAATGTTGCACCAATCAGAAGATGGTTCAACCACTATACTCAAAACATTTTTCAAAACAATTTTGGTATTTATTTATTTTTTGGCTTTTGTGCATTACAAATCAAAACAAATTTAAATTGTGCACCACTTACATGATGATCTCTACTTTAGTCTATAGAAATACAATGAATATGAAAAAAATACACTATGGGTTTGGCTGTTTTAGTTCCAAATGTTGGCATGACCTCCACCGATAATCTGTTGTTGATTAGGTATTTTTAAGTATGTCAATCGTGAATCGACATCTGATTGTCATCAAACTCTTATTCTATAAAGATGCAAAAGTACTAAAGCATAATCATTTATTTTACATAAGTACATTGTTTATTACTTTTGTACATGTTGCAAACCGTCGCACGGCGCCGAAATTCGTTCCCTATCTCCTTCACTTCAAAAGTCACTGAAGACACAAAAAAGCAATATTGTCGACATTTATCCACAACTCTTTTAAAACGTGTCTTATTATGTTTATCATCCAACTAGCTTAGCATGCAAGGTTTTATTATGTCGACCTCAATATTCAATAGAAAAAAAGACTGGAATAAAAGAATATCACCGTATCATTAATTATTTCACGTTTCATTTTGGTTTTACAATTTTCCCTATTTATATCCCCACTCGTCCTTGTTTCTTCCACCATCTACAACTTTCATTCTTCCACTACATTTCTCTCCTTGAGTATCTTCCTATCCTTTTTTTCTAAATTCCAAAACAATTCACAAAATGGCTACATGCTGGCCTGAGCCGATTGTTTCCGTGCAATCCTTGTCCCAAACCGGTGTACCAACTGTACCAAACCGCTATGTGAAACCGGCTCATCAGAGACCGGTCTTTAACACCACCCAATCCGAGGCTGAGATTGAAATCCCTGTTCTAGACATGGACGACGTTTGGGGGAAACCAGAGGGGCTAAGGCTCGTGAGGAGCGCGTGTGAGGAGTGGGGTTTTTTCCAAATGGTGAACCATGGTGTGAACCACTCGCTGATGGAGAGCGTGAGAGGAGCGTGGCGAGAGTTCTTCGAGCTACCGCTAGACGAGAAACGGAAGTATGCAAACTCACCGGACACGTACGAGGGATATGGAAGCCGCCTTGGGGTTGTGAAAGATGCTAAATTAGATTGGAGTGATTATTTCTTCCTCAATTACTTGCCTTCTTCCATAAGAAACCCCTCCAAGTGGCCATCTCAGCCTCCTAAGATCAGGTACATGCATATAAACTCTTGTAATTTTAAAACCAAAAACCAATTCGTGTAATTTATATGATATCTTATTATATAAACGTCCATGACATATAGTTTTCTTCGTTTTTGTCTATGTCGATGCATATATGGTTTAGGTCTATGTATTCACAAAAAGAAGTTTTTTTTACTAAGTGAATGTTTTGCATGGGGACACCTTGCTTGTATGTGTTTTGTTATTTTTAGTTCAAGCATCTGAATTATGTGCAAAGTACAGCTTGCATAAACGTACACACATGGCCGTTTGGTCTAAATGTTTATTTAGGCACGTGTCTCATGTGTGAACACGTTATATGTGGTCATTATACACGTGAAACATGACTTTTCTTTTATAATACAAAAATAAATGTGTATATATACACATATTTGACCGATCGACCAAATAAAACAATATGTAAATAATTTTATAACCTAGATCTTGAGATTTACTGATGGTTTAGTACTTTAGTTCACACAAAATTCAGTAAACGGATCTCACAAATAATTGATTTATTTTTATAGGCAATCGATTGAATTAGTATTGAGAAAATAAATCAATTAACCAATTATCGATTTTTCGTTTTCTATATTTCTCTCATATAGATAATTTGTAATTAACATTTACAAAACTAATTAATGTGCAGAGAATTGATTAAAGAGTATGGAGAAGAAGTGAAAAAACTGTGCGAGAGGCTGACGGAGACATTGTCAGAGAGTTTAGGTTTAGAACCTGACCATCTCATGAAGGCTTTAGGAGGAGAAGGCAAAGTCGGAGCTTCTCTGAGGACAAACTTCTACCCAAAATGCCCTCAGCCACAACTCACTTTAGGTCTCTCTTCCCATTCTGACCCTGGTGGCATCACCATTCTCCTCCCGGACGAGAAGGTCTCTGGCCTCCAGGTCCGTCGTGGTGATAGTTGGATCACCGTTAAATCAGTCCCTAATGCTTTGATCGTTAACATTGGGGATCAGATTCAGGTATAATATCTTACTTTCTTAAACTTAATATTATTGGATAATTGATCTACTTTCTTGAAATGGACTCTACTATACAAATACTAACCAATAATAATGTTGGATATATCAATATGTAGATACTTAGCAATGGAATTTACAAAAGTGTGGAGCATCAAGTGATCGTTAATTCCGGTATGGAACGAGTCTCTTTGGCATTCTTCTATAACCCGAGAATTGATATCCCGATTGGACCAATCGAAGAACTAGTAACAGAAAACCGGCCTGCTCTTTATAAACCGATCAGGTTCGACGAGTACCGTTCTCTCATTCGGCAAAAGGGTCCTTGTGGAAAAAACCAGGTCGATTCACTTTTATTAAGTAGATGATTATTGATAGACATTCCAAGTATAATCTCTTATTCCTATGTCCTTTATATAGTCGTTACTAAATAATATGTAAACCGTATCTTTACACTATATGAAAGAAAAACTTTTAAAATTGGTATCAATTCAGATTCTCATGTTTACTTTTTTTTAGCCTCTTGTGTTACTGAAAAAATATATTGCTGCTCTCTCCTGAGATTTGATATTGTTAATTTCACAAAATTTTTAGTTGTAGAATTTACCATTAATCCCATGAAATTATGGTTGGCACTAGCCAACAAAATCCTCTTTACCATTTTTTTTTATATAAAATTTTGAATAAATCGAGAATATTGGTTTGTGGATACATTTTAAAGTGACAAACGTTAAGGATAAAAACATCTGAAATTTGATTGGTTACTCAGAACGGCTAGCGAACCTCTCAACCTTATCATCCAAATTAAGACCAACCATGGCTTCACCTAAACCACAGCTCACCTCCGCCAACACCGCCGCATCTCTATAATTCGTAACCGCCTGCACAATCGCCTTAGCCCTTTTCACCGGATCTCCACTCTTGAAAACACCCGACCCAACAAACACTCCATCACATCCCAACTGCATCATCAACGCCGCGTCCGCGGGAGTCGCAACTCCCCCGGCAGCGAATTGAACCACTGGTAACCTCCCAAGCTCCTTCGTCTGCAGAACCAAATCATACGGCGCAGCGATCTTTTTTGCGAAAGTGAAAACTTCGTCATCGTCCATGTTTCTAAGTAACCGAATAGCTCCGTTCACACTCCTCACGTGCCTAACGGCTTCAACAACATTTCCAGTTCCAGCTTCACCTTTAGTTCTTATCATGGCGGCTCCTTCACGGATCCGCCTTAAAGCTTCACCGAGGTTCCTACATCCACAGACAAAAGGGATTTTGAAATTATGTTTGTTGATGTGATTATCTTCGTCGGCGAGAGTGAGAACTTCACTCTCGTCCACGTAATCAACTCCGATTGCTTCCAAGATCTGAGCTTCAACGAAATGACCGATTCTAGCTTTAGCCATCACCGGAATCGTCACGGCGTTTTTGATTTCTTTAATCATCTCCGGATCGCTCATTCGAGCAACACCGCCTTGAGCTCGAATATCGGCGGGAACACGTTCAAGAGCCATCACGGCGCAAGCGCCAGCTTCTTCAGCGATTCGAGCTTGCTCTGCGTTGACGACGTCCATGATTACACCGCCACGAAGCATCTGAGCGAGACCAACCTTGACGGAGAAGGGAGATTTCTGCTTCGTCTCCGTCATGGCTCCTTCGCCGTACACCGCCACAACTCCGGTTCCTGCCATTTTTTTCTAGGGTTTTGAGAGAGTGTGGAGCAGAGGAGAGGGGGTTATATATGGAGAGAGTGAGGGCGCCATTTGAAATTTGTTTGTGGATTGTGAGCTGTTGGATTGAGAAAAGATAGTCAAAGTAAGTTCATCGTACGGTTGTTAATTAAAGAGTACGTGGATTGTTGTGGAGGTGAGTGTAGAGAGGAGAAGCTACGTTTGGAAACTTTGACCACAAGATTTGTTTCTTTTGGTGTAAAATGTATAGCCCCGAAGAGATTATTATCTAGTTGACGTGGAAGCTCAGTTCCCTATATCATCGTGTATGTCGAAGAACCACTGATTCGGATATGTTATGTGTGCAAGTGTGTTGTTCTTTTTTTTGGTAAAAAATATGTGGAGATTTTGGAAAAAATATGAAATTTAATAGAATAACTTACAATCCTTAATTATTCAGTCAATATTTCATATATTAAATCCGAAGTTATTCAAAAATTAAAAATTTAATTCAAGAAAACTCTTTAGAGAAGTATTTTTGAGAATATTTGTCTCTAGAGAATATTTGTATTCTGCTGGATTTCAACTCCGAGACCTTGTAATAGGCTTGACTTTTTACTAGTTGTATTGGCTCCATAATATATAAAGAACACTATTGTGAAAAAAAAAAAAGAAGTATTTTGAGAAAAAGTTAATACATTTTAATTAAAAATAGATATAAAAAAACACTCATATATAAAACATGAAAATTTGTCGTAATAATCTTCCTAAAAACTTTAAGAAATACTATATTTAGAATTTAAAAATCTTAAAAGTAAACAAAATTATTACGTAGAATTAATAATCGTGTACTAATCTGAATCGTAACATATCATCCATATAATTTTATACAACGGATCAAAATCTCCTAATTTCCGCGATCTAGAGTCAGCTTGTAGACATTTTTTTTTTGAAATACCCTTAGAGCAACTCTCATGAGTATCTTAACTAATGGGCATATGCTCTTAGAGCATGAATATCGGTATATCTTAGCCAAATCTTAGCCAAATTTTAACATTAAAAACTATTATAATTAATCAAACCAACTAAGATTGTATCTTAACTAAGATATATTTCTTATGTTAAGAAGCACACACGTGTCGCGATATGAGTGGGGGGAAGAAAAAACAAAACAAGAAAAATGTCAGTTGCTTTGTTTTTTTCCCGACATTTTTTCATTCATCTCTCTCTCTCTCTCTCTCTCTCTCTCTATCTCTCTCGAAGCCTTTGGCGACAAAACTGAGGAGATGCGTTCTTCTCTTCGATTCCGGTGGAGATATTGGTGACTCTTCAAACTGGTAAGTACCCAACAATCTCTGCTTTTGGTTTTCCGATCGGGATGTTTCGGTCTCTAGATTTTTTTCGATTTTGGGGATTAGGGTTTAGGTTGATTTTGTGTTATTTATGTTATAAATTGTATCTCATGTATGTTTTAATTTTTTTAATTTGCAACAATTATTAAATTTTCTATAATTATAAATTTTATTTTTGTATTAATATTTTTTTTTTCTAATAACCACATGTTAAGAACCTACCATTAATCACACAAAAATCTTAACCCAAAAATACTATATCTTAACTATCATTTTTACAAATATATTACTTAAATATTCCTAAGATTTATTTCTAAGATACTACCAATAATCATGCTCTTACTCTCAAGTGTACTTCAAACCGAAGACCTCTTTATCAGTTTTTCTTCTCTTTCATCTTTCAAACTTATAGATTTGTAAATCCTAAGAGGATACAAAAGTAGTACTTGTTCCGACAACATATAATGTGCAATATACATATGCATTTTCATTTCTGGATGTAGAAGATCTAAAGGTAAGATAGGAAGAAGAAGATTGATAAGAAATTTGTGCACTGGAAAGGATTGTGACTGTGTTAGAGGGAAGATAGATTTGTGCGGTTCAATCACACACCACCGCATATATGTTCCCCAAGTCACCAAGATACCATCTCATTTCTCCCTATCCCACATCAAAACTCGACTACAAAGCTATGGTCCTGAGTCCTGACTTACCGGTTCGGGGTTTCAATCCCATTTCGTAATGTGAGTCAACAAACAGTGATTCACTATATTCCCTACCCTATGGTAGTTAACAAATGGTGATATCACAAAGATGCTCAAGAGATTGAAACGAATTAATGCAGAGAGAGAACCGAGTCTTGTCAATATCAAATTATATGATTTTTATTAATGTTTCATTGATCAGCATTATATTGGACAGTTAAAGATACATCTTACACTGTATAGATTTGCTTCACTAGCATCATTTTCTTTCGACATATTGGACACCTCCCCTTGGCTCTTTTTATCCTGCAAATATTGTCAATTCACAACGTTTGATATTTTAGACCAATCCCAATATGATAAACACATTAGCATTACAATTTTGCAATCAAGAAGTTGTACATTAGTGGATAAAAACTTACTTTGTTCCGCACTGATAACAGGAGACGCAATGGCCACACGGGAAGAAAACACAATCTCTTGGAGCATCAAAACAAATGGCACAGACACATCTACTTCTGTTACTTGCTTCGCCATCATTACACGAATCATCATCATCTTTGTCTGCAAGTAGATGTGTTCTCGCTGAATCATTTTCGGGTAGAAATCCCTCTCCACCATTGCACTGTAACTTGTTGCAGAAATGTATAGCTACCAGCATGAAGCTAAACAAAATACCTGCATATGCAATAATAGTACATGTAATTGCTTCCAGTTCTTTTTGTTATAGAGAAACTAACCAATGCTAAAATCCAATTTTTAATTTGACTTTGAAAATATTGAAATTTTTACCTGTGAAGCTTATATATGCAATCCATCTAGGTTGATATGACAACTTGATATACCATTCATCCTCGATGGATACTCCCTAAGCCAGAGGCCGTGAGATGAACATTCATTCAGCTAAAGGTCATAATAATAATAACAGTAACAATTTGTTAGTGTTTCATATTTCGAGTGTATACCTGACCCAGTGCTGGTGAAGTTACGACAGCATAATTTTCAACAGGGGACATTTCATTGGTTTTGAATGCGCACTCGCCATTGCTGAAGGTACAGTTGTAGGATGAATGATTAGTATCATAGAAGACAGCTCTCACATCAATATCCAGTTCCACCTGAACAAACATCATGTCAAGTAAAACATTATACTCTGGACTGTGCAGAAACACAACAGAAACCAATACTTAATCCAAAGTTATTACTTGATTCAGTAATTATTACCTCTACGTCCTTCCTCTTCGAGTTAGCCACAGTAAGATAATAACTTATAGACTTACTTATCTCCAATTCAATCATACCACTCCCTGTAAAGAACTTTTATTAACTCATGATAATCAGTCTAATCAATGCATTTTAAGTAGGAACTTCCGTTTGACTAACCCTGAATTAGATTCCATGACCAAGCGGAGTCACAAAATGCAAGATCCTCCAGCGTCGTCGACCGATAGATTCCTGGCATTCCTATAAAATGAGAGCCTTGACATAATCAGTTTATATCCCTAAAAGCAACACTTTCAAACAAACAAAACACACACTCACATTAAGACTTCTATCTCCCCTATTTCCTCTTATTTTATTCAAATTTATTTTCCTTTTCAGGTATATACTATATACAAATGAAGTCTCGATTGTAAGAAAACAACGCGGGAAATGGGTTTAGGTAAATATTCGGTTTTCCCGCGGGTTTATCGGTTACGTGTTCCCATCAACAAAGAAGATCTTTAAAAGGTTTTTTCTTTATGTTCATGTTTTTTAAACTCTATCACAGCCTCAATAACAATGTCAAACAAACAAGCAAGCATAGCATAGCAATAAGCATATGACAAACTACAATATTTGACTAACCTTCAGTCATCACAAGCCGAGCTGCAGAACCTTTAGGTAAAACATTATAAGATATATTCATATGCGTTCCTTTATTTAAGTAGTATGGCCATCCCTGAGAGAAGCAAAATCAGTTCAATAAAGAGAATTCAATGATATATAATCAAAGCTAGAATAAATTCTAACAAAATCTATTAGCAAAAATCAAATCTTTGATTTCAATGGCAAGTACCCAAAACAAACTTGTAATCAATACAATAAAAGATCTCAAGGAAGTTAGACACAGTACTGAGAGATTTAAACCTGCCTTGTAAGAATTCTGTGAGACAGATAACACTCGAGATTCAGTCCAGTTCACAAAATAAGTACTAGGAGTAGATTCATCATCGAATCCATAAAGTTGAAGACCAGGCTTTGTAAAGTCAAGCTCCTTCACCTAACAAAAATTATATAAATTAGCACAGCCTTGATACACAGAAACACAAGAAGAGTCCGAGCAAAACCTTAATGCTTTTGACAAAAATGGAGCTTGGTTCAACAAGAACTGACGAATTAGGTCCAAGCCAGACTTTTGCATCACCGTAAAAACCGAACATCAGAAAAACCGACGCTGAGGCAATAGAGGAATTAGTCAGATTCTCATATAATCAAAAAAAAAAAAGACAAAAACTTTAAAAATCAGACTCAAGTTGAGAAACCAACCAATGAACCATAAACCCATAACACCACTGAGGCAAGACATGCTAGTCAGCCCCCACGAAGTTTCGCCACAATTGATGATGTCATCGAACTCTTCTTCGGAGTAAAGTGGTTGTCTGGCTAAGTGCGGCGGAAACTCACCACGAATTGACGCCATTTCGGTGATTCTTAGTGAAAAGAGAGAAAAAAAAAATTATGAGGTGAGAAATGAATTGAAGAAACCCTAGAGATTTATAGGATAATAAAAATAAAAAAACCTGAGAATCTGCGACGAAGTGAATCCATGGAAGATAAGATGATAGGGCAATTTTATTAATGTAACGGTTATCGTTTGAATATTGGTTCTCCGGCAAGTCTTCGTTTTTTCTCTCCGTCTTTGGAACGGTAACGACGACGAGGGTCTGAGGGTATTTTTATAACTTTATTTAAACATTATTTTTCATAGTTATGTTTTTTGTTTTTTTTAATGAGAAATCGTCTGGGAAGTCCCCTTTTAACAAACTCTAACCCCATATCTCCCCACTAAAAACAGAATATAAATTGTATTTAATTTTAAATCGAAAATGCAGGAAGTTACAATATTACCCTAGCCAAAATTCTAAAACTACACATTAAACCTGGGTTTTATCCACCCAACCAAACTGATTTCGGATCTAACCCGAAAACCCACGAACCCTAACTCCTCTCAACGAGCCAACTCCTCTCAACGAGCCAACTCCTCTCCGTTTTCTGCGTTTTCGTTTTCTCTCCTCTTTCCACGACATGGATTCTCATTCAATTCGTCTTCAATAGTTAAGAAATTCAAAAGAGACAACCGTTATCTCCACGATTTCTCGATTTCAACTTCATATATCTCTCGATTTCGTTGCCAATTCTCTCCCTTTAAATCTCCGTTTTATCTTCGAGAAATCCTTGTTGTCGATTATGGCTGGGAGAAAGAGGAAGAGAGGAACAGATACTCCGGATCGAAGAAAAGAAGTAGGGGAAGAAGATGGAGGAGCAACGAGTTTGCAGCCATCCCCGACGGAGTTAAAGAAGCCAATTGAGGGAGGAGAAGGAGTTGAAGAAGAAATTCCGACGTTAAGTCCAGTTGTCGAGGCAGAGGAAGAAGAGAATGAGGAAGAAGAGTTTGAGAATGAGAAAGAAGAGAACGAAGGAGGTCAAGGGAATGACGAAGACGAAGGAGAGACTAGTGGTAGTAGTAGAACCTTGTCGGACACCTCCTCCGATGAGAGTATCGAGGATGAGATAGCGTGGAGATGGTAAGTAGTTGGGTTCGAAATGTGAATTTTGGATTTTAAGTAATAATGGTTGAATAATACAATTGTGATTTCTGAGTAATACTGGTAGAATTGGGAAATAATATTTTGATATCTGGGTAACACTAGTAGAACTAGAGAATACTATTGTTATGTCTAGGTAAAACTGGTAATACTACGGTATAACAGTCATTCAGTAATACTGAGTAACACTATTGTATAACTGTGTTCAATTGCATGAGTCTGCTGTCCCACTAGCTGGTCTTTCAGACCCACTAGTTGGTCCTTCGGATCCACTTGCCAAGGATGGTAATGGTGGTTTGGGTGCGATAGGAAAGGAAGAACCAACTCAGAAAGAAGTCCAAGCCAATTAGATTTGGCTTATTGTGTTTGGTATGGACATTGTAAGTTTATGCAGACTTTTCGGGGGTCGATTAGGTCTTTAAATGGGTAGCAAATGGATTTTAGTAACTAAATCGTAGTGAATTATAGTTTTGAATCTGAAACCATTCAATTTGAGTTCTTGTCGGATAGTAGAACTGGTCGAACTAGGTAGAAATGAATCTGAAACTATTGAAACATATATATGTAGTATGCCTAGTTACACTAGTATTATCCATATATATATATAGTATGACTAGTTACACTAGTATTATCCATATATATATATAGTATGACTAGTTACACTAGTATTACTACAAATGTAGTAGAACTAGTAAAACTAGTATTACTGACAGAGTTTTTGTATTGTTTTGGCAGGATACAATGAGGGAGAACGTGATCATATATTTCAAATGCCAAGGTCGCATGTATAGCTTGATGATGAAGACATCATGGAAGAATATAACTCTCTCTATGTTAGAAGCTTACCCAAAATCGAATGTTCGAAATGACTGGAGAAGATGCTACGTCCATGGAGTCATATTTTCTGAGAGCGTTGTATGATATGAAATATTTTGGGTTGTAATGTTTCTAATCTGTGTTCATTGTTTACATCCCACATGAAATTGATAGTATCATGGTAGCTGGAGGTGAAGAAGAATATACCTTCTTTACTATATCTTTGTCTTATAGTTATTGTTTAGATTTGTACAATTGGTAATACTAGGTAAACCTATGTTGGTTTTGTTTTTTTTTTATTTATACTACTGGTATTACTAGGTAAAACTATGTGCACCGTCAAATTTACACATGTGTGAGTCAAATTTACACATGTGCGCCGTCAAATTTGGGAGAAAACCCAAAAAATGGAAAAATTTCAATTTTGGGACATGTGGGGCCCATCTTATTCACGTGTGCGCCGTCATTTGTACACGTGGCGCCGTCATTTGTACACATGGCGCCGTCAAATATACACAGTTTTTCCAAGTTTACAAGTTGTACTCGCTTACACACAGTTGGACTTTTGGGGTTTTTCTGTATAATTAGTTATTCTTGGATTAATATTAATTTTTATTAGTTGTACACCTAATTTTATGTATATGTGGTAAATTCCAAACATATTCATTCAATAATATTTGTAAAATGTTGATTTTTCAGACTTTCGACATTCACCATGGATATTCAAAAGAAAGACATCCTTAAAATATAAGAACTTTCATGTAGAAAGTTCAAATGTGTAAGATTTTTGAAAATTTTATTTACCAAATTGTGATTACAGACCACTAATTTGATTATGTAACACTAAGTTGTCTATTTCATTACAACAAGCATTATGATATAATTTTGAATTTATGAAGATTTGTTAATTTCTTCGTAGTTATACCAAATCAAGTTTAACCAAGTTTTACAAAATCAAAGACATACATAGTTGTACCATTACGAAACCAAGTTTTACAAAACCAGAGAATACATAAAAACACGAAATCAAAGACATACATAGTTGTACCATTACGAAACCACGTTTTACCAAGTTTTACAAAACCAGAGAATACATCACGTGATCCAATCTTAGGATCTTGAGTATCATCAACCTCCATTATTGCCTCATTTGGTTCTGTTCCTTGTTCATCGCATTAGCACAAAACAATGGTAGCACTATCTCTCATTTCATCCTCATTTGAATCCAATTCAGCATTGTTCTTACCAACAGAACTTTTATTGAGGAGTTCCGCTCTCGACAGTTGCTCAGGCAATTCTGGTGGAGTGATGACGTCCACATTCAAAACATATCTACAGTTATTTTCACCTGAAGATATATAGACACCTACATCCTCATCATCACTAATGTAAATCTCTTCAATTGGTCCCAACAGCACTGCATTGTACCTCATTTGCAATTTGACCTTACTTTCATCTAATCCAACCTTCGTGCATATCCAACTTTCTAACATGGAGATAGTTATTTTCCCCCTGATGTATTCATCATCAAGCTATACATGCGACCTTTGCATTTAAAATATATGTTCACGTTCTCCATCATTGTATCCTGCAAAAACAATACAAAAACTCTGTCAGTTATACTAGTTGTACTAGTTGTACTACAATTCTGGGTAATACTAGTATAACTAGTCATACTACATGTAAATGGGTAATACTAGTGTAATTGGTGATACTACATATATATGGGTAACACTAGTGTAACTAGTCATACTACATACATCTGGGTAATACTAGTGTTACTAGTCATACTACGTATATATTTTTCAATAGATTCAGGTATATTTCTACCCAGTTCTACCAGTTGTACCAGTTGTACTTTCGCGACAAGAACTCAAATCGAATGGTTTCGGGTTCAAACCTACAATTCACTATGATTCAGTTTTTGTTATCCATTTCTTACCCATTTATATACCTATTCGACCCAGAAACTATGCATAAACTTCCAATGTGCATACCCAAACACAATTTGCTTAATTTCAAATCTAATTGGATTCAATCTCCTATATTTCTAAATCCAAAACTTCAATTTGAAGCTCTATGCAGCTCAAACAACATACCTTTTCTCTCTATCTCGACGCAGCTCGCCGGAGGAGAGGATACGGCTGCAATGGCGACTGAAATCGATTTTTCCGGCGAGGAGAGCTGGAGCTCGAGAGCGAGAAACGTTTTTTTTTTTTTTTTTCTGTTTTCGATTTTTTTTGTTTTTATTTCAGAAAATAATTAATTAAAATGAAAAAGAAAGAGTAAGGGTAAAATCGTCAGATCACATTTCATTAATTGAGAAAGGGATATGTAGATAAAAAAGGGATATAAGAGGTTTATGGTTTACAAAAGGGGAGTTGTGAGACATTTTCTCTTTTTTTAATATAATTTTAAGAGATTCTTACGTGAAAAGTCCAATTTGTCCTTTGTTCAAAGTTAATTAACTGTTAAGTTTAACTCACTGTTAGTGTTAAGTCTAACAGTTTAACTCATTATTAGTTTGCTAAGATAAAAAATATTGATTTAACTTAGCAATATGCAATATATTTATGTGAAAGATTTTTATCAATATGTGTTAGATTTGATAGATAGATTTGTATTTATTATTATTATTATTATATTAACAATCTTAATAATACTTCAATCTCAGTACTAAGTAATCTATTAATAATAATGTAATCATACATGCTTGAATGTACTCACATATTAATTCCTTAATAACCAAAATATATCAAAGATACGCATTTTCATTTCTGGATTCTGAAGAAGATAACAATCATGGGAGAAATCAATAAAGAACAAAAGTAATAAGTTGGATCACCAATAAAGATATCAAGAGAAAGACACAGAAATGTATCCATTGGGCATTGGAGATGATGGTTGTGTGTGTTGGAAGGGAGCTATATTTGTACCCAAGTCACCAAGAGATACCAACTCATTTCTCCTCATCCTGCGCATCAGTACTCTACTTACCGGTTCACGGTTTCGATCCCATTTCGAAATGTGAGTCAACAAACAATGATTCACTATACATTGCCTACCGTAGGTGTTATCACAAAGATGAATCAAGTGACTATACGAAATAATTATGCAAAGAAAGAAATGAGCCTTGTCACTATCAATATAATTTTTATTAATGCTCTATAGATTTCAACATTATGTTAGAGATTTATATTTGATTCATCTTACACTGTATAGATTCGCTTCACTTTCTTCATTTTCCTTCTACAGATTGGACAACTCCCATCAGCTTCTTGCATCCTGCACATGTTGCAAATTCATAACGTTTCATATTTTAGATTAATCAAGTGTTTTGATATGTTTAGTTGTGTATTATCAAGTTTTAAAGACATATTCGTGGACAAAAAACTTACGTTGTTCCGCATTCATAACAGGAGACGCTATGGCCACATGGGAGGAAAAAGCAATCTCTTGGAGTATCAAAACAAATGGCACAGAGACGTCTACTTTGGTTACTTGCTTCACCATCATTTCCCATAAACTCTTCTAAATCAGCATCATCGTTAGCGAAAGAATCATTACACGAACCCATGCTTGAACCATCGTCATCTTTGTTTTCAAGTAGACGTGTTCTCGCTGAATCATTCTCGGTTAGACCCTCTCCACCATAGCATTGTAACCTGTTGCAGAATTGTATAGCTACCAACATGAAGCAAATCACAACACCTGCATATGCAATAATACTACATGTTATTAGAGAAACTAGCCAATGCTCAAATTCAATTATGAATTTCACTTTGAAAAGATTGAAATGTTTACCTGTGCCGATTACATATGCAATCTCTCTAGGTTGATATGAGAACCTGATATACCATTCATCTTCAATGGATACTCCCTAAGCCCCGAGGCAATGAGACGAACATTCATTCAGCTAAGAGTCATAATAATAATAATTCTGCTGGTGTTTCGTTTACAAATACATACCTGACTCACTGCTGGTGAAGTTACGACAAGAGAATTTCCAACAAGGGACATTGCATTGAATGTGCACTCGCCATTGCTGAAGTCACAGTTGTAGAATGATTGTTTAGTATCATACAAGACAGCCCTCACATCAATATTCAGTTCCACCTGAACAAACATCATGTCAAGTAAACACAGTGAACAGTGCAGAAACCAAAACTTAATCCAAAGTCATTACTTGATCAGTAATTATTACCTCTACGTCTTTCGTCTTCAAGTTAGCTACAGCAAGATAATAACTTGAAGACTTTCTTATCTCCAATTCAATCATACCACTCCCTGTAAAAGAACTTTTATTAACTCACTTTAACACAATGTATTTTAAGTTGGAACTTCCATTTGACTAACCCTCAATTAGATTCCACGACCAAACTTTGTAACGATATGCAGGGTCGTTCAAAAACGACTGAGGGTCGCCTTGATGTCCTGTGAATTGAGAGCCTTGACATAATCAGTTTATATACCTAAATGGCAACATTTTAAACAAAAAACTTGCTTACATTAAGACTTATATCATCTCTATTTCCTCTTTTATCCAAAGTTATTTTCCATTTCTAGTTGGATTTTGCTTTACGTTATAGTAGATACTAAATATGAAAGAAGTCTCGATTGCCACAAAACAACGCGGGAAATGGGTTTAGGTAAGTTCTTGGTTTTGTCGAGCTTTTAGGTTTTTCTTTGTGTTCATGATTTTAACTCTATCACAGCCTCACTGACAACATCAAACCAACAGGCAGACATAGAAAATGACAACACTACGAAACGTACTAACCTTCGTCGACCACAAGCTGAACCGCAGAACCTTGTGGTTTAACGGTATATGTAATATTCAACAAAGTCCCTCTGTTGAGATAATATGGCCATACCTGAGAGAAATAAAATCAGTTCAATAAATTGTCTAAAAGAGAATTCAATGACAATCAAAGCTAGAATAAATTCTGACTAAAGATAGGTAAAGATTGAATCTTTGATATCAAATTTTCAATGGGAAGTACACAAAAGACAGCACTTCTAATCTATACATGAAGTTTAAAAAGCAGCTATATATACATTTTCAAGAAAACAGTAGTGAGAATCTTAAACCTGCCTTGTAAGAATCGTTTGAGACAGGTAACACTCGGGATTCAGACCAATTGACGAAACAATTCAGAGCAGGAGTTCTATAGAACCCATATAGCTGAAGTCCTGGTTTAGAATAATCTAACACTTTAACCTAACAAGAAAATAAATACATTATCAATAAATTATCACAGCCTTGACAAACAGAAACATAAGAAGAGAGTAAGAAAAAAAAACCAGACAACCTTAATGCTTTTGACAAAAATGGAGCTTGGTTCAACAAGAATGGAAGAATTGGGTCCAAGCCAGACACTTTTTGGTCCGTAAAGATTCTCAATCAGAATAAACGAAGCTGAGTCAATCGAGAATTAGTCAGTCAGATTCATATAGTCAAAAAAAAGAAAAGACAAAAACTTTCAAAAGTAGACCAAATCAAAATCGATTTTTTAAGTTGAAGAAACAAACCAAAGAACCAGACAAGAAGAGCCAAACTAAAGCAGTACAAGTTCGACTCTGAGACTCTCCAACACGAGGAAAATTCTCTCCAATTGAAAATCCCATGATTAGCAGCAGCAACATCATCTCCTTCGACGTTATTATCAGAAGAAGATGAGGTTGAATTCATTGTGACCAATACCGGAGGAGATGATTCAAGGTCCGGCGATGATGGAGAAGGAGCTGAGTCCATTTCGGTGATTCTAGAGTAAGAGAAAAAAAAATTCTAATGAGTCAATGAAAAGGGTGAGAATTGAATTGAAGAAACCCTAGAAATTTAAAGGAGATTTAAAAACCTGAGAATCTGTGACGAAGAGAATCCATGGGAAGATAGGGCAAGTTGATTAATGTAACGGTTACTGTTTGAAAGTAGTTTACCGGCGAGTCTTCGTCTTTTCTCACACCGGCGTTGAACGGTAGAAGATAAACGAAAGTTGAGGGTATTTCTATAAATTTTATTTTTTTAAAGACAAATATTCTTCATGTGATTTGTTAGAGTTATGTTTTTTTTAGTTTTTGAAAATTATTATGTCGTGTTATAAATTTTAGAAGTTTCTTTCATAGAAAATACCTATTGTATCCTTTTGGCAAAGTTAAATTTATCTGTTAGTGTTAGTGTTACGGTTAAGTTTAACTCTTCACAGTTTAATTAGTTGTATAGTATTAAATAAAGATATATTGATATAACTTTATTAGATTAACTACAATTTTAAGACATATAGTTTTTTTACATGTATAAATATTTTTAGATTTATAAATTTTTTGTTTAAGAAAATATTCGTGGGTTTATGTATTAACTCTATATTGTATAGATTTAATTTGTGTTAATCTTTATGTCTTAATATATCGAGGTCCAATTAATAGGACCTCGAGCGAGGTTTAGTGTAATTTTTTTCATTTGTTAAATTTACAAAATTAATTAATCTAATTATGATTATCATCATAATAAATAAAAACCAGAGTTGAAATCTTTATTACCCTAACTTCCTATAGGACTCTTGATCCTTTGGTGTTTGAGGGCATACATTGGTTCGAAATGAAACGATCATATCTCATGGTCATGATGTAAGATCTAGTCATTACCATAGTTGATCAAGATAAAAAAACATAACTGGTGCCTTGGAGGATATACCAAATTTTCTCATATGTTCTTTTTGGATATAGATCTCTCTGTGAAATTCAACACCTAAACTACTATAACACACATATTTGTGAAGTTACATGATTGTCTTAAGGTTTTAAAACATGGCCGAGTGACCACCACCATTGTTGACAGAACGAAAACAGAGTTTCTATATATGAATGCATTTTGTTTTGTATATCTGAAGCACACTAGTGAGAACAAAGTGTTCTAATCCGAAGACCCTGCGAAACTATTGATACAAAACAAACATTCCAATAAAATGTTAAATTAGCAATGTGAATATCCAGATGCAAATAAAGGGTGAAACTGGTTACACCATCAGGTGTCAATGTAGAAGCATAATCTCTAAATACGAGTTGTTTTATAATCGGGCAGTAGGCGGTGGTGGCTCCAGCTGCTCGTTTCTGGTTAACTCGTGGTCACAAAGGCTTACAGGGTGTGGTGGATCCAGCTGCTGCTCGTTTCTGGTTAACTCATGGTCAGAAAGGCTTACAGGGTGTTGTGGCTCCAGCTGCTGCTCGTTTCTGGTTAACTCTTGGTCACAAAGGCTTACAGTGTGTGGTGGCTCAAACTGGTTGTTTCTGGTTAACTCTAGGTCATAAAGACTTATAGAGTTTGGAACATCAAAATCAAATGGAAACTCAACCGGTAACGACTTCCAGTAAAGACTCGGTTTCCAATCCGCTTCTCGCACTACCTTCAATATCTCCTTAACGACAACCTCGCTTGCCTTTGCTGTGAAATGGATCCCATCTCTATGAAGTAAAACAACTCAAGGAATTAGTTTAATCAAGAATCATTTTAGAACTAATGAATCATGAAGGTTTAGTAGCTCACGTGAAGCAGCTGTTCAACCAATCATCTTGCTGCTGTATTGCAGTCCAAATATCGATACCTTTCACATTAATCTCTCTGCATAGATTTAACAACTCTTCTGCATATGGACGGCACAGCTCATTACTCCGGCCTCTTATTACATCTCTGAGACAAGAGTTACACACAAAGCTAATGATCAAACTTCTAAAAATAATACCAAGAAGAACATTTAACCAGTTCTGTATAACATGTACCCAAAAACTACTTCGATCTGTTTCTCATTCATAGGCGGCGGAGTGAGGAAAATGACACGAGTCTTATCCGAAAGGCTCTGGTAAGAAAGGTGAAATAAGAAGATACCATGAGCTTAGCAAATACTGAAGAAGAAAGAAGCAAAAAAAAAAGTCACAAACTTTGAAGAAAGGCATAATTACCAAAAGATGTTCTCCAATCTTGCTCATGTTTTCGATGAATTCAGATAGAGGAACATGAGGGCCAAGACCTGATGGATGAGGATGCGTTGAATCATTCCCACCGAAATAGACAATCACCAAAGATGGTTGTATCACAGCATCCTAACAGTACAAAACCAAAAAAAACAGAGGTCAAGTAAAGCTAATTCCTTTTACTACAAAACCGTGGGAGATATCTAAATCAAGAATCATACATAATAAGAGTGTATAGTTTCACTATAGTTGATAGAAATCAAATTCATTATTGAAAAAAGAGTGTACCTTTGGGAAGACTTGGTCTAGAACCTTCAAGGCAAACCTAGAATTCCAACCAGCATACCCACGAAGGATGATGTCAGCCTGTGAATATGCATCAAAAGTAATATTCATGTGTTACAGTAACAGATCAGAGTAAAAAGAACCAAAATAAAATCATTAGATTGTTGTTGACAGTGAAACAGTTGTCCATTTGCGAACAGTAAAGTACAAATTGTATTACAGATTTTAGTGGGTTTATTGTAGATTATTCACCAAACAAATCAGTCAAAATCAGAAGATACTAGGGGCAAATTCCAGTAACTACTACAAGTCGAAATTGGAATTGGAAGAAGAGAGGAGAATTGTGAGAAACCGTGCGAGAGTAGAGGTCAGCGAGAGTGGCACCCCAACCACGATCAGTGAAGCTATATTGAACAATTGAAGAACCGAAAAGAACGATTTGAGGTCTTTCTGGTCCAACCATGATCGATTGATCTTTCTCTCGCCAGGAGATTTTTGATTTGCTTCTACCAACTTCGAGATTATAAAATTAAGAGAAGCGATTAATTATTTAATTGATTAGCCCATGCATAAAGGGTTTATGCCTTTGTGACAGTCGTCAGATCGCACTACTGAAAAAAAGCAAACAATACATCAGAGCAGAGACCAGCAGACCACTATTCCTTAAAATTAATTCTTTAAATTATCCAAGATTCCATTCCTTTTTGAATTCTCTCCTAGTCAACAGTTTTTTTTTTTTTCAAAATAATAATAAAAAAACATTAAACAATAATGCGCTTCTGTTTTCCCAAACAATTTTGATTCTAACTCCAATATGTGAATTTCTGATAAACAATTTTGATTCCAACTCCAATAGTCTGCTTTTTGTACCTTTAAAGTCGTCATGCTTTTTAGGTTTGAGTGGTTCTCACATTGGAATGGTCATCACTAAGTTTCCAAAAAACGGGTAAAGTGCATTGATTAGATAATATTGTTCACATATTTGTTTCATGTGAGCAATGCTACGAACAATCGAGCTTAAGAATCTTTTCTTTCGCTAGTTTGTTTCATATGAGCATCACTAATCATCAAGATTAATTAAGATCCTTTCTTTCGCGGAATTTAGGATGCTGCAAGTAGAACGCAGTTTTCATCAAGGCTTTTATTTTGTATAATCGTTCAGCTTTATTTTTCGCGTTCCCTTATTGTCTGTCTCAAGGTTTTCTAACTTGGTGTACTCCCAGAACATTACTCTCGCATTTCTACAAGACTGAAGCTTCACTGCAGCCTAAGCAAACTTTTCAAGAACAAGGGATTGGAGAACTTATGTGATATCTTATATCAAACTTGTCAACTTGAAGAGATTGAACTATTTTATATGTAAATCAATGCATTGTTTTTGTTTGTTTTGTGCTACTACCTTTACCAATTTATCAATTTATCTTTGGAACATTATAATTTTTTTTTGTAGGGATAAAATGTAACTTAGACCATCTCCAATGGGGATTTCTCACCCAGTATCTTGCAATTAAAATAATGAAAAATATAAAAAAGAGGAGAGAGAAAAAGAAAAAAGAGGAGAGAGAAGGAGACACGTTTCTCCTGCGAGAAATCCTGTGACACTCTTAAAAAACCATTTTGCCAAGTGTTTTAATTTGATTGGTGTAATTTAATTAATTGTTTCAAATATAATAAAAAATAAAATCATAATAACAATAATATTTTTTATTCATCAGATACTCTTTTTTGAGATACTCACTGATGATGGAGATGCTCTTATATTACGAAAATGGTACCGACTTCATTGCAAATACTTTACAAGAAACTTCTTTGGCAAAAGAAAGAACAAAAAAAAAGAATAAAGCCAGACAGAAACTAAACATATCATCTATATATGAGATGAGCTAGACATATATGGATGAGTCACTAAGACGCAATCAACCACATCTCTTTTAGGATATCTGCTAGTGAAAAGAGTATCACGGATGCTTCTATCTCTCTGTTCAAAAAGATTAATGATGCAGGAGTGATAAACAATTATAAATTGCTAAGCGGTTATATTCGCGTATTTAATGGTCATTTTCATTTATGATTAAAAATTCTTTGAAAGAAGATATGATCTTTTTTTATTACTGTGTGAAGGTATGATTATGATACCTTCTAAGAAGATATGATCTAATTGATAACATAAGTTTCTTATTCCGTACACATTAGAGGACCACTCGTGAATTGGTTTGTGACCACGTTAGGCTAAATGCCATAACAAGCAAAACTGTAAGGAAAACACATGCATGTAGGAACTTTGATTCCCATTTAATATAGAAATCTTATATAACAAAGACAAAAAAATATCAATAGATTGTCTAACCAAGAAGGGTCGATAACAACATCTACCACATGCAAGTGAGAAGTGCATAGACGTATCCTCAAGAAGGCAGCTTCCGGGAAGTTTCCTTTAAGGCTTTTATCGTTGATGACATTTTTTTAGTTTCTTGGCCTTTCCATCATTGTGACCCCTATGCCTTTCGTTTATTGTTGCCCATACGTATATAAGATTGAACCAAATCAAGAAGTTAGTGTAACTTCCAAAATCACTAAAGATTTGTGGGGCTTTAATAATGTTGTTCTGTATTCGGACAAGACAAATGAGTTTCTCAGCTGTGTTTGCGTCTTTATTTACCCACTTGGGTTCCCTCATTCTCTAATCTTTGGCAGCATGCGTTCGGTTGAGTACTTAAGTATGGTTTTAGAAATCATAATTTCAATAGATTAATTTATATTTTCAGGCTCAATCATTGTCAATGGACGAGGACTACGTACATAACTAGAGAGCCTATGCTATCAGTTTAATAACCAAAATTAAATTCTCCGTGATAGTTATCTAAAATATTCTGTTTAGATATTTTAGGAAACTGTTTATATTGTTTGTAATCTCCCTTGATCTGAGGAATCACTCATGATTCTCGGTATCATTCCAGGCTATAAAGCCATGTAATTGTTCTGTGAATAATCAAGGAAATATCTCAACTTTCATGGTATCAGAGCCACGGCTTTGAATCTCCTTCTTTCTTTCTTCTTTTCTCTCTGTTTCTCCATCTTCTTCTTCTTTCCTTCAATCGCCATCAATGGCTGGTGCTGCAAATGCTCCGTCCGAGCGATGCTTCGGTGTTACCAACATCAAGAATCAGATACCGGTGCTTCTCGATGAGAATGAGCACAATTATGATGCGTGGCGTGAGCTCCTACTCATGCACTGTATGTCCTACGAAGTCTCGGGACATCTCGACGGCACGGCCCAACCACTGAATGCAAACGACGACGCCTGGGTCAAACGTGACAATATTGTTAAGATCTGGCTCTACGGAACCATGGCGCCGCCTCTGTTTCAAAACTCCTTCCAGGTCGGCGGCACAGCGCGGGATCTCTGGGTCCGCGTGGAAAATCTGTTTCGCAACAACAAAGAGGCACGCGCAATTCAACTGGACAACGAATTGCGCACACTGGAGATCGGTGATCTAGGGGTCGCTGCTTATTGCCAGAAGATGAAATCGACGGCGGCTCTCCTCTCCAACGTTGGCACTGCGGTGGCAGAACGCACTCTCGTCATGTACATCCTCAATGGACTAAACGAGAAATTCGATAACATTATCAATGTTATCCAACACAAGGACCCGTTTCCTTCTTATGATTCTGCAAAAACGATGCTCGAGTGGGAAGAGAAACGTCTTCAGAAGTCGACAAAACCCACTGCGTCTCACACCGCGACGGCTTCCTCTTCAACAGCCCTCACTGCCTCCTCCTCGCAGCCGCACTCCTCCTCCAACCGTGGTCGCAATGGCAGCAATCAACGTGGAAATCGTCGTGGTGGTCGTGGTCAGAATCGCGGTGGCAGAAACAACTTCAATTCCAACCGCAATCCGTGGGGCTCGTCGCCTTACTGGCCTCCTCCGCCGCCTCCATATTGGCTGCAACCGTATCATGGATGGCCTTCTACTACTCCGCCTCGGTCGTCAGTACCACAGCCGCAAGCTCATCTTGTGGAATACAATCCACTGCACGCTTACACGTCGGAAACGGTGGCTGCTCCGGATGGTGCTGATTGGTTTATGGATTCTGGCGCCTCGTCTCACTTAGCCACCAACTCAGGTATGCTCCATTCTAATCTTAATCGTAATACCAATGAATCTGTCATTGTGGGAAACGGTTCCTCCATCCCAGTCACGACCATAGGCTCATCCTCTATTAGAACCTCAACCAAACCTCTTGTTCTAAACAATGTTCTAGTCACTCCTGATATTGTTAAGAACTTGATCTCTGTCCGCAAATTCACAAAAGATAATTGGTGTTCTGTCGATTTTGACCCTTTTGGTTTCACTGTGAAGGACCTACAAACTCGGAAAGCTCTGCTCCGATGTGATAGTTCCGGTGACCTTTACTCTCTTCCGGCCTCCTTCAAAAAGCCACCGGTTGTCTCTTCCGCTTTGCTTGCTTCTTCACCCGACCTTTGGCACAAGAGGCTCGGTCATCTCAATAATGTTTCTCTTAATTCTGTTTTTCGTTCCAATCCTTTATTATGTCATAAGAGCAGCCCTCTTTCTTCCTGTGAACCTTGCTTTCTCGGAAAATCAATAAAACAACCGTTTTTGGCTTCTACATCCACCGTGTCTAAACCTTTTGACATTATTCACTCTGACTTGTGGACATCGCCAGTTATGAGTTTGAGTGGGATTAAATATTATGTCTTGTTTCTTGATCAGTTCACTCACTACTTATGGGTGTATCCTCTTCGACATAAGAGTGAAGTTCTTTCCAAATTCCTTCACTTTTCTGCTTATGTTGAAAATCATTTCTCCACCAAGATCAAGAACATTCAATGTGACAACGGAGGGGAATTTAACAACACTGAGTTTCACAAGTTTTGTGGTTCTCAAGGCATTTCGTTTCGTTTCTCATGTCCCCATACTTCGCAACAGAACGGTCGATCCGAGAGGATGATTCGGACCATCAACAATGCAGTTCGAACCCTCTTGTTTCAATCGCGTCTAGCCCCTTCTTTTTGGGTGGAAGCTCTTCATGCAGCTGTCCATGTCCTTAACATTATCCCTTCGAAATCAATTCAAAACCAGATTCCACACACCCTTCTTTTTCAAAAGCGACCCACATATGATCACTTGAGAGTTTTCGGTTGTTTGTGTTTTCCCAACATCAACCATTCGAACTTGCCTAAGCTTTCCCCTCGGTCTACACCATGTTTGTTTCTTGGGTATCCCTCTCAACATCGAGGCTACCGCTGCTTGGATTTGAAAACAAACAAAATCATTATATCTCGTCATGTTCACTTTGATGAAGATAAATTTCCAGCAGCTATTTCCTCAAAATCCGACGAGCCTTATCATTTTCTTGATACAACGGATGATCCTTCACCACTGTTTCGATCAATCCTTGAGGCTCCGTTTCAACAAACACCTCCTCCGATCATTCCAGCTAGAGCCACATCACGTGCCCCCAGACCAGATCTATTGTTTCGTGCCCCATCTTCTATTCAAACTAGATCAAAATCGGGTATATCCAAGCCGAAACAAATACTTTCTCTCATCGCCAAAACCAGATCGCCTTTGCCTCGTAGTCACATTCAAGCCTTAGCTGACCCAAACTGGCATCCCGCAATGACGGATGAACATGGTGCTATGCTTAAGACTAAGACTTGGGACTTGGTACCTAGGCCACAAAACGTTAATATCGTACGTTCGATGTGGCTATTTAAACATAAATTTGATGCTAATGGGGTATTGTCTCGACATAAGGCTAGACTTGTAGCTAATGGCAAATCACAGGAGGAGGGCGTTGACTTCACTGAGACTTTCAGTCCCGTCGTAAAGCCAGCTACAATCCGAACAGTCCTCAATGTGGGAGTTGCCTTGGAATGGCCCATACATCAATTGGACGTCAAAAACGCTTTTCTCCAAGGTGATTTAGAGGAGACTGTTTATATGCACCAACCACCCGGTTTTGTGGATCACTCTCGACCTGGCTATGTTTGTAAACTCAACAAAGCTATCTACGGTCTTAAACAAGCCCCGCGGGCTTGGAATTCCAAGTTCTCGTCCTTTTTGAAACTGATGGGTTTTGTCCAAAGCAAAGCCGATTCTTCTCTTTTCATTTTCAGGAAAGGACGTGACTGTGCGTATCTCCTCTTATATGTCGACGACATTCTTCTTACAGCCTCTTCCACTTCTCTCCTTCGCCGTGTTATTGATAAGCTCCGAACGGCGTTTCCGATGACAGATTTGGGGAAGGTTCACCATTTCTTGGGCATTAAGGCAGAGTTCAATACAAAGGGTCTCTTCTTATCTCAAGCCGTCTATGCTGAGGATATCATCGCTAGAGCTGGCATGACCGACTGCAAACCTCTCGCTACTCCAGTTGATCTCAAGTCAAAGCTCTCCATCAACGAAGGCAAACCACTCGACAATCCGACGTTTTATCGTCAACTCGCTGGTGCGCTTCAATACCTCACTTTGACACGACCGGACATCTCTTATGCAGTCCATCAAGTGTGCCTCTACATGCACAATCCACGCGAGCCTCACCTCCACGCACTCAAACGAATTATCCGCTACATCAAAGGCACACTTACTCACGGCATCCAAATGGTTCGTGGCCAAATCGATTCTCTCACAGCCTATACTGACGCGGATTGGGCTGGCTGTCCCGATACACGCAAATCGACATCCGGATACTGCGTCTTTCTAGGCCCAAATCTCGTCTCTTGGTCCTCCAAACGTCAACCAACTATTTCGCGGTCAAGCTCCGAAGCCGAATACAAAGGAGTTGCCAATGCAGTTGCCGAGCTAACTTGGATCCGTAATCTCATGCTTGAACTCCATCGCCCAATCCGCAATGCCTCGGTTGTCTACTGTGACAATATTGGCTCCGTTTATCTCTCCACCAACCCGGTTAAGCATCAACGAACCAAGCATGTTGAATTGGATATTCATTTTGTTCGCGACAAAGTTGCTATTGGTGAAGTCAAGGTTTTACACGTCCCTACATCACTTCAATATGCTGATATATTCACCAAAGGCCTTCCCTCCTCACTCCACAATGAATTCCGTTCCAGCCTCACCGTGCTTCCGCCGCTGTGACTGAGGGAGGGTGATAGTTATCTAAAATATTCTGTTTAGATATTTTAGGAAACTGTTTATATTGTTTGTAATCTCCCTTGATCTGAGGAATCACTCATGATTCTCGGTATCATTCCAGGCTATAAAGCCATGTAATTGTTCTGTGAATAATCAAGGAAATATCTCAACTTTCACTCCGGGACTAGCTAGTGGCGCTATAATCTAAGATTCTCTAGGCCACTAGGTTAGGCAAAAGATTTATAAAAATGTACAACAGATGGAGATATATGTGGATGCATTATGCATACACTTATGAAATCATTTTAGAATCTTTTACTTAAGCGTTATTTGTTTCAATACTTGAGAACTCGAGCATGGTTTCGACAGCATAATTCCATATAAATACTAATATTTTGATCTATCTATATTCTCAGGCTCAATCGTTATCAATGGACGAGGACTACATAAATCGAGCACTTATGATATTTATAATTGAAATAGAAATCTAATTCTCCGGGACTAGTGGCGCTATAATAATCAAAGATTCTCTAGGCCATTGAGAAAGGAGAAAGAACTAAAGAAAAAGTACAATTGATAGGGATGCTCCATTATGCATGTATAAGAAGAAATCATCTTAAAAGGAGTTATTTACGTTGTTGCACCAAAAAAAAAAACATTGTTGTTTACGCTACCACCACACAGTATGGTTTAAACTTCATCGCTCCTTGATTTATTCATGAGATCTTTCCAAAATCTCCAAACTTATTTAAGGGTATAGATTGGATGGTGGTAGCATAAGTCATTAAAATGTTTTGGAGTGTTAATGGACTTTAGATTTATCTCTATAGCTAGATCTAAGGTCCTAATTAAATATCGCATGAAATCCAATAAATTTTGAATGATAAAGAGAAAAATATTATGAAATGTGTGATGACTTTACTTAGTATTTAAATGAGAGAGATAACTTTGCAATCTATTATCTATATATACAAAGTTGAGGAAGATCAAGTGGCGAGAAATTTTCAGTCTGCATATATCCTCGTTTTTTCACATATCTTTCTCTAAATCAGCTCCAAGACTTCAATCTTTTGTTACAATTTACAAATATATGGATATACGTGAAATTATTTACACAAATGAAGTTGTTTTTATGTTTTCTTTGGATTAATTATTTTAACAACTTTAATAGTATCAAATTCTTCTTCTAGTTTCTTAATGGTTTCTAATGACTTACAGGTTGATCAAGATATCTTAATTTATTTGTCTACCTCTATTTCCATGGCCTGATTTTAATCAGAATTTATAGATGAATATGAAAAAAAAAAAAAAAAAAAAAAAAAAAAAAAAAAACATGAGCTAAAAGTTAACATAATAAATACTAGCGAACAAAAGCCAGCAGCCACTTCCTGCCTTTTATGAAAGTTTATTAGCTCCTCGTTAACCGAAAAAGCCACATGGCAAAACCATCAACTTCAAATTCGTAATAACGACACAATATGGGCTCTTAGGATATTCTAAAGAATACTCTCAAAGCACTGTATTATAGTGATGCTAATTTGTTTCCTTATGTGAATTTCATTTTGATACAGAACTGGGTGTTTTGGGTTCTCCGGTTTACTGTGTATAACCAGTTTTCAAGGATTTTTTTTTTAGGTTTCTCATTTTCCGTTACTGCAGTGTGTGGCAAATGAATCATGGTTCGATAACATCTCATCATAGACAAATTCTCTGAAGTACCATACTGACTAAAAATGTCTTGACACCCACGCAACTAGTAGACCTTTTTACTAAAACCCTCGGTCAACAAGAGTTCGAGTGTTTCTAGTCTCAAAACTTCCAGGTATTGAGACTTGAGAGAGAATATATTTTAATTATAGATTTTTTTCTTTGTTTGTATATTGTGATTTTACTTTTTTGTAGCTATCTCTAAACTTGTAAATAAGGCAAGTAACATCTAAGAAGATTATTTAATCAATGATTTTTAGAATACTAATGAACTTGATTTTTTAGTATATATTTTTCCTTACATTGTTTTCCCTTTTCAAAACGCCATTGAAAGTGAAAATCAAATTTTAGTCTTGAACATATTTCTTGCTTAATAAAGATAACAAAAAGTCAAAAATTAAGACTGCCACGTGTTTTAACCATTTTGCTACATGATTAAAATATTACTAACAAAACTTATCTTTATAATATTTTGCTATAATTTCTAAAAAGTTAGTTCCCAAAAATCAAGATTTGAGAGCCATGTGTTACAACTTTCAACTGCAAGATCTATATTTACTAATTCTGATTTTGGTTTCCAAATATTAAAACCATAATATCCCAAAACATCAAATAATTAAAATATTACAGGGAAATTTCGAGGAAGCTGCCTTTGTGGACCCAATAAACAAAACAAATCAGTAGTATTTAAACAAATCATGACGCCATTCCTTTACAAAACAAACATAAAAATCAGCAAAACAAAATTCGCAGAGACACAAAAAAAAGACTTCATTTGTGTCTCAGAATTTACAAAGTCTTGAATCAGTAGAGAAATGGCGGGAATCGTGACAGAGCCGTGGTCAGTGGCGGAGAACGGGAACGCAAGCATGACGGCCAAAGGATCGAGTAGAGAACTGAGACTTGGAAGAACAGCGCATAGCATGTCTTCTTCTTCTTTGAGGAAGAAATCAGACCTCCGAGTGATTCAAAAGGTTCCATACAAAGGTCTCAAAGATTTTCTCTCTAATATTCAAGAAGTCATTCTCGGAACAAAGCTTGCCATTCTTTTTCCGGCCATACCCGCCGCCATTATTTGCACTTATTGTGGCGTCAGTCAGGTATTCATATATTTCCTCTGTTTCAAAATATTTTCATAAAGAGTAGAATTCGAAACGCCTAAAGGTTTTTATCAATTTGTCATTAATGTTTTGAGATATTTTGGCATGATATCTAATCAAAATTATTAGTTACCATTAAATTAGATTGGCAATCATTGATGTTTTACAATTAAACTTTTGGTGTTATTTTTGTAACGTAATTGTGCACTTAATATAAACGATTAATCACCATATATACATGTACATAACATATGGTTAAATGGTGGATTTTATTACAGCCTTGGATATTTGGACTGAGTTTGCTAGGACTGACTCCTTTGGCTGAGCGAGTCAGCTTTTTGACAGAGTACGTATTCGATCCTCATCTCTTATTTTATCCATTTACATATTTTATTATTGAATTCTTCACATTACGACATTTTCTTATCGATCGTGACAAAATTTAGCCAACTGTCGATAAAATGAATCGTATCTATCCATCTGTAGATAAAAAGATCACGTTATATCAATACTTTATTCCTCTTGCAAATTAAACAATCTTAGTTACCAACCACTCATTGTAATACTTTTCGTTGCTCCATGATACTTTCCACTAAGTTTGAAATTTTTTTCACTACTTGCTTTAAATCTTTAGGGGTAATTATCAAATATCACGTTAGTTAGGTCCAATTCCACCATAATTTATGCTTTTTGAAATAAATGGACATGGACCAATATTCTTTGGGGATTAGGCAATGCATGATTGGGTATCATTACGACCATATATACACAATTATTTGCTACTCATATGTCAACGTGACAGCATAGTACAAACTCTATCATCAAATCAAGTACATTGAGATTATCTAGAATCATCTTATCAACGTGACGCCATAAAAAGTTTAAAAACCAATTTTTTTTGTGTGTGGTAACTTTATATTCACATTCTCTCGTGAATCTTGTGCAGGCAACTAGCTTTCTACACCGGTCCTACATGTAACGTCTTCTTTACCAACTATTCTTATTTCAATATACAAACGTTAGTAACTTATTCTATCAGCAGAAACTAATTTATTTTGTGTGTTTTTGAACCGCAGTGGGTGGTTTATTGAACGCAACATGTGGAAACGCGACTGAATTGATAATCGCGATTCTTGCTTTGACCAATAACAAGGTCGCAGTGGTGAAATATTCGCTGCTAGGTTCGATTTTGTCGAACCTTTTATTGGTTCTAGGGACTTCACTCTTCTGTGGAGGAATCGCTAATATCCGAAGGGAGCAACGGTTCGACCGGGTATGGCCTCTCTTTTAACTTCGGTTCAACTTTAATTTCAAAACCAATGATAACTGAACCGGGAATGAAATAGGTTTTGTACGGCTAGTGTTAACTAGGATGTTATTTAAAAGTTCATCAGCTTGATAAACAAGCAAGTGGTATATATGTTTGAACCAAATTTCAATAACGGATTTGCTAAACGAAATCAATTTGTGTGGTCATTGTTGCAGAAACAAGCCGATGTGAACTTCTTCTTACTTCTAATGGGTTTCTTGTGTCACTTGCTGCCATTATTGGTGGGATACTTGGCAAACGGAAAGACTTCGGCTGCTGTTTTGTCCGACATGCAACTGAATATATCGCGAGGCTTCAGTATTGTTATGTTGATCAGTTACATTGCATATCTTGTTTTCCAACTTTGGACTCACCGCCAATTGTTCGATGCACAAGATCAGGTAACTGAAATATATACACACAAGATAACAGAAAAATGTTAAATATTAGAAATATATATTATTGTGTTCTAATGGATCTTTGAAAACGAAATTTGGTACAGGAGGATGAGTATGATGACGATGTGGAGGAAGAAACCGCGGTGATTAGTTTTTGGAGCGGTTTTTTCTGGTTGGTTGGGATGACACTCGTCATCGCGTTGCTATCGGAGTATGTTGTAGCCACGATTGAGGTAACTTTTGTGAATTCCACATTGAAACTGAAATGATCATCTAAAACATTATAGAAAATACATTTATTGTCAATTGGTGTTGAGTTGGAAGCACGCTCACTAATATGACGTTAACTTTGGTTAGGAAGCATCAGATAAATGGAACTTATCAGTGAGTTTCATAAGCATCATATTGCTTCCTATTGTTGGAAACGCAGCTGAACATGCTGGAGCCGTTATTTTTGCCTTTAAGAACAAGCTCGTAAGTTCCATTTTTTTCCTTAAAATTATCGCTTTTAATCGATCCGAAATCTATTATATATATGAAACTTGTAGATTACAATGACACAATGCAAGAACTTATATCAATCCAAATAAATTTTAGGACATATCTTTGGGAGTTGCATTAGGCTCTGCGACTCAGATTGGCTTATTCGTCGTCCCCTTGACCATCATCGTGGCGTGGATTTTGGGAATTAACATGGATCTCAATTTCGGTCTCCTCGAAACTGGCTGTCTTGCTGTTTCCATTATCATCACAGCCTTTACATTACAGGTTAAGCATTTTTCAACACCTTATAATCCATTAGACCAACCAATGGATGATCAAAGTGTTGAATGACTAATATTTTTGTTATGTTTTGTGGTTCTTTAGGATGGGAGTTCTCACTACATGAAGGGACTGGTCCTCTTGCTTTGCTATTTCATTATTGCCATCTGTTTTTTCGTCGACAAACTTCCCCAGAGTGAGTTAATTTCCACATTTCTATACATGCTACTACTAGGGATATCAATAATTTGGGCATACAACACCCATATATCAAATGGAAATGCTTTATCAGATAAAGTTAAAACGGGTTAAATGGGTTGCCCCAATTAGATTCATTAATTAAATAAGTTTTAATATAAATAAATGTTTTTCTTTATGATGATTATCCCTACTAAATTTTTGTAATATCTTAATAACTAAGTAAAATAGTAAAAAATTATTAAATCATTTTTCTTTTTAATTCAAAAATACAAAATTCTATTTTCCTATCAAAAACTGCATAACTGTTGCTCCTTCCAAAACCGAAAATAATATTTTTCTGCTAAAACTGCAAAATTCCAGTTTTTGGTCATTGTAGCTTTTATTCCGTTTATTCTGGTCTTCACGTCTACGTTTTGTTACAGAACATTATTTTCTCACAAAATCCACGTTAGTCTGCCAAAACCGTAAAATTGTGTCTTATCAACAAAATTTGTTTTCTTACAAAATAACGTTCTCCCGCCAAAACCACAAAACCGCGTTTTTCCATAAAAAGTGCAAAATTGTGTGTTTGTGGTGATAGTTTTCCTACAAAAGCGTGTTCTTTCTCTCACATAAACTGCAAAAATACACACAACTTAAACCATATATAAATTATAATTAACAATAAAATAATACAATTCTATTTAAAAAAAAAAATATAATTTAACTAACAATTAATAAATAATAATATATTTAAAAATCATATATAATTTAAATGGGTTTACATAGGTCAGTATATGTTTAAATGGGAAGAGTTAAATAAGTTTCAAATCATTTGTCCAAAAAAAATTGAGTTTCAAATCTTAAGGGTATAAATAGGTTTTAAATTAAATGGGGTGGGTTCCATTTTAATAATATCACTACATACTACATGCTACTAGCTAGATTGACAATGATAATAATTACTTAACGCAAAATTCTGATAATTGTATATTTCAGAACAAAATGCTATACACTTGGGACATCAAGCGATGAACAATGTTGTCACTGCAACAGGAGGAGGAGTTTTCTCATCTTAAATGAAGACAAGTACCAATGTGTTGAAACAAAATTTCCAAAGCGATCGAGAGACAGTGGACAATGAAAAAAATACCCAATTTTCTTGATTCATTTATAAATATGAAAAGATTTGTCAGAGAGATTCCTGAGATTCAGTGAGTGTTATTTCATTTTTCCAATGTTTGGGTGTCTTGATGAAGATAAGTTTTGAGAACTTTCTAAATTCTTCTTGTGGGTGGGTTTGCAATGAACTATCTAGGAATGCCTTATGTCAAATGTTTTATTTCATTTTGTTAAAGTCCTATCATTTTTTTTTTTGGAGTAGTCAATATAAAATTATGAATAAATGGATTATTAGATCTTTTTTATAATCGAGGTAGACCATTGTTCTACCAATAGAAATCCAAATTCAAATAATCACATATCTCATCTAGTCAAAATCAGACTGAATAAGAAAATCAGACCTTTATTGGTGAGCTTTTGTGGGTTAAAAAAAGCCCAATGAATTAGCTATTGGGCCGTTTAGAATCACACGTCCACGAAATACGAGGCTGCTTCATTGGTCAGACAGTGCAAATATCAACCGTCGGATCAGTCAGTGCTAAATCTACAACTCCAGCAATCCCTGAAACACAGTGCTAGACCTGTCTCAACCTCAAGAAGCAGAGTCTGCAGTTCGGGTGACAGATCAACGGGACGATCCAAGATTAGCAATGATGTGAATCCTGTGTTGATTGGGACTCAAATGGTGGACAGAGTTGTGAACATGAGGAAACTGCCACCTCCAAAATTTGACGATAATATAAAGAATTAAACTACTTAGATTAAACCACATTAGTTTAGAAAAATACTGAAACTATTAATTGAGGAGGTTTTATTATATACCTTTCTTAAGATCTGCATTAGCTTTAAGACTCCATGTGAGCTTTTGACTTTCCTTCTGTGTTTAGGACAACATTCTGAAACAATGGAGAAGGATAATAGTACCAAGAAGAGTCTCTCAGAAGTACTTGATCTCCGGCAACTCAGGCACACGAATTCCCCGGTATTCTCTACCGTCATTTTCGCTGTCATAATGCTGCTCGTTGTCGCGGGAACAATCCTCTCAAACATGTCTCTAGAATCAACTTTCTTCTGGTCTTCACCGACCTCTCAGGTAATACAAATGAACAGAATGGAGAGAAAGCCATTGGCTCCTCCAAATAACAGTACAAGCAGAGACAGGATCGCTTGGCTTCGATCACATCTAACAGAATTCGAGGTTTTCAGGTCAACCAACCTTTCAAAGCAGTTTCATCAGAGGGTTGTTGACTCTCTCGACGACAAATGTGAGGTTAGATTCTTCATGACATGGTTTTCACCAGCAGAGTTTTTTGGCAAGAGAGAAATTTTAGCTGTAGAAAGCGTCTTTAAATCTCATCCTCGAGGATGCTTAATGATTGTATCAGGATCCTTGGATTCTCAACAAGGAGATAGCATCCTAAAACCGCTAATTGATCGCGGTTACAAGGTTTTTGCAGCCACACCAGACATTTCATTGCTTCTTGAGAACACACCAGCTAAATCTTGGTTTCAAGAAATGAAAAGCTTCAAAAGAGATCCAGGAAGGATACCGTTACACCAGAATCTTTCAAACCTCGCGAGGCTAGCGATTCTGTACAAGTACGGAGGTGTGTACCTAGATACCGATTTCATCGTCACAAGAAGCTTTAAAGGGTTGAGGAATTCAATAGGAGTGCAAACATTACTGGAGGGAGATTCAAAGAACTGGAAAACGTTGAACAACGCGGTTCTGATCTTCGAAAAACATCACCCGCTTGTTTACAGTTTCATGGAGGAGTTTGCTTCGACTTTTGACGGGAACAAATGGGGACACAATGGTCCTTGCTTGGTAACAAGAGTAGTGCAAAGAGCAAGAGAAACGATTGGGGATAATTTTACAGTACTGCCACCAGTAGCATTCTATCCATTCAATTGGTTAGACATTCCGAGACTGTTTCAAACGCCAAAGAGCAGCAATGACTCGATAATACTCAAAACCGATCTGGTGAAGCTGAACAGAGAAAGCTACGGGCTGCATCTATGGAACAAGTTCACCAGAAAACTTAAGATCGGTAAGGGCAGTGTCATAGATATCATAGTTTCAGACCACTGTGTTGTTTGCAGAGGAATTCAGAGATGACAGGAAATCAAATAGGTGTGTTTGTGTGAAATTTTTGTCCAAAGCCTAAATGGCAAACACTTTTTTTTTTTTTTCACTTATCAGTCAAATACGGAAGACGATGATCTCCGCTACTTGATGTTTCAAATATAATTCGAACTGCCTTGCGACTCACGTATCAAAAGCCAAAAGCTACACACCAAAATCACTCTTTATTTATTTGTTGATGAAATTTCATTGTCTTGATGTCTATATTTGTATCTTTTGTGGTAGATGACTGTTAGAAGCTAGACTTAGAAGTTAGAAACAGAGGAATGAATTTGGAGGAATTCTTATTATTTTCTCCAAATGGATCACCAATTGAAGCCATGTTAGAATTTAGAAACATATATAGATTTTACTAATAATATAAATCTTATAAATTTGAGAAACTGGATGTCTTGCTGTTTCCATTATCATCACAGCCTTCACATTACAGGTTAAGCATATTTCAACACCTTACAAAATTATTTTTCAACACATTACAGGTTTATGCTTCTTAGACCAAAGAGCTTAATAGGGCTGTTTATAACAAAGCCAAACCAGAATACGGATCATTACCTTCCCACGATGCGTTTGTTCAAATAATCATATACATGTGAAAATCAGAACACCGGTGAGAAAAAAAAAAAATCAGAGTATTGGCGAGCTTTTGTGGGTTAAAAAGCCCAATAAATAAGCTATTGGGCCGGTTAGATTTAATGTGTAAAACACAAATAAATGAAGTGAAGAGTTTGAATTCACACGAAACACGAGGCGCCCTCATTGGTCAGTCCAATTCAAAAAACAACCGTCAGATCAGTCAATCACCGTTGTGTATCCAACGGTTCAGATTTTAGATTCAGTCACTAGGCCCTACGTTATTTACGTCTATACCCTCTCCTCCTAAACGCTCCATCTCCAGAAAAATAAAAGAGCACCTGAGAGAATCAGAACAGTGGCAGTTTCGTGAATATACGACTGAATCAAACTCTCTTGATGGAGAATGTGGTGGTGGTTCGTGATGGAGATGAAGAACTCTCTCTATTCCTGGAGATGCGAAGACGTGAGAAGCTTCATGACGTTTCTTCTCTTTCACAACCTGGTGAGTTTTATTGGATCTTCGTTTCTTCAAATTTGACTTCAATTTCTCTGAATCTGAGCTCACGGAACCTAAATCTAAGAACCGGACTAAGAAATTATGCTTAATCTCTGCTTATTTGAACTAGTTTCGTGCTTTTTGATTCAGTTTTGAGTAATTTAGAGTTGATTGGTTAGCTCTTGTGGCTGATTTCTAGTCAACATTTTGATTTCCTGAATATTGCTGTTTGATTTGATGAATGTTTTGACAGGAGCAAACAGTACTGTTGACAAGACTAGCACAAAGAGTTTGGAGCTTTTGAAAACGAGCTGTGTTAAGCTGCCTAGGAGCGCTGTTGAAAAGTTTTTGGACTCTGAGAACGATAAGTCAGATTATGAGTGGTACTTCTTTGATTGTTTTTTCTTGTGAATTTTGAGATGTTTATGAGTTATCTGTCATAGTAGTGTTCCAATGTGATGCTTCTAATAGGCTTATATGTCTGCATGACTGGTCTCATCTGGTTGCTATTGGCTGCTATTAGATAGAATCTTCGAATAGAGTACTTCCTTTTTGTTGAGATATTCATCTAGAGATGATCTGATTCCAGGTTACTTGCGGCTCCTGAGACGGTAGGAGGGAAAGAGAACTCAATGGTTAAAATCAAGGAGCCTAAAGCTAGGTCCACTGCTCTAAAACAACGAGTAAGCTTAGAAAACTCCAAATGATACTTTCCTGTCATCCCCTTCTTAGCCATATTTGTCTTTTTGGAACATATACGATTGATATGTGTCATGTTCTTCAAGGTTTTGCTAGTCTATCCTAGTCCTAAGTACTATGTTCACACCATTGTGGTCCATGTTTACACCACTAGCTAGTTTCATCATTCCCTATGTTTAGATATTTGTGTATTTTTAATGATTGCTCGAGCTGATTCATGTTATGCTTTTGCTTTAAGGTTGAAAACATCCCGCAAGAACCAGTGACACGGAGCGTTAAGGCTTCCAAGCCAACACCAAAAACTGTTTCTAGCAAGCAAGCCAACACAGCTGCAGAAGTAAAACCAAGCATTAAACCGTCAAGACAAGCCACACCCACTTCACGAGCCTCATTACCTTCCACAAGACAAACCAACTCTGCTCGAAATTCGAATCAATATAGTAGAACCACTTCAAACAAATCCAATCCACGAGCATCTGCTCTTAACCGCTCATCCTCGGTGGGAAAGTCAGTTTCTAGTGCAAAATCTACAACTCCAACAATCCCTGAAACACGTGCTAGACCTGTCTCAACCTCAAGAAGCAGAGTCCACAGTTCAGGGGACAGATCAATGGGGCGGTCCAAGATTAGCAATGATGTGAATCCTGTGTTGATGGGGACTCAAATGGTGGAAAGAGTTGTGAACATGAGGAAACTGCCACCTCCAAAATTTGACGATAACACCAGCTCGGGTTTCGGGAGAACTCTTTCTAGGTCGTCTCTAGACATGGCTTTGAGGCACATGGTACACATCCTTATTCCTTTTAACCATTGAAGCTAGTTAGTTAGTTGGTTAGTTATAACTTGCAAGCTTTAAATTTCTCACAAAATTGTACATTTCGTTTTGCAGAACATAAGGCATAGCGTTTCGAAGAATCTGAGGGTAACAATCAATGCTCCAACTAACTCGATGAACAAAAACGAGTCATCGTAATATCAGAATATCCTCAGCTTTGGTGGAAACTACATATTATTATCAGATATAGATGCTATATAGTAGTATTTTCGAACTTATTCATTAGAGACATTTGTTTCCTAGTAACCATTTTGGTGGTTATATACTTATATATATGGGTACATCGGCAAATCAAGTTGAACCTAGCCGAGTCTTAGAGAAATATATATATTCTTCAAATCATCCGTTCACGGTTTAGACTGTTTAGTAGCAACTAGCTAACAATTCTCAAAGCCTCCACTTGAGACAGAGTCTTCAAGAGCTTCTTTATCAAAACATCAAAACGCTGCCGCCTTTGACTAGTGGATCAAAAGAGGAGGAAGGAGTGGGCTTTGATCCACTAGTAAAGAAGCTCTCGATGACTCTGTTTCCGGAGATTGTTTGCTAATAGTAGTGTGGAGATTTCGTTTGATTTTTCAAAGAATAAAAGTGTATATGTTTATTACTCATCAATGTAATCCGTATGCTCACAAAGGAAAACAAAACATATGCCGACAAAGAAAAGAAAAATGCCGCATGTATCATTATATCATGCATAATTTTCAACATAAATCGATTAGTCATTAAATAATTGGCAAAAAATCAACTAAATCTTTAAAGAGTTTGGTAAAATTAATCAATTAGAATCATTAAATAGTTTGGCAAGAAAAAAATAATTAGAATAATTAGTTTCGTTTTGTTAATTTCTTGTAATGGCTTATCTTTAAACAATGTTTAAAAAATGATTTTACAAAAAAAAACATTTGTATATGTGTGAACATGTATTAGTGTTGATAGATCATCCACATGAACAGCTAACAAAAATATGGTAATCTTCGAAGTTAGTGGTATGCACATCTTCAGCATACTCCACAATCATATATTATCTATATTACTATATATGTAACCAAACTCCCACGTAAGATTGACCTAACAATATTTAGAAAATGTACATATTTGTATAGTTTAACAAGTTTTCTTTAAAGCCAATAAAACATGAAGAACCTTAAAATATCCTACTCCCAAAACAATACCTAAAAAACGGAGACATCATCTTCTTTAATTCTACCTCAACATTTCCACTTGTATTAATTCAACTACATAGACCAAATCACATTAATCTACGTTTAAAGAATTCAACTACTTAGATTAAATCACATTAGTTTAGAAGAATAATGAAACTATAATTGAGGAGGTTCTAATCTCCATTAGCTTTAGACTCCTTGTGAGTTTTTGACTTTCCTTCTCTGTTTCAAGACATTCTGAAACAATGGAGAAGGATAATTGTAACAAGAAGAGTCTCTCAGAAGTACTTGATGTCCGGCAACTCAGGCACACGAATTCCCCGGTATTCTCTACCGCCATTTTCGCGGTCATAATGTTGCTCGTTGTCGCGGGAACAATCCTCTCAAACATGTCTCTAGAATCAACTTTCTTCTGGTCTTCACCGACCTCTGAGGTAATACAAATAAACAGAATGGAGAGAAAGTCATTGGCTCCTCCAAAGAACAGTACAAGCAGAGACAGGATCGCTTGGCTTCGATCTCATCTAACAGAATTCGAGGTTTTCAAGTCAACAAACCTTTCAGAGCAGTTTCATCAGAGGGTTGTTGACTCTCTCGACGACAAATGTGAGGTTAGATTCTTCATGACATGGTTTTCACCAGCAGAGTTTTTCGGAAAGAGAGAAATTTTGGCTGTAGAAAGCGTCTTTAAATCTCATCCTCAAGGATGCTTAATGATTGTATCAGGATCCATGGATTCTCAACAAGGATACAGCATACTAAAACCGCTGATTGATCGCGGTTACAAGGTTTTTGTAGCCACACCAGACATTTCATTGCTTCTTGAGAACACACCAGCTAAATCTTGGTTTCAAGAAATGAAAAGTTGCAAAAGAGATCCGGGAAGGATACCGTTACATCAGAACCTTTCAAACCTCGCAAGGCTAGCGATTCTGTACAAGTACGGAGGTGTGTACCTAGATACTGATTTCATCGTCACAAGAAGCTTTAAAGGGTTGAGGAATTCAATAGGAGCACAAACAGTGATGGAAGGAGATTCAAAGAACTGGATAAGGTTGAACAACGCGGTTCTGATCTTCGAGAAAGATCACCCGCTTGTTTACAGTTTCATGGAAGAGTTTGCTTCGACTTTCGATGGGAACAAATGGGGACACAATGGTCCTTACTTGGTAACAAGAGTAGCGCAAAGAGCACGAGAAACGACTGGGGACAATTTCACAGTATTACCACCAGTAGCATTCTATCCATTCAACTGGTTAGACATTCCAAGACTGTTTCAAACGCCAAGGAGCAGCAATGACTCCACATTACTCAAAGCCGATCTGGTCATGCTGAACAAAGAAAGCTATGGACTGCATCTGTGGAACAAGATCACCGGAAAGCTTAAGATCGGTAAGGGTAGTGTCATAGACATCATAATTTCAGACCATTGTGTTGTTTGCAGAGGAATTCAGAGATGACAGGAAATCAAATAGATGTGTTTGTGTAAGATTGTGTCCAAAGCGCAAATGGCTTTAGGCAAACACTTTTTTTTTTTTTTCACTTATTAGCCAAATACGGAAGAATTTTATTTCTGCTACCTGATGTTTGATATATAAACCTAACTGCCTTGCGACTCACGTATCAAAAGCTCAAAAGCTCAAAAGCTACACACCAAAATCACTCGTCAGTGATTTTATTTTGTTGATGAAATTCCCTTTGTCTTGATGTCTATATTTGTAGCTTTTGTGGTAGATGATTGTTAGAACTCAGAAAAAGAGGAATGAATTTGGAGAAATTCTTATTATTTTCTCCAAATGGATACCAATTGAAGCCATGTTAGAAAGTAGAAACATATATAAATTTTACCAAAATAATATAAACCTTATATAAAAATTGATTATATTATACATTAAAGGCTTGTACTAAAATTTTTAAAAAAGAACTATTAACTCATTCCTTCATTAATCTTCCTAATTTGATATTTAATTAGGGTTTCATCTTCAACCCTAGTTTATTATTCTTTTTCCTCCGTAGATCAATCAGTGAGAACAAGCTTGCTTAAAACATAATCCAACCATGTCTCAAGGCAATCAACGATCTTCGAGTTCGACGACAAAAGGAGAATATTCAGAGTCCATCCCAAATGATCTAATTCTTGAGATACTCTCGAGATTGCCGGCAGAGTCAATCGTGAGATTTCGTTGCGTATCGAAGCTATGGGGGTCCATGCTTCGCCTTCCACATTTCACCAAGTTGTTCTTGACCAGGTATTCAGCTCGTCCACGTATCTTATTTGGGGTCGAAGGAGACGGTGAGTGGCTCTTTTACTCGTCACCTCATCCTCCAAATCCATACGAGAAGTCTCTTGCAGTAGCCGCAAAGTTTCATTCCAAGTTCCGTGGACAGATGAATTATGAAGAGATTTGGAGCTATGCTTCTGGTTTGATCTATTTCCCTGAATTTTTGATCGTAAAGGAGGATGAATTAAAATTGCCTATGATATGTAACGTTATTACGGGACAGTATGCAATCTTACCTGAATTTATCAGCCACTGGGAATCAAGCTTTTTAGGGTTTGATCCGATTGGCAAGCAATTCAAGGTATGGGCTCATAATAAAATTCTGACATTAGGGACTGAAAAACTGAGGTGGAGGAAGAATTTCCGTTGGCCTGCATATTATCGTCCTGAATCTAATGGGATATGTATCAATGGAGTTTTGTATTACATAGGTAGAAGATTTCTTCCTACCCCGTCTTTTGCGATAGTTTGCTTTGATGTTAGGTCTGAGGATTTCAAGTTTATTGACGCACAACGCTTTCGTTGTGAATATACAATTAAATTGATAAGCTATAAAGGTAAACTATGTGGGGTTACTTGGAAGTATGTTGATGCTGATGCCATTGAGTTGTGTATGTCGGTTCTAGAAGATGCCGAGAAACAAGAATGGTCAAAATATGTCTACACTTTGCCTGAGAATGAATTCTTCAATGACATCGATGTTTGCTACAGTGATTTCGTTGTTGGGGTGACCGGTACAGGTGAAATTGTTTTGTCGCTGGAACATATATATAAAGAACCGTTTCATGTTTTCTACTTCAATCCCGAAAGGAACACTCTCCAAATTGTTGAAATCCAAGGTTTTGAGAATGGTAGTAGAGTTTACGCTTTTGCAGACCATGTAGAGGATCTCAATGCTTACGATGCAAAGCAACTCAAGTCAAGACCAGTAAACCAAGGCCTAAATAACATGCCGAAAAGGCCAAAACCACAACATTGTAATACATCTCATGACCTCTGCAGCTCTACTCCATCTGTGAAGAACAAGCAGCCGAAGGTCCTCCTGCAGAACAAGTTCGATTTATTAGCTAACCTAGAGTGAGCACATGTGTTGATCTTGGAGGCCAAGCCAAATTCACGTACAAGAGTCTACCTATTCTGGCTGTGAGTGTGACTTCTCATTTGAGCTCTATCGTAATTGTGTTGCACGTTATACTTAGGAGTTGGGAACAAACTAATGCTTTATCTACACTGCCTTTTCTTAAAACTTATTTTTGCTAGACCATCTCACTTTTACTTTTCAGTTAGTATTCTCTCTGTCTTTGAATTCTCTTCTGTTTCGAGTTGTTTTTGTGTGTTTATAGTATAAGCTTTGAATAATATGGTGAAATTGAGAATCTTAAAATGGTTTCCCCATATTGAAATCGTAATTCTTATAGAGAAAATGCAAAGTCACCAATTTTTCTTCTGTTTATGAATTCTTAAGTCATTCTATTAAAAAACGTGCCTGTGAGGAACTATACAAACATGCTTGGGAGAGGTCTCACGGCCATGAAGGTATTTCCACACCGATTTTTACACAGAATCTCCAAATTCTACTGTCTCTGACAATAACCCACCGTTCAAACCAAACGTGCCTCTTCCCAGACCCGATGGCCCCATGAGTAGCAGTTGTAATATCAACTCAGTTTTGGACTCAGAGTATAACGAAAAGGAGTTAGATCCGTTGGTGCCTCCTCGTAAAGCTAGCAAGAACGAGAGAATTGACTGGTTCAGAAGAAAGCTACCTGAGCTGGAGATACTGAAATCGACTAGCAAGAGCAAGAGATTCCATACAAGAGTTTTGGACTTGTACAACAACAATTGCTCTGCTCAGTTCTTTATGATTTGGCTTTCTCCCGCAAAATCCTTTGCACCAAGAGAGATATTAGCAGTTGACACTCTCTTCACCACCAATCCTGGTGCTTGCTTGGCGATTTTGTCCAACTCATTAGACTCCCCCAGAGGATACACCATCCTTAAACCATTGCTTGATCGAGGTTTCAACCTCACTGCTGTAACTTTAGATATCCCGTTCCTCGTCAAGAACACTCCTACCGAAGCTTGGCTGAAAAGGCTAAAGAGTGGCCACATGGATCCCGGTTCTATCCCCTTGTTCATGAATCTCTCTGATCTAACAAGACTCACGGTACTGTACAAATACGGAGGAGTCTATCTAGACACAGACATCATCTTCCTTAACGACATGACAGGACTAAGAAACGCGATTGGGGCACAGAGTATTGATCCAGAAACCAAGAGATGGACAAGACTAAACAACGCAGTGATGGTCTTCGACATCTACCATCCACTTATGCAAGAATTCTTGCAAGAGTATGCCACAACATTCGACGGAAACAGATGGGGATACAACAGCCCTTACCTAGTCTCTAGAGTTATCAAGAGATTAGGAAACAAACCTGGATACAATCTCACAATCTTTTCCCCCGACGCTTTCTATCCAGTGAATTGGATACAAATCCAAAAGCTTTTCAAGAAACCTGCAACCACAAGAGAAGCCAAAATGGGTAGAGAAGACGGTACAGGACATGAACAAAGGGAGTTACATGATACATCTGTGGAACAAAGTCACAAGGAAGATTAAGATTGAACAAGGAAGTGTAATGCACACTCTCATCACCACCCATTGCACAGTCTGCAGAAACATCACAAATTCCCACACTTAAGTATACAGATTCTCGTTCTTCGTTTGCTTTCATTGTTCACATTTGCTTTACTTTTTCAATGTAAAAGACTCAATGATTCATAAAGAAGCAAACTTTCATAGAAAGCAGAGAACTTGGAGATGTTTTAACAACAAAAGAGTCGCAGCATCAACAAAGATTTCTAAAAACAAATTAACATTACAGTGAATGAAGAATCTCATTTTCTAATTAGAGAAGAGAGACTCGTCGATGTCGATTTTGATCTTCTCGTCGTTCTCAAACTTATCTTTCCTCGGTGGTGCTGGAGGAACTGGTACTCTCTCTGGTCCTCTTCCTTTGTTCTTGTTTCTCGGCCTCGCCTGTTCACATAAACCCAAAATTTCGAATTCGCAAAGTAAAATTTCGAAATCGGAAGAGAAATTGAATACTTACATTCCCAAAAGAGTGATTGAAACGCTTTCCTTTAGCTGTTTTACGGTCACCTCTACCACAGTACACTGGTACACAGGAAAATTATGCCATTGATGAATTAAGAGAGAGCATTGGGAAGGAGAAAGAGAGAGAGATTACCGAGTGGAATTGAGCTGGATGAGGAAGTGGAGAGAGAGAATTGATGAGTGAAGCAAGAGAGAGAGACACCGGCGGTTTCTGAGTGAGATGATGATAAGCGTGAAGAAGATAATGCGAGGGTGACTCGCGGAGGAGCTCCGAGTATAAGCGACGCCATCGCCGTGTGCTGTTTTCGAATTTGTTCAGAGGAAGAAGAAGAAGATAAGATAGTGAGAGTTGAAAAATGGTTTTAGGATAGGCTTTTAATTATTTTTCCATATTTGGGCTTTTAATTTTTAATAATTATTTCATTTGGGCTTGTTTTTAAAGCCCAAAATTATCTTAGAACCCTACACATGCTTGTCACGTGTGTAATCGACCTTCTTCTTCTTCTTCTTCTTCTCTTTGGAGCTTTCTTCTTCAGATATCAACCCAATCGTAACTTTTGATCTTCGAATTTCACAAAGCTCAAACTCTTGGTAAGTGTTATATCATCGACTCATTGATCTTGGCTTTTGAAAAGTTTCGATTTTTATAATCACCTCTCTTTCTAATTCTCTCATAACTTGGTATTTAAATCTATGTTGTTTTGTTCTTCTAAGCTGCTCAGGATTCTTACTATTCCCAATCGCAGAACATTGGTAAGCTCTCTTGTATCTGAACTCTCAAATCTTCTAGAACTCGCTTAAGCTCAAGTCGTTTGATTTACTAGAGTGTTATGGATTCTGCTTCAGCTGTTGATTTGAGGAATCTGTGTTGTCATTAAAACACCGAACTTTCAAGTTTGGAACAATCAGCTCATTAGTTCTATTCCTAGAAAATGCTTAGTTTCCCAAAATCACTCTTTTCGAATTTCGTGTTTATCTTCTCTAACTTTGGATTAAGTGTTTTACCACTCCCTGTAAGAACAAGATCATCAATATATGAAAAAACTGATCAAAGTTTCATCTTTATCTTTATAAGTATATACTTCGGGTTCAATGGAGAAAAATATGGAAGATAAAGAAGAATTCGATGAGGGTGAGATTGAGTACACTAGTTATGCTGGTGAGCATCATCTGCCATTGATTATGTCTCTTGTTGACCAAGAACTTAGTGAACCTTACTCCATCTTTACTTACCGATACTTCGTCTACCTCTGGCCACAGCTCTGCTTCCTGGTATTTTGATACTCTGCTTTCGATTTTATAGTTGCTTTACTTTCATGATACTTATGTTTTGATGGATTGATGAGTAGCATTTGTTTCTTTTCTTTTAATAGGCCTTTCACAAAGGTAAATGCGTAGGAACCGTAGTCTGTAAGATGGGGGATCATCGACAGACTTTCAGAGGGTACATTGCCATGTTGGTTGTGATTAAACCATATCGTGGCCGAGGCATAGGTAATTTTCAAGCTGCTGCCACTAACTTCTTATAGAATCAGATTGATTTCTGAATTTCCTGTGGTTCTGATCGTGTTTGATCAACTGCAAGCCAGGCCTCTCTCCTAACTATATAAATTCTTGTGTGCTTACTTATCATTGTGCTTTACAGCGTCAGAGCTGGTCACAAGATCGATAAAAGTGATGATGGAATCAGGCTGTGAAGAGGTATGCTGCTCACAAAATTCACTTCTCTCTTTATTCCCTTTCTGGCAAACTTAATTATTTGATGGCACTAGAGTGATATCCTTACCTGGTAGTAGAATTGTAGATAAATATTATGAACCACCTTCTCTGAGGAGTTACATTACATGTCCTCAAACATTTCCTCCTTTTTATCATGCTAGAATAGAATTTCAAAGGTTAGGTGATATAGCTGCATCTAATCATTGCAAGTTTTCCTATTGCATTTGATTGTTTAGCTCACTGAGTATGGAAGTTTGGTTCTAGCTAATAGAGTTGTAGTAATCGTGTTCCTAAAATTGGAACCGTTTGATATTCGTTTGGATGCATTGGTATTGTGTTATGTAACTGATGTTGTAGTTGGGAATCAGAAATGCCAGTCTCTCACATAGTATCCATATGACATATAAGTCTTGTATGTAGTCCATGACTACTTATATCAATAAGCATTGGTATGTAACTGCAATGGTCATTTGAAATCAGAAATCCTTGTCTCCCATTTACTAATTGTGTATGCAACAAATTATTTTCTGTTGCATCTGTGAGATCCCTTTACTGTAATTTGAGTCGATTGCAAAAAAAACACCTCTTGTGTGGAATTTGCTCTTCATTGTCTGATTTCAAGATGGGATTGAGAGTATGGTTGTGTGATTACGCAATCTAATTAATGAAAAAATGTATGATTGAAGGTAACTCTGGAGGCAGAAGTGAGTAACAAAGGAGCATTAGCACTATATGGGCGACTCGGGTTCATAAGAGCCAAACGGCTATACCACTATTACTTGAATGGGATGGATGCTTTTCGCCTGAAGCTCTTGTTCCCTAAGCCTCGTATACCTCAAATACCTTCTCAAGATCAAACCCAACAAGAGTACGAGACTTTCCCTAGGCCTCGTGAATGAACAAAGGTGTGTGTTTCTTCAATGTATTCTAAATCCTGAACATGCTAAGACTATGTTCTGTTTCGTATGAAGAAATATTATGTGTTGGTACAATTCTAGTCCCATATTTTTGAAGTATTCTCGACTGGATTAGTAAGCGATTAGGGACATTTCAACTCTCTTGTTTGATGATTGGAAAACATGGTTTACCCTGTATCTCTCCAAGATGTCAAAATAATGGATCGAGGCCTAAGGAGAGAAAGATGTCAAAATGATATGAAAAGACATGATTGAATAATTGGTATCAGATAATTTATGAAATACTATCTATTGGATACTTAGATTTATCCATGTTAGCCAAGATTTTTTTCTATCTCTATATATTCCACTTACAAAAAAGTCTATCACAAGAAATAAAAACAAAACTCAAATAGTCGCAAAACTCACATGGCCTAAATCAGAACAAATTAAAGACAAGCAAGATTCACCTCTCATCACATAATAGTTATTGACTATTTGAACCCACTCACTAACCAACGTTACGACGGGTCGGTCCTACTCCATATCGCATAATATGACTCACATTCACATTGTGTCATATTCTCACTTCTTCTTTCTCTATAAAGATTATATGCTATTAGAAGAAACATTTATGCAAAGTTATTTTATTTTTTTAATCAAAAACAACAAAAAAAAGTCAGATAGAAAGTACAAGAATCGACTCTGGATTCAAACGAGAGTATTAGTTAATAATTTACAGATTATAGATATATTTTTTTGGGGGCAAAGTACATGTGAAAGCAGAGCATATGATAAGGGTAAACGATTGAGTACGAATGAACGAACACATGCCATATTTAATATGAGAGACAAGAACGGTCCTCTGATCCATTCTTTTGCTCAGAGAGAAGAAGAAGAGTGTCAAGTAAATAATGGCACGCGACTCGGACGAAGAATCCACGTGCGATCTCACCCCACACCATGTGGCCCAATGGATATGACCGGCTCCGTCGGTCCAACTTGTCCATGTTCCCTATTTAATTTAAAACACTCCCTGCCACTAAGTAAAAAGTTTCTAAATAGATTATGAGTTTTACTTAAGTATTATTTTAATATATAAATATTTGATTTTAAATTTATGTTTAAAAAGATAAAAAAAAATTCTAGCAAAAGTCTAAGAATTAGCTATTTTATAAGGAGTTAAATTTATTTTCAAAAAAAAAAATATTAAATAGTAGGTTTATATATTTAAATCAAACCCATTAATTATTTAAATTTTAGAGGCGACAAAAATAGATTTGAACTTTTATTATTACATTTTGTTTATTGTTAAACGGATTGTCGTTGTGTATTATTTAAAACCGTGTAAGTGCATGTTAGGAAGAAGATATAACTCATAAGATAAGAATTGTTTTTGTGTTACTAAAGCCAAAGTACATTAAAAGGAGAGAAGACGATACATTTCTTAGCCTATTGTTTTTAACAATACCAAATTAAGAAATCACACACTACATATTATCGACTATTCAAATTTCAAAAAAAAAAAAAAAAACTAAGGAGTGAAAACAAAAATACAAAACCCCAAAAGAGAAAAAAAAAAAAAAAAATTAAGAGCTTAGCACGCATTTAAAGAGGTGTGTAAAAAGAACACTATTTTCGTGACTTTTACTCCCTCACGTATACGAACACAAAACACAAAAGAAGAACAAATAATTTAAGAACCCTCCACAAAAGCATTAGAACCCTGACTCGATCTCTCAAAGACGGTGGTGTAAAGCGGAGACCGGAGCATGTGCAGCGGCTGCAGCTGGTTTACATTGGTAACACTTAGCAAAGAGACCAAAAGTGTCGACTTGACGAACAAAGTTGGTTACACTAGCCCATCCACCGAACCCGAATCCAACTATAAGTACCCAAACCACCACGAAAGCGTTCAACACATACATCGCCGTCCAGCTTGGCATAAAGAACGGTGGCTTCTCCGCCGCATTCTACAAGAAAGGTCCAAAAACAAGAAAATATAATCAAGAACCATTAAAGAGAGAGAGTGTGTAAGTGTTTTTAGGTTTTGGTCGTATGGTAATGGACAAAATCCAAAGCTTTGTTGACCCATGAGATAGAGAGAGAGATATGATTGTGATTTGTCATACTCAGACTCTCACTTTAGATTAATGTTAGGCACACAGTCCCTATTATACAGCTCCTTTTCATTTCTGATTATGACTCTTACCTATTCCTCTCCCTTATTTTCCTCCCAAATTATCCCTTTTCCTCTACTTTTTTCTCATGTTACTTAATATAATATACACAGTTTTGAAAGAGAAAAAAAGAAGTCATGGTCAATTACTAATACTAACCTAACCAGATATTGTATTTTTTTCTAAATGTAATCATATAAAAAACTGAGAGCTGAAACCAACTCAATAATAAATATTTGGAGGGGACGCCAGTAAGGAATGTGGGTGATGATCCTATCTTCCTATCTTCCGTAAGATACGGAACACTGAACCCCATCTATCTTCTTTTAAAAGACGTTTTTGCCCCCCAATTTCAAAAACTATTCACAACACTACCCCCAACTATAATATTCCTCCACCGACTCTTCTTTTTATTTCAAAATATCTTACTACTATAATTGGTAACATTTGTTAAAAGTTGATTTGTACCATTGTTAACTCAATGTTTTTCAGGTTAAGTTTGAGTTTTGTAGCGCTAAAAGAGAGTGAGTTAGTAAAATGTTATTATACCTGACGAGCGGAGGCAGATCGGTAAGTGAGCATGTGAGCGAGGGAGGGGATGATATAGACGGTGAAGCTAACGAGAAGAGCACCGACGGCGGAATTGATGGGACCGAAAAAGGGGAAGATAATAGCTAAGAACCAAATCGGTATAACAACAGGCAATCTAGCCAAAGCCCTTAAGCAAATGCTCTTTGTGTCATGCATCCCAATCACTTTCTCCCACACAAAGTACAACGGTGTACATGCGAACCCGAAGGTTATAAACTGCATGAACAAGAACACATTGGATTACACCTCTCATGATGAAAATTTACTAAAAAAGAGAGAACAAAAATGTTGTATATGTATTACCTGATGAATGAGCATGAGGATAACAGCAGCGTCACGCCACGCGTTCTTGGGCATGAGAGAGAACGCGTTGGAGTGGTCGAGAAGTGCGTCTCCGAAGGCCCAGTAAACGGCGGCAGCGGACGGAATAGTTAGTGTGAAAACGTATAACGTCGCCATCAAGTAAATGTACTTAAACTTCTGTGGTTTCCACATAGCATGCATAATCTCACTACAATTTAAAAATTACTGTTAATAATATTCATGATTTAATCCAAAAATCAAATAAGTATAAAAGATTCGATTCACCACAATCATTAACGCATAAAAGGGTGTATTTGACAATTTCACAAAAGCGTACTATTCCTACTAGTAGTAGTGCTTTGGTAGCAATAGTGTTTGTTATTCTTTACAAGGATAGGAATAATAATTATTATTTTACTTTATATTTAAAGAGAACTTATTTTATTAGTACTACTATTTTAAGGATTGCTAAAAATAATAATGACAATCATGATGACTGTAATAATAGTTACACCTTATTTGCCGGCAAAAGCTGCAATAGAAGCGGCGAAGAAACGATACAGCCCATTATTTAATAATAAGGCACCAATTTAATTTACCAATATACTTTTTCTGCCATTTAGCTTTAACTTAAATAGTAATTCAACTATGTCTGACAAAATTTATTGATCTTTTATTTGGATATTGGATTAATAATCATTAAGAAATCAAAAGAGTAACTTACACAGTAACCGCGTGACCTCCAAAGGTGTACAAAATATTTGTGGCTCCGGTAAAATAAAGCACTAGCTTTGTTGGACCTGAGTGTTTCACACCTTCCGTCTAAAATTTCAAAAATTAACAACAAAATTTTTGATTAGGAGAATATTAAACAGTGCTAATTTTGTATAGTTATTATATACACTCTTGATACAAATTTGGGTTAAGATGCAGGGAATAATTCCTGATCTTAAAAAGAAAATACGAATTTTTTCTTCTTTTTAAATAAGGCATATACTGTCACCTCAATGCAAAGCATATAAATATGAAAACGACAGTGTAGTGATCTTTATAATGTGAAAAATCTTTATGAAATATTTTTTTTGTGTGAAATATAAGTATTTATATATTAATAAAATTACCTGGCCGTGGATGATGGAGGCAATGGCTAAGTACCAAGCGGTGTAAGTGGTCATACCAAGGCCAAGGAATGACCAAATTCGGTAATTATGAAACGACGGTATAAAAACAGTGGTTGCACAACACGCGCCAAATATGTAAGTCCATGTTCTCTTGTCCAAATGATCGTTTATGTAATAAATGTTACTGCAAGTAACACCAATCATATTTCAATTATAATCCTCCATTAATAATTATAGAGTGATTAAAAAGATAAAGATAGTGATTAAAGATAACAGACCTGGCACAAGCAATGAGTTGGATTACAGATCCAAACAAGAGGAAAGTGCAATTAAATGCGAGTCCTACTGCTTTCCAATATGAACCAAGTAATCCATCGAGTACTTCAAACCACTGTTGGATTTTTTAAAAAAGTAAGAATAGTGATTTTAGTGAAAGTTAATTATGATTAGTGGTTTTGATTAGAGAGAGGGAGGACCTGAATGACGTGGTTTTTGAAGCTTTTGCCTTCTTTTTCTTTACGAGCTCTGTATTCGACGTAGAGAACAGAGATGAGATAAGCAGTCCAGCTTCCGAGTAAACCATAGAAGATCTGAAGTACTATTCCTGATAACATCCCTAATTGACTAAACGAGTACGGTAATGTCAATAGCACTTGAGCCACCTGAAACCAACAACAATGATTGATAAATATTAGATCCTTTTTACTAAGAGAAATTTTGAATCTTTTAATTTAAAGGGTTTTTGATTACTTGGTTAGATGCGCAGCTGAACCAAGCGTCCCAGACAGAGCCACCGTGCCAGAGGAAATTGCTTAGGTTAGAACCGGTGGAGCCGTCGTGTTCTTCGTTGTCTTTTCCGGTACGGTTTCCGTTCATCTGATCTGTTCCGTTGTCATTTGCTACTATCGCTTCTACTCCTTCCGACATTTTTTTAGCTTGTAGATCTGAGAGAAATGAAAAAAAAAACAGAGAGAAAGAATCGATTATGTTAGTAAGTAACTAAGTGAAAAAACAGAGCTGAGAAAACAGAGTACAAGAGAGTAAGAGAGATCTCAATCTTGGAGAGATAATTCAAGAAAATAAAACAGAGAGAGAAGGAGAATTGACAGTTACGAAGCAGACTGTTCTTTGTTCACGTTTCTTCTCTTCCTTAGTGTGAAAAAAAAAAACAGAGTAAAGAGAGAGAGAGAGTGACTTACGTTTTCTTCTTTTAGAGAAGAAGAAGAAGAAGGTGAGAAAGAATCAGAAGCAAGAAAGACCCAAGACTAGTTTTTGTCCGTTTGAGCTGTCACTTGTTTCTTCTTTTTCACTTTCTTTAAGAAAATCTCAACTCTGTACTCTCTCTTCTGTGTCTTTAAAGAAACAGAGCATAAGAAGAGAACCCAGAAATGTGCAGAGGAGGAAAGAGAGAGAAGAAGACTTTGATCTGAGCAAAAGAAGGAATGAAGCTAAAAATACTACAAGATGCTTCGGGCTTCACCCCCCTCTCCTTTTTATATACCAATCTCTTTTTCATTTTTTTACTTCTCTTCATTTTCTTTTGGTATTTATATTTGTTTTTAAGAAAATAAAATAAAAAATAAACAACTGCTGTAAAATCAGACCATTAACTTTTTTTAGGTAACGGTAGCATCTTACTTTTTTTTACGTTTTCGCATTGAATATTAATGTGACTATTTGACATCCTGAATTTCCGGCTTCTTCTACTACTATCCAATTCTTTTTAAAAAAAAAAAACTATTTTGTTGAGCCACATGGGTTCAAAAATCAAAATACATAAATCGTATTTAAGTAAAACGTATCATTTAATTGGGAATATTTAAGATATGCTGACAAAAAAAAATGATGCAACACATTTAAGTTTGACGATTTATTGACTTATATAGTTATAGACTAACATATCTAGATTTAGATTTCTCTACTTTTTGATTTTGTTTCAACTTTCAACAGCTATCTTAGATTTAACACCCTACCAAAAACTAGGATGGACAAATCAATAATCTTCATGTTTTTAGAGTTTAAGGAAAACTTAATCATGTTACCATATACAAAAAAAAAAGGTTTAACCACTACACAGTATACAAGTTTTGCTTAATCTAGCTTACTAGCTAGACTAATCAATACCAAGGGATTGGTCGAGCCACTCTTACGTTCACAAAAATCCTAGACGATTAGGGAAGTATCTTCCACAAAAGAACCAAAAAAAAAAAAAGAGAAAATTTTACAAACAACATTCCATGGAAAAACTTGCAATATTTGTTTTCACTAGTTTCTAGATTTGAAAAGAAAAATCAAAGACCTTGTTGAATTTTTATTAAATATGTTTAGGTTTTTTTGTACAATGGAAATAGGTTCCCTAAATGTCAAAAAAAAAAAAAAAAGGTTCCCTAAGTTCTATGGTCCAAAGTTCAATTGTTTAAGCAGACAAATTTAAGACATCTGATCATCGACCGAAGGCTCATGTTATCAGTGATCATGAGTTTGCAAAATACTCATTGGCATCGCCCATCTAAGAAATAATTGGATACTACGGCATATACCAAATACATGATACTAACAAATAATTGGATACTACGGCATACACTTTATACACATATATAGTTGGAGTAGAATCATGATGAAACTAGAAATTTACCTTTTATTATTTAACATAAAATCATTTAGAATATTTGAACATTTTAATTGTTTTACTTGAGATCATAGAATAATTTTCTTTTTGAATAATCTATAACTTATTTTCTAGATACTATAAGTTAAATATCTTTTTGGTTCAAATTAGTAACAAAGACAACAAATTGAATGCATATGAAATCTCAATTCGTTAGATGAAATAGTAATGTACAATAGCTTCTTTTTTTTCTACAACGCCATTCCTGGATACATGTTATTTCTACTTTATCCCAAGGTCAAAGGTAGGTAGGCATTAATATATATCGGTCTAATATGAGTTTTTACTATTTATGATACTATAAGTTATAACATATTGTAAAAAAAAAAAAAAAAAAAGGATATATATAGCATGATGTTCTTTTTTCAATTTGCTGTTTCAAAAATATTATATTGATGTGCCCTGTACGAATTCGCACGTAGTATGAATATTAGTGTGACAACCTTTGTTTCTAAAGTTTTATAACTTGCTTGCTCAGCTGCGAAACCTCTCAGTGTTCTCACTAGTCATCTTCTCTTATTATATAGCTCGATAATACTCAAATGTTGGATACGTTATCGTAAAATCTTTTTTTTTTTTAAGTAAATATATTAATAAACGGTTTAATTTTTTTCGTAGACATCGGAAAATTTGACTATTTTTTGAAACTTAAGAAAATTAACAACTCTTTTGATCCATGAAATTTAATCAGCTTGCAGAATATTTTAAACAAATATCGTATACTATAAGATACATAGAGCCTATGAATCTTGTGTGTGTATTTATGTAAAGGCGGCAATGTTGCAGGTCTTCTTTAATTTGGTGCAGAAACTGCAGATTTTACCCAACGAGTTGCTTGTGTTTGCTTCTGTTTCACGCAATATTATATAAATGATACTCCCTCTGTCCCAAATTATAAGAGGTTTAAGGGTTTTTTCTTTGTTCCATTTTAATAGATTTTTTCAAGTTTCAATGCACTATTTACACTTATTTAATAGTTTTTGACTGTTTAAATTATGCAGTCTTTTTTTTAATTGGTTGAATTTTTATAAATAAGAAAACATTTATTGTTTCTTAATCCTTGTGCTTTTAGCCAAAACCTCTTATAATTTGGGACAGAGGGAGTAGTTTGCAGTTAATGAAAATAAATTATACAAAACTTGAAATTTCCAAGCAAACTCAAATTTCAGTTGTATATCAGAGCGTCTTCGAGACTCCAACCCAACGCTAAGCTTTATTTCTTATTCCAAAATAGGAACATATTTTTCATAGGCATTCAATTATCATCTCCAAAATACAAAATTCGAATATGTAATTTATGTTTTGATCGAGAAATTTAATCCTAGTTCTTGTCATTTATTCATTTAGTTACATATACATGCATAGTTCTCACGCATGCATAAATGTCGAAAATTATATTGCTTCATCACTCTCAGAAATTTCTTTCCATCTTTCTCAAAATTATTATAGATTTGCACACTCCATCATTCATAATTTTAGATAAATTATCAGGTGTTTTTTTTTTGGTTTGAGAATAAAACTTTAACAAATAAAAATGAAAAAAAATATATTGAAAATGTAAAAGTCTGAACCCAAGACCAAGAGCTCTTGTGTCGGCGTAGGCTGGGAGCCGAAACACGCGAGAGAATCTACATAACCAAAAGACTCAAAAGTTGCTAAGCAAGTGCAAGTCCGAGCCGAGCCACGAAGTCACACGCTTGAAGAGCTTTGCAAAAGAAACATGCGCACTATGAACACCTGCGCCCCCACACGCCGCCGTTTCATCATTTATAAAGATGCCTTTTTTTTCTTTTTATCGAACGTTTTTTGCCATTGAGCCTCCTATCGGCTTGTAGGTCCATTTCCTTTTTCCTAACATTAATATTTTATATGTTTTTTGGTCAAATTGTTTTCCTTTTTTTCCATGTTTTTATTCACATTTTTATTTCTTCCTTTAATAGGTACCCTCTTTTTGACGATTTATAACAATTTGTTATTATTTCTTTTCGTTAGGAATTGTTCTGAATTATGTTATAAGCTTATAAGCTTGTAACAACACGCTAGTGATAATCTACGGAAAAATAAATATTCTTTCTAAATATGATTGTGAATATATATCAGATTATCTTTAATAATTATGTTTTCTTATTACCTATCAGACTATCAACTCCATTTATGATTTATTGTTTTCTTCAACAATTGATGATGATCATTAACATTAGACTTATTCTTCAATTTAAATATCTAATAATACTGTTGTTACAAGTTATATTATTTTTTTTGGCAATGTAGCCATCAAATCGATTGGGTCCATTTCTCATGTAGACATATCTCGGGAATCTTCACTCGTGTTTAATTCTAAAAAATCCTTAAATTTGGTTAGTGAGGTTTCTTTTGAAAATAACTAATATTTGATGAATTCAATTAACATTAGGCTCGTATGTCACATGGGGAAGACTACACTATAAAAGCCCAAATGGTGGAGCCACGTCGCCACCAACACTAAACAATCATTTCCAGTAGTTTAATATACAAAATTAATATACATATGTTACAAAGGAATCGATTTTCTTGCAAAATTATTACAAGTCAGATCTGCCAAATCCCTTATTTAGCGTGGCTTCGGTCTCAGTTAATACAAGATATGCGAGTTCACGTTATCATAGTACACTCTGGTAATTAAGACGTATACAATTACAAATCCTTATGCAATTGGCAGAGTTGTGATTAAATATTTTGAGAAATATCTTCTTTTTTTTTCACATTTCGCTCGATATTATATTTGTCCCTTTCAAGTCATATATTTTCAAAATTGGGGACAAAGAAACAATATAATCAGGCGATGGCTTGAATAATATCAACAAATAACATATATTCGTTGGTGGTAAATTTTGTCATCAAATTAGTGACTTAATTAAATATGGATGTTGGATTTGGGTAAAATCTCGTGCTTAATGTTCTCGCAAATCAATTATCAGCGTCTTCCACAATCACATTCTTACAATTCGGAAGCATGAAACATCTGAAGTTCTTAAGAAAACATCAAATGCGAGATCAGCCTAACTTAGCAAGTGATAGACCGAGGGCATAATTCCAACTCCTTGTTTGCATTATTGAATTGGGTATCAGAGTCTCTATAAATCAGTGTAAGAAGGTTTCATGAACTTTCCAAAATGTCTTCCAAACAAAGCCTAAAGTATATATATATCAAGAAAACTATAAAACGCAAGTCCACCGTTTTGCAGACTACCAAACAAAACCTAAATTTTATACGTAAAAAAATCTTAATTTGGACGAATAATGAAAACAAGTGGTGTAGAAAATTAAACACAGACACATGTTTGTTGAAACTTGAAACCAATAAAGACGCTAGGGCCAATGAGTTCAGTAATTTTAGCCATTGATGTGTTCACCACCAATCTAAGACCGAATGAATGTTTCAGTCATTGTCGGCTCGTTATGTTACACCTCTCACAAACATAGCAGAAACGAGTTATATAGTATCTGCACGAGAACTAGAAGAATACCACCAAAGTTCAACAATACATAACTATGTAATGATAACCATGTAATGACACATACCCTTTTGGAAGTGGTGTTTGTTTGGTTGCTGACTTGCTGTATATATTCTAACACTGCACAGAAAAGTACACAACGAGTTGTTGTATAGTAACAAATTCTAGTATATTGTACATTATAATTTGTGTGATTGTGATAAAAATGTAAAAGATATAGTAAATAATTACGCAAGATGTGTATGGAAAATGAGAAAGATATGGGAGTGGGAGAAGTAATGATGAGGAGAAGGATATGGA